GTGTGATTCAGATATGTCACGTGTGATGTCACGTGTGATGTCACGTGTGATGTCACGTGTAATTCAGATACAACATGTAAGTGCGGTACAATTTTGCGAATAGTGCGATTCCGCACTAAATTTTCTATTATTGGGGCTTGATGGCATCATTAGCTTACAAAACACACACACACACACACACACACACACACACACACACACACACACACACACACACACACACACACACACACACACACACACCACACACACACACACACACACACACACACACACACACACACACACACACACACACACACACACACACACACACACACACACACACACACACACACACACACACACACACACACACACACACACACACACACACACACACACACACACACACACACACACACACACACACACACACACACACACACACACACACACACACACACACACACACACACACACACACACACACACACACACACACACACACACATCATGTATATCACATGATGGTTCAGTTTAAGACAATAAAGAAGACAATATTTTACATAGAGTTTCCCGAAAATTTCGGATGTATAACAGACTTACACACATGGAATTTTGGATACATTTATTTATAACTGAAATATCTAGTCGTGACTAAAATGACACAATTTGAAGCACTAGTGATCAACATTGGTCAGTTGTTGGTTTGCAGCCACGTTTCTCGGACGGAAAAGTCTACAGTTACACAGTACACCGCCTACAATCTTCACTAAAATCCCACGTTCCAATAACATACCTTAGTTCCCAAAAATTTGTGTGCCATTATATTGAGCACAATTTATTTGAGCCCGAAAAATTTGGGCAGAAAATTTGAACTCATTTGGGCGACCAAAAATTTGGGCACAAATTCTTCGAAAAATGAACGATTTTCCACTAAAATTTCAGTTAGATATTTGCCAATTTTAAGCATGTAGGTGGTAGTCTGAGTTGTTTCACATTATGAAATTTACGATCTGCCCAGTAACTGCTAAAAAATACAGTGACGATGGCACAGTACAAAATGATAGATATACAATAGTGATATTTAGTCTCTCAATCAGATAGTTTAGTCTACTTACACTCAGCATATCTTATCATACCCCTTTCACATACAATTATCATTATGACGCCTCACCAGATGGTCGAAAGGTTTGGAAGAAAATCAGAAGGTTTACATCATGATCTATCAAACTAAGCGGCACATACGCTTAGCTTTGGGGAAACAAAGGTGTACATAATTGTGTGTTGCGCATGGGCTACATCACTGGGGGGGGGGGGGGGGGGGGGGGGGGGGGGGGCAGGGGGCAGCTGCCCCCCCCCCTGGGATTTGGGGGACAAGTTTACAAAAACATGAAAATTATGTATTCTTCAACAAAGCATTAAACCAGACGGCTATGGTTTACAGTTTTGTTGCACTGTAGCCCCCCCCCCCCCCCCCCTACATTGTGTTATCTTTAAATACCATGCCAGTTACCACGAACAATGGATGAATTCCGTGTATGTACTGTCAAGCTTAAATTCGGACTACTTACATTAATTTGCTTTTTCTTTTAGTTGCTGCTAACGTAAATTCGTTTCCCTCAAGTACTGGAAAATGCGTCAAAATTGTCTAATTTCCTTAAAAATTTTCCGGTGGGCTCCGCCCCTTGACCACACTGGGGGCTGCGCCCCCAGACCCCTGCTACTTGGTCAAGCCATGAATGATAGATTAGAAAACTAAAATTTCAAATATTTTTTCACTTGGATATGAAGAAAAAGCCATCTTTCTATAGATTTCAGGGCCACAGGCCAAATGCCAAAAGTTTGGTTAGCAAAAAATTTAGCAGGCGGAAAAGATTTATGCAATTAATTTGGTCTGCAAAAAATTTGGGCGAGAGGCCCGCTCAAATTTTTGGTCGCCCAAATTTTTGGGAATTAAGGTATATTATTAAATAACATATATTATTATTCTATTATTATAATCTCACGCTCCACTAATATCACGTAGACTTACTCTTATTTTAGTGTTTAACAAATGTACGAGACTGCACTTCATAGTGGGGTTTTTAACCTCCTCGGCCTCCTTGTATTTTAAATGTAAGTATGTGATATTGTTACTGTTGAGTAGAACAACATTGTGAGCATAAAATGAAATGATGAAATACTTGTCAAATAAATGTCAAATAAATGTCAAATAAATGCTCCGCTTGGTTCGGGCCTTTTCATCTTGGTAACCAAAGTAGCTCATATTCAGAAATAGCCATGACTGATAACTGTTTTTCAAAAAACACAATGTTATAGCCGTAATCCCCCATGTTGTCATAACCCGATTAGGTACGTATTGAAACAGAAAACATTTCCTCTATTACTCTGCAAACCACTCTAAAGTAATGCTGCAATATATAAAGTGATGCACCAATGACCAATTTAGCAATCACGCTGCAAGAGAAATCTCAGTACCCGATATAACAATAGAAATCACAAAGCTTTGTGAGTTTGAGGGTGTCAGCGTTTGATACAACTGATTGGACAAACATTTGCTTGTAAAGACGAATTCTGATATTTCAGTTCGTAGCCACCAGCCAAAAATGGGCATATCCTGCCTTATCTTGTACTAAGACACGCACAAAATTGCTTATTATAACTTTGATTTGAACATCTCTTATTCGTCAATGTTCGAGGGGATATATTTTACATATGACTACGAAAACATACTATACTGTTGGACTAAAATACGTTCCAAAAAAGAACTTGGAGATGTGAACTCTAAAAGAGAATGATCCATTACATGCTCTAATAGAGGATAATCTTTTTGCACCACCGAACTATACGATAAATAAAGCCAGTAGTTCGTGGTAACATTTAAGTTTTACCTATAGCAAGTCCCACAAAGAGTCCCAAGAAACAGGTCAAAGCGGACAGGAAATTAAAGAGGACAGCGTATCTTATCTTCATACCAGCGTTCAACAACACCGCGAAATCTCCTGTAAAATAAACAATAAGCGGTGGTTTCAAAGGTTTTAGGGGTTTTAGGGGGGGGGGGGGGGGGGGGGTCAAGGGTTTTAGGGGTTTCAAGGGCTGGTGGAATAAACTTTCAGTATTTAAGATCCTTCTGATTAAGTTCAGGAAATCTGGCAAACATTATTGATGCAAAAAAACCGTGGTCATTTACTAATTATAGGAATATATTAATGATTAGCTTAACATCGGTATTACTGATCGGTCATACAGATAATAAATACTTAATGAACAATTGACAATGAACCTGAAATTGTAAAACCACGTTACCTAGTTCGTGAGGGACCTCGTGACAGAAAACAGCAATGCTAGTCCCGAGTCCCGTGGCCAGGGAGTTGGTAAACGCTGCTCCCATCACCAAACCATCCGCAAAGTTATGTAGCGCGTCACCTGGCAGTGAATATTTTCTCAAAATTATATATTGACGAACCCATCCCAGTGGAATTGTGTGACAGGTAGTGCGTCAACCGTGCGTACTTTTATTATTATTTAAATATATTATCTGCTTCTCATTTATGGAACAAATTTGTTCCTGTTCAAGGACCACCTATAAATTATCACACGGAAACTATTCACCTTTGCGCCCCACCTCCCCCTCCTCTTATCCGACATACCCCTACTTCCTGCTTAATTCTGTAGATAGTAGAGTTGACCTAATATTACTGACCAAAGATTACTGACAAGCCTATCCTTTAAATACTGATAACCACGCGAACAATACCCAGAAACTGATCAAAGAGTATATGATATCATACCAATGTCTGATAACTTTCTAGTATAGAAATGTGCTATTTCCAGACAATTACACTAGACGCATTTTCTTATCTTAGTATGTACATTGTACATGTAAATTGTTTATTATAACAAGATCTTTTGTCACATACAATGCGTTACCACGGATACGCAATACAAAGAACAAGGTGAGTAACAGACGTAAGTGCTGTCTATTGCATTGTTCTACTTAGAGGACCAAATTAAATCACACCATGGCTCAAATAAAACATGATTTAATGTTCGTATAATTATTTAATCCACTGCTGTCCTCAGGCTGGTCACCGTTAAGTGCTAACATGCCTCACCTATGATAACCATCCACGCGACACTGTCCACAGAGCAAATACCACCGTCTCGTGTTATCACATCTTCCTACAAGATCACGTGTTAAATGATGCCACGTGTTAGGAATTATCACGTGCTATGTAGGGTCACGTGTTAAAAATTTCCACGTGTTAGGTCCCTAAGTAGCGGGAGGTAACACACATTTATCATTTGACTACCGTGTAGGCTGTTAAGTGACACAAAGCTTATTTAATTTACTTTTAAATAGGAAAAAGTTGAAAGTGGAAGATAAGATCAGGCTTATTAAGTTATCATAACTGATAAAATAAATCAGAAAATTTAATAAATTACGCATGCATGATGCATTCCAAAGAGGAAATATCAGATATGATGCATACTGCATAGCACCGACCCAAACACGTGCAAAGACCACGTGTTGTTTCTCCCAGTTAGTTCAGGATGAAGTCCCAATATATGACATAATATATATGTGAACTTTGTGGCAGCAATTGTCGTGTCATACGAAGATTTCTTAACAAAAATGGGCTCCTATCTAATCTTCTTCCCTAGATTTCAGTTATTTTATTTTTATAATTTACTTCACCAATTTTGGTGAAGTTCTATTTCTATATATGTCACTTACCAGCTATATTCACAGCTACAATTAAAAGATAGCTGAAGAGTGTGTAAAAACGCAGAGCGGTAGTGGCACTACCACCACAAGCAGGAGTGTAACAGTAATGAAAACAATGACACGCAATCATAGCGCCAACACACGCAGGTTGTTTAACAAGTGATTATACTACAATAACTCGGAATATGCTGAAATAATCGTAGAGTATGCTGAACTTATTGTTGAATGTGCTGAAGAATTTGGATTGATCTTTTGAGGAGAAGATAAAGTTTTTATCCCACACTAGACACCCAGGGGTACTTTATGTGATTTCACGACATATGAAAATTAAGTACTATGAAATAATCATTCAAGATGTAATGATAGAAATGATCATAGCAAAGTAGCAAAGAAAAGAAAATCCACATCGCAAGAAAATTCACAACACGCACATCACATTAAATAGACAAAGTGGTCACAAAGGATCATAAAAGGGTCACACCACAGAAGAGTACGCATGCCGGAGAGGGACTTTACAAACTTATCTACCTCATGCAAATGGTCAACAAATGACCGCCGTTTGTTGCACCGTGGTTTAGTGTTGGTCATTTCCAGGTCCTCCACCTCGTTCACTGCCGCCAGCTTGCTTTCCTTCGGTCGTGTTGGAGATAAATCAGTGGAGTGAAATAGAACAGAGATTAGTACTTAACTTAGTTTGGGACTTTTACGGTGTTAGATTATTATTATTATAAAACAGGATCTTACCGACAAAAATGATTCTTAAAAATACCTTAATGCGGTAAACTGTACCCTTGAAAAAGATTTTCCCAACATCTGTTGCATGCAGCTATATCTCTAATTTCGTTCAATTCATGCAAGTTGTCCATTTGCAAATTTCTACTACTTAAATCACTTCTTAAAACCGATAACAAGTTCATTCTAGGTCTCCCCAATCTACCAATGAATTAGATTGAGAAGTTAATTGGTTGCTGGTTCTGGACTAATAAACAGTAAACAGTAAACAGTAAACAGCAAACAGTAAACAGTAAACAGTAAACAGTAAACAGTAAACAGTAAACAGTAAACAGTAAACAGTAAACAGTAAACAGTAAACAGCAAACAGCAAACAATAAACAGTAAACAGTAAACAGTAAACAGTTAACAATAAACAGTAAACAGTAAACAGTAAACAGTAAACAGTAAACAGTTAACAGTAAACAGTAAACAGTAAACAGTAAACAGCAAACAGCAAACAATAAACAGTAAACAGTAAACAGTAAACAGTTAACAATAAACAGTAAACAGTAAACAGTAAACAGTAAACAGTAAACAGTAAACAGTAAACAGTAAACAGTAAACAGTAAACAGCAAACAGCAAACAATAAACAGTAAACAGTAAACAGTAAACAGTTAACAATAAACAGTAAACAGTAAACAGTAAACAGTAAACAGTAAACAGTAAACAGTAAACAGTAAACAGTAAACAGTAAACAGTAAACAGTAAACAGTTAACAGTAAACAGTAAACAGTAAACAGTAAACAGTAAACAGTAAACAATAAACAGTAAACAGTAAACAGTAAACAGTTAACAATAAACAGTAAACAGTAAACAGTAAACAGTAAACAGTTAACAGTAAACAGTAAACAGTAAACAGTAAACAGTAAACAGCAAACAGCAAACAATAAACAGTAAACAGTAAACAGTAAACAGTTAACAATAAACAGTAAACAGTAAACAGTAAACAGTAAACAGTAAACAGTAAACAGTAAACAGTAAACAGTAAACAGTAAACAGTAAACAGTAAACAGTAAACAGTAAACAGTAAACAGTAAACAGTAAACAGTAAACAGTTAACAGTAAACAGTAAACAGTAAACAGTAAACAGTAAACAGTAAACAGTAAACAGTAAACAGTAAACAGTAAACAGTAAACAGTTAACAGTAAACAGTAAACAGTAAACAGTAAACAGTAAACAGTAAACAGTAAACAGTAAACAGTTAACAGTAAACAGTAAACAGTAAACAGTAAACAGTAAACAGTAAACAGTAAACAGTAAACAGTAAACAGTAAACAGTAAACAGTAAACAGTAAACAGTAAACAGTAAACAGTAAACAGTAAACAGTTAACAGTAAACAGTAAACAGTAAACAGTAAACAGTAAACAGTAAACAGTAAACAGTAAACAGTTAACAGTAAACAGTAAACAGTAAACAGTAAACAGTTAACAGTAAACAGTTAACAGTAAACAGTTAACAGTAAACAGTAAACAGTAAACAGTAAACAGTAAACAGTAAACAGTAAACAGTAAACAGTAAACAGTAAACAGTAAACAGTTAACAGTAAACAGTAAACAGTAAACAGTTAACAGTAAACAGTAAACAGTAAACAGTAAACAGTAAACAGTAAACAGTAAACAGTAAACAGTAAACAGTAAACAGTAAACAGTAAACAGTAAACAGTAAACAGTAAACAGTAAACAGTTAACAGTTAACAGTTAACAGTTAACAGTAAACAGTAAACAGTAAACAGTAAACAGTAAACAGTAAACAGTAAACAGTAAACAGTAAACAGTAAACAGTTAACAGTAAACAGTAAACAGTAAACAGTAAACAGTAAACAGTAAACAGTAAACAGTAAACAGTAAACAGTAAACAGTAAACAGTAAACAGTAAACAGTAAACAGTAAACAGTAAACAGTAAACAGTAAACAGTAAACAGTTAACAGTAAACAGTAAACAGTAAACAGTAAACAGTAAACAGTAAACAGTAAACAGTAAACAGTAAACAGTAAACAGTAAACAGTAAACAGTAAACAGTAAACAGTAAACAGTAAACAGTAAACAGTAAACAGTAAACAGTAAACAGTAAACAGTAAACAGTAAACAGTAAACAGTAAACAGTAAACAGTAAACAGTAAACAGTAAACAGTAAACAGTAAACAGTAAACAGTAAACAGTAAACAGTAAACAGTAAACAGTAAACAGTAAACAGTAAACAGTAAACAGTAAACAGTAAACAGTAAACAGTAAACAGTAAACAGTAAACAGTAAACAGTAAACAGTAAACAGTAAACAGTAAACAGTAAACAGTAAACAGTAAACAGTAAACAGTAAACAGTAAACAGTAAACAGTAAACAGTAAACAGTAAACAGTAAACAGTAAACAGTAAACAGTAAACAGTAAACAGTAAACAGTAAACAGTAAACAGTAAACAGTAAACAGTAAACAGTAAACAGTAAACAGTAAACAGTAAACAGTAAACAGTAAACAGTAAACAGTAAACAGTAAACAGTAAACAGTAAACAGTAAACAGTAAACAGTAAACAGTAAACAGTAAACAGTAAACAGTAAACAGTAAACAGTAAACAGTAAACAGTAAACAGTAAACAGTAAACAGTAAACAGTAAACAGTAAACAGTAAACAGTAAACAGTAAACAGTAAACAGTAAACAGTAAACAGTAAACAGTAAACAGTAAACAGTAAACAGTAAACAGTAAACAGTAAACAGTAAACAGTAAACAGTAAACAGTAAACAGTAAACAGTAAACAGTAAACAGTAAACAGTAAACAGTAAACAGTAAACAGTAAACAGTAAACAGTAAACAGTAAACAGTAAACAGTAAACAGTAAACAGTAAACAGTAAACAGTAAACAGTATTATTTGCTTTAGCTGTTACAGGTGCTGAAAGTGAGCACTGATCAGCATGTTCCGAGGCATCTCCATGTATGTTAAACTACCACAATAATATAAATACAGGGTGATTAAAAAAGAATGTTGGGATTTTAATTTGTGGCAATTTAAAATCCCCAAACATCCTCTTTGAATCACCCTGTATATTATGTAAAAGAAGTTTTTCAGTTTTCTAGTTGGATAAATTAACATCAAAAGTTGTATCGGGATTGCTGTAAAATGACTTAGTCGTAAATTACTAACATGAGGGATACATGTAAATGAGTGAATGAAGTGAAAACCTGCTACGAAGGAAAGCTGGGTAGACGTTCAGTCTGCAGTATCATATTTTGTTAATGTTGATTGTCGGTGTCATGAGACCAGTGATCACCGAATTATTTTTCGGTTTTAACAGCCTCAAAAATTTAAAGATAAAATTGCAAATGACCTTAAAATCCGTCGTATTATTTGCATAAAATTTATCGTTTTCAACAGCCCTGGTTGAGAAAGCATTTTAAAAAGTTAGGAATACTTTAAGATTAGTAAGTAAGCTGTACTTATTTTGTTAAAGACGGAAGATTCTAATAATAGTTTCCGTATTACTGAAGAATGGTTAGATGTTTAATGGTTATGCCATATTTAGCAGGTCTACATGAGCTTAAGGGGTCCAAAATTTTAAAGCTGTATGGTTACAAGAACTCATAATCGTTTATTGAAAAATAAAAGTTATGTAACCTTCCAAATAGCGTTTCTGTAAAGATTAAATTCATCACAATTCCACGGGAAAACCGCCTTACATATCCTACCGTGGCTCGTTTTGCTGAATATTACTTGATTCGTACTGCAACAAATAATTGCATGAAAAGCGACTAACCCACATAAAATACAGAGTGCTGCCGGAAGAGCTGGATCAGACCGGGGTGACTTAAAGTATTATCTCATATGCTGTCTCGTCTCGTTTTACTTTTCCAAACCCAGCTGACATTTAAGCGTATCATTTTGACTCATATCACTTCTTACACCATCCTCCACCATTCACTCTGATTTCACCGGCAACCTTCCCCAGGGTTGCCACACCCCAGAGGTAGGCAGAGCATCTCAATGCTATCCTCTCGTGGGCTATCTTGGCCCAGCCTCTTTAAAAAAATTTTTAAAAACATAAAAAAATACAGAGTGCTAACTCAAACTGTTAAATAACATCCCTGAGTGCTCATTCTTTTCAGACCAGTGGCACTGTCCCCCGACGGCAGACCATCATTTTAATTCATGAGAATTAAACCAATTGCAGGATTCATTACGGCTCTATTTTTCATCAGAATTCTAATGATGTATTAAAGTTGATTTTCAGCCGAGAGAATTTCGGAAGAAGTTGACAAATGAGTGTTGCAATGGAACTATTTAGGTAATAGAAGCAAAATTTCTCACCTAAAAACGGAAAAATTTGGACAATTATAGTTTACAATGAAGACAAAAGGATAATCAACAATCAAAAAGTATATTATCTTAATCTAAACTGAAGCATGTTCAGTGGGACAAACCCTCATCTCCCTAACATATGTGAGCATGTCTGCACTTGCCTAGCACATGTGAGCATGTCTGCACTTGCCTAGCACATGTGAGCATGTCTGCACTTGCCTAGCACATGTGAGCATGTCTGCACTTGCCTAGCACATGTGGGCATGTCTGCACTTGCCATCGTTGCACCTCACTGTACCACAAGCGCACCCGTCAGCATTTGTTCCCTCACAATCTTCATCCTCTGTTGGGACGTAATCTGGGTCGTTGTCCTTCACATCAGTCTTCTCCCACGTAGGAAGGGCGGCCCATCTCCAGTACTCACAAAGATCAGCCCCTCTTGCTGTTTCAAAGTATCCCCCAGCGCCCCAGTTGGAGCCCCAACTGTTTTTGACAATCATGGATTTTTTAGTGTATCCGACACCAGTTACCGCATGGTTAGCAGCACCCCATGTTCCACCTCCAGTATCTCCAGCTTGACAAGTCCTGTCTTCAATGATGCCTTTTTGGTAGTCAAAGAAATCATCAGTCACTTCAAATGCTATCCCAACTGCCCCTTCAGCAAGAAGTGCGATCACATTTTTCTCTCCAACAGGCACAGCATTGCACCCTGTTATCTTGGCTCCGATCAGACCGTCGTGCTTCTTCTTGTACTTCCTGCCGCACCGTCCGTCCTGAGGCACATACTTAACATCACTTGTCAGGGCTAAACGTCCCTTTTTCGCGGAGTAATTCCAGCAGTCCTCGTACCAGCCACCATTGCAGCCATCGTAGTTGTAAACGCAGTCCAAGTACTCTTTCTCAGCGAATGACTTCCTCTTGCCGGTCAAGATAGCGTAGTTTGTCTCGATCGGTCCGACTGCTCCAAATGTCCAGCACGATCCACAACTAGCCTGGTTTTTTACTCCAGTTACCTTTCCTTCAGCCCTCCAGTCTTTAGACTCAGGAATGTCCAGCTCCCTGAATTCCTCATCAGTAATAGGGGCTAAGGGAGCACATTTAGGGGTAGATGCGTTCAATCCCAGATAGCTGCTCTTCTCCTCCACAGTCAGATCCGCGAACTTGTTCAGACCTTGGGTCCATGTTGGATGTCTTGCGTTTCCATCAGCGATCCTCTTCAGGGAACTCCTGAATAGAGACAACCTTTGTGGAGACTTAGCTTTTCCTTCGTTTACGGAGAATTGCTCGTAGAGACTAAGAAGTTGTCCTGGGCTCTCCAAAGCAGCAGCAAGGCCACTGTAGCGGGAACCGCTTACAGCTCCAACTGTCACAGCATACAACACGAGTAGAAGCATTGTCACGAATAATATCGTTTCGTCAAGTAAATCCCGGTTTTTATACTATAAACCTTTGTAAAGAACTTCAAAGAAACAATTAGCGCCCGACTAATTTGATCTTTTTACGGACAGATGGTGAGAAGGCATCTTTTGTTTGCGTGAAATTTACTTATTAGCATTCATTTAGAGAAGTAAGGAAAAATTCCCCGAGCGTTCTTCGTTACTTATATTTACTTAACCTACTACTCCAAACCACCTGGCTGGGAATTCAATTTTATAAGAGCCGCTGCACATTGACAAAGATCTAATCTTTACGAAGATAGAATTGCTGATTGTGCAAAACGACCTTTATTATTACTAAACCTTTACGTTTCACCGGGTTGTACCTGATTATAACCACAATGTGCTCATCTCAAACCTGCAAACTTGCTCAAGGGACCTGTGCTGAGTACGGAGTACAATAACCCGTACTTTGTTGTGTTACATTATGTGCACACGCTCAATGACCTCCTTTTCTTTTAAAAGGCTATCGAGGCTACTTGACGTAAACTTGCAAATGTGATTACCCACAATTTGACATCTGGATAATCATGTTAAGCCGATGGAACTCCGATGAATTATTGGTCTGATGAAACTCGTTAGATCCCTATTATATAATTTACAAAGTTTGAATGGGACATAGAATGAAGCCTTTAGACTTGCATACCGTTCTTCCGCAATTTAAAATTCGATTAAACTACTGCGATATGATCCTTGAAAACGTGTGGAGGAGATTCTTATCAATGTTAGTAACGTCATCTATCTGCATATTTTCAGCAGAGCAAGTGTGCCTCGCCCACCCTGGGTCGAGATTAAATTTGCACCTTATCAGCTTATCTTCCGGCCCGGTGCGTGGGGGTGCGCTTGCCATTTTAATGTCTAGTTTTAAGAAGCAACAGACAGTGACACCATGGCGGCCATGCCGGGTAAGTTATAATTTTTATTGAACCGGATACGTTCTTTAATATTGAGTACAAGCGGAAGGCGGATATAATTTTTCGACATCAGTATTGAGTATTCAAATTTCAAGTATTTGCTTCAGTTTAATTTAAACTAATATAATCTCAAAATCGGGAGTAGAATAGTTTCAGCTATTCAGTATTCAAACATCCTCCTTCGTTACAACATTTTGGAAACAGATATCGGTCTTAAATACCCTTGTGAATAATAACGTCAGATGTTATTTACGTATCCTTGGAAACTTGAACACTCTACACTCTACAGTCAACACTATACAGTATACACCCTTTTTTGAATTAATTCAAACAGATTTCGTAGAATAAGTGAAGAATCCAATGTAAAAATCGTGAATCATTCAGTATCGATAAGCCTACAACTTGGCTTTTGGGTCAGCGGTAACCTAATTTATCTTGAAATTTGCAGCGGTTGGATTCATATACGATTGAGTGGATCAATAATTAATCAGCGGTATTGGATATATTAGGATAATCATTACAAAACGCGAGATCTTTCATGACAAAATTCAATCAATGAGATGATCTTAAAAGCATGCACGTAACCTTCTTGCCGTGTGAATGACCATTAACACCCTGTAACGTGGATTGGTAAATTGTTATTATTTTACCGAGTGTAACGAATAACGGCATTTATAATTCGAATCCCAAGAGAATACAGATACCTATCTTATTTCACAGTATTGTTTTGTCGTTAGAATTCGAAGACTTGAGAATAAATTTAAACTTTTCTTGTAAGATTGACTCATGAAATTACATGACCAACCACCTTATGAGCTGATATAAAATTCTAAGAGCAGTATCAAATGTGAGCATTGTGGTAAAATGTGCATGTTGTTTAGTGAGGTGAAAGAGTGACCATGAGACGCCAACACCTCTGTTATTAGGGACTGTTCACAAATTACTCAGATTTTGATTTATTTTTCAGACCCCCTCCCCTTTACACACTTTACACACAACTATTTTAAATGCTATTGTGTAGAAAGTACACAGTATTTTACAAACACCTTCCCCTAGTAATATGTCAAACTATCTCTTTTCTTCTTAATCAAGACGCACCTTGAGTTCCAAAGTGCGTTACAGTAGGAACCTTGTAGGAACCTTGATGGTTTCTTAATTTGAATCTTATTAAACTCTAACTCACTATAAACTAAATTATTTCAGAAATAAAGTGAACAGGTGGTCGTTCTACGACGTCAATACTCAGTTTACAATCATCTAGAATAAAGGTATTAGAAATCTAAATGTAATGTGTGACATGAATTGTGTCTAATCGAACGTTGAAACTATTTCCCCATACCCTTAAAGTGAACGGTATGAAAAGTGTGGATCTGAAGGAATGATGCGCATGATCCGTGTACTGAACTGAGGTGGTATAGAAATGTGAATTGTCCGTGTAGAGTCGTGTGGTAGCACGTTGAAGTTGGAATGGAAGAACGTCTGAAACAATGAAGTATGAGCAGTACCAATTAAATGTCCACATAAGGGTGTGAGTATTTTGTATGTTTAACAAATGAAGGAGATAACGAATATGCAGGTATTTCCTCAGAACTTCTTACCTTCATCTCAGTATCCGCACCTGGGTTTGCGTGCACTTCGGCTTCTCCTCCCTGATAAATACAACACGTCACTAAATAGTAAACATGCAGTTACCACTAGTAACCACTAGTAACCACTAGTAACCACTAGTTACCACTAGTAACCACTAGTAACCACTAGTAACCACTAGTTACCACTAGTAACCACTAGTTACCACTAGTAACCACTAGTAACCACTAGTAACCACTTGTTACCACTAGTTACCACTAGTAACCACTAGTTACCACTAGTAACCACTAGTTACCACTAGTTACTAAACAGTAAACATGCAGTTACCACTAGTAACCACTAGTAACCACTAGTAACCACTAGTAACCACTAGTAACCACTAGTAACCACTAGTAACCACTAGTAACCACTAGTAACCACTAGTTACCACTAGTTACTAAACAGTAAACATGCAGTGGAATATTCAAGTTTCAAACATGACCGTTAGTGTGTCATATCCCGTGGTTCGTTTCTTGGCAAGGTGACAAGGTGACAGCTGAACCACCAACTGCTCGCCATTCTACACTAAATATTTGACTGAGTGTCTGCTGTTTATCAAGCAGGAGGAGCCAGCACCAAAGCTGAGCCTCCAATGGTCTAGCGTATTTTTCACGGATCACATGTGTAGAAGTTCTCTTTTCATTCAATCTCAGAGGACCATTCAAATATTACGCAAGAGTCAGCCATTTGAAAGCTCCCTTCATCAGTAGGTTTACACAATAACCACTAGTAAAGTAGTAACCACACAATACACGTGGACATTATATTAAATTTATGCAACCATTAGCAATTTGCATATTTCGAAATCCCTATCCTGCTGACGTAATATTTGAACCCGCCCTAAAAATGGGGCCGGCCCGGGGCCAGCGTGACATGGAGGTGAGTCAATCGCTTTGAAGTAACCTCTACCAGTCTGAAACCTCAGTTCTCAAACAGGGATAAAGGTGGGAGACTATAGATAGGAATGTTGAGAATTTGAGAGACAATACCGTTATTTGCAATCAGCCATTGTAACCACTCTGGCATAGAAAACCACAAGTTTCCATTTGAGTGCTTTTAAAATGAGATTACAAGAGATTACAAGGGGTCCTCAACCGCTCTCATTAGATGGGAAGTGGGCTCATGTGTTCCTCTAACCTCTTAATTAGATGATTCGAACTTTTAATTGGATTACGGGTGATGATTTTATCCGAGATCAGCTGTTTGATGAGACATACAAATTGTCCCAGTTCAGGGTAACTACCTAGAATGGCTAATAATTGGTGGATTAACACGTGGTATTTGTAGGTGGATTACCACGTGGTATTTATAGGAGATTGGGAATCAGAGAAGTAATGGGAAGCTCCGGTTAAGGGGATGTTCCGGGGCCTCTTCTGATCTAAACCTGGAGTTACAGGCCAATGTAATGATATTAAATCTAGATTGGAACAATATGTTAGTAGAGTCATGTGTATTCCGGGGATCTTCCTACATGAGCAGACATATTCTCATATTGGTGTACAAGAGACACGCTCCTATATTGGCAGACAACTATGTGGGAGGTAACTATTGTAATTATAAAACTAGATGAGGAAAATGAAGTCACTGAACAGGAAGACTGAGGAGGTTTTCTCTGAATCTTAGAATAGTAACAATGTAGAGCCTTATCTTGAATATAAGGTGTGACAATGCCAGAAACCATATACTTGCAAGCTTTATTTTACTTTTCAGAAAAATATATTGAGCATGATGTAATACTGCCTGCATTAAAGAAAAAATGTAATATTTATTTCTACATGTTACAGAAGTCATTAAAACATAAACATTTATTATTTTATCGCGTAAAGGGACTATAAAACTACAAATTACGTTTCTGTTGCAAAATAAAAATGATTCAAACAATAAATCACATACCAACATTTCCTACTTTACTTATAAAACGCCTATTAAATAACTAAGCATTCGTCAAATTCCAGCTGAAACACAAAATTTAAAAGTTACAAACGGGAAGTAATAAAAACAGAAGTATAGTACACAAGTAACACAGTAATAAAAACACAAGACTCACATGGATGTGTTGATGGGGTATAACCAGATGAATAGCCTTCTCGAACAATAAGAACATGTACACTCCACACGTGATCGCTATGGTGATGTTCCTCCTCTGTGTATTTGTCATCTCCTCCTTTTCCTCCCCGTGATCGTGCCCCTCGTGTCCTTCTCCGTCGTCGTGGGAATGCAGTCCTAGTGACTGGCGGATTGAAGAAATAAAATCACTTGAAACATGAAGATTTGTGTCCAGTGATGGACTAAATGCCTAATGCTCTTTTAGTAAACTTTCAGAACACCTTCATCTCCTTAAAGTTCACAAAAGTCGATTCATCATTATATTGTGTGATAAACCAATAAAATCAGTCTAAAGAAGCTGAAAATACTATTTTTGCAGTATCTAACTTGCTTATAACTATCTTAACATTCAAATCATTCGATACTCGTCAAGTCATGACCGTACCCCGAATGTCACCTACCAAAGGAATAAGATGAAGAGTAGCATCTGAAAGTAAACAGCCCATAGCAAGAGCTACCATAGTAGAGAGAAGGTAGGAATACCACCATTGGTGTCTCAACAGTACAATTAGCACTCCTATCACTGAAAACGCACTGAAATGGTTTTTACATGTCATGTAGCCAGTGCAAGTTATAGAAATTATCGTGTAAAAATAGTCTAGCAAAAGCCAAGACTAACTCTTTATTATATATAGATACCTCTGCAGTAAAATCAGAAGTCAGATGCAAGTTTTTTGTAGGATGGTTTTTAAAGATAAAGATGGTAGTTAAAAATAAAACTTCCCGGAAGGTACCTAATGAAAGCCGTTGCGATGATACCGTAACCCCACTTTGCCGAGTTGCTGGTGACTTTCTTCGGGGCATGACAGTGGTTACCGTGGAAAGATGCATTCTCCTCCAGACAGTGACATTCTGGTTTATCACCAGTATCATCCCACTCAGCGTCATCTATCTTAGCACACCTCTGAATATCACAACGTTAGTATGTTAGTATATTACGAGGCAATAAATATACAAATGTTCATATTCATGTTAAACAAGGGTTGTGATGTTGATATCCTGACTCCTTTAGGCTTTATCATATTATCACTTCGAGATGGCAGGGCCTACTCTTATGCTGTCTATCACGTTGAACGTGTAATGTAAATATAGTGTGGATACATGCGAATATCTTACTATATATAAAGCGAGACGATATATATATGTGTATATATCCGTGCCATTTTACTGACACCACGGCATCAACTTTAACGCGACTTTCCGCAAAAACCGTAAAACATATACAACTGAAACTTTTTTGACTGGGTCAAATGCTTTAATGGCCTTCAAATCAGCATGAAAAAATAAAAAATTGGCCAAGGAATAATAATTTTAGTGCCCAAAATTTGGACTCTCAAGTGGTGTCAAAAACGCGAATTAAATAGGTATTAATTATTTTAGTCTCTCGAGTCTTGACACCACTTTAGGGTTAGACGGGTTCCTGCTAGTATATTCTAAATAACCAAAACTTTATCATATTATCAAACTTATTATCGCGACTTTAACTTACCTCTTCAACATATTCACAAGATGCTTTACCCGCGCTCACCAACCAACTGAGAGGATCCTCCTCTGTGCTGGCTTCTATAGTGGTGGTATTTTCGAAGCATACACCCCTGTGACAAAGAGGTGTTTAGTTATGAGATAGTATGATGGCCAGCCTTGATATTAATAATTGGAGAAATGAAGTACAAAAAAAGAATCGTTTTCAGATAATTTGAGGAGTTGTACAGACAAATTGCATTTTTTTAAATGAGTAAACTTCATTAAGTTGTACAATATTTACTTGTAAAAAGCGTAGAGACTCTCCTTATATTTGAAACATTCTTTCCTTACTTTACTGGTACATGTTTTTGTATCTGCATCCCAGGCAATTTCTGCCTCTGGATTATTACCTTTATCCAAACCACTCTCTGAAATCATACAATGAATTATATAGATGAAAAACAAACAGGATAATAGATTAAGGAAGCACGACTGTGAATCTGATGTAGATTAACCAACCTCAAAATGCTCCCATTGGGAGCGTAAAACAATGATTTAATTACCTGTGCATTTGCAGTAGTCAGTCGCTCTATCGGTAGTATAACAGTTATCAGCATCTGTTTTACTCTCAGTGGAGAAGCAGTACATACCTCCATCTTGTTCACATTGCTTTTTCTTAGACACTACGTGATTGTGTGCATCTCCTGGGGCTGGTGAATAATCTTACTGGTAACTGGTAACTGGTAACTGGTAACTGGTAACTGGTAACTGGTAACTGGTAACTGGTAACTGGTAACTGGTAACTGGTAACTGGTAACTGGTAACTGGTAACTGGTTACTGGTTACTGGTTACTGGTTACTGTAATATTTACAGGTACATAATCTTCATGTTAACTAATATTTCTGGTAACTAATCTTACTGATAGTTATTATACTGGTAACTAATCTTACTGGTTACTAATATTACTCCAAAGTCTTAACTAGGTGCTGCTTCTTACAAAAACATACCTTGCCCATGATCATGGCCATCATGATCATCACCATCATCAAACTCAGCAAATTCCTCATGATCATCGTGTTCGTCATGATCATCGTGATCATCGTGATCATCGTGATCATCGTGATCATCGTGATCATCATGATCATCATGATCATCATGATCATCCTCTGAAGCTAAAGAGTGCATCACAAACAGCATGATCAGGATGTACTTGATGGCCGTCATTATATTCCTATCGTTATCAAAATTTAAGAACTTATCAATCAAGACATGTTTGTCAGGATTACACCAACAACAAATTGTATCAATAATATTAACAAGTCAATAAGATCTTGATAAAGATCGCTATAGAAATGTTACACCGCTGCAGTAACGGCACAGTATGATACAAAATAAATTTAAAAAGCTACAAGGGGATTAGGAAACGACCAATTAGTTAGGGCAGGGATATAAATTTATGGGACCATCTGTCAATCAACTAATGTCATGTTGAGTTCAACTTATATAGTAGTACCAATACCAAATACCTTAATATAATGGATTATTTTGAATATTTAATGATTAACTGATTACTCATTACTAAACTGATTACTCATTACTTTTTCTAACGACCAACTTATATATATATACAACGTTCCATATGCCAAATCTAAATTCGATAATAAACTTCATATTAGTTCTGCGTGCTGATAAATGTCCTAGGAATCAATCCACCCACTAGTGATGATAATATATTTTTGTGTTTGGCTGGTTTTAGACCTGGGGGTGTGCCCCAGAGGTGGTAAATCGGGTGCTAGTAAAGCTCTTGTACAGGCAACTAGCTCCTTTTGTCATGTTGATAAAATTTGTTTTTGTATTTAAAGATGATGTAGAGTTTTTAATATGACGTAGAATTATAGCTAGATTGGTATGGCCTATGGTGTATGTATGCGCATCCAAAGGACCATGAACCTGCAAGTTCTTTTTATTTGTTAGTAGAGCATCTTGGGCTATACTGGTTCTAACAAGTTTATTATCGGATGTTTACAGTATATTCATTATGATATTATTATTCATTGTAATGGCAATCAAATTTAAATTTTGTTTTCCCCTAAAAAATTTGTTTTCCTTGTGATTATGCTCATAACCAGCTCGACTAGCCCAAGTCATCCTGCCCATCAATACATCAATTGCAAAAACTTCTATGAGGGTAATTCTAGATTTATACATCTTGCATGGTCAGGGAAGTCAGTGTAAGACATTAACCTTGTAAGTTATTTGTAGTGTTAAACTTAACGATTATGTAAGGCAAGGTTATATACTACGCTGTTGAATTATCCAACTTGAGAGTGTCCAAAGGCTACAAATTTGGAATTGTTCAGCATCATTGCAGTCTTTTTTGCATCCAAATTTTCCTCATATAAAAAATCGTAATATTGTCCATTATCTACGTTCTGCTTTCATAGTTTAAACAATAGTGAGTTCTAAATATACAGCTTTAAACCGATTAAGTATGAATGAATGAAATACCTGACAATCCGCACTCCTATAATTCAAAAGCATGAGTAACTCGTAGTGATGTATGATTTCTAGAAACTTTAAATTAAATTTGGCGCTCACAGGTCCTCGTGATCATGTGATCGCAGCATGAGGTTCTGTAAATGCGCGGGGCACCTTCAAGTTTAAATTATTCACCTTACTGAGGCAGTCAACCAACGCGCGGCTTTATTTTTATGATATGATATGTTTTGATTGTTATTAATAAATACCAAAATTTAAATTTGTTTTCCTAAAATTTGTTTTCCTAATAGGTGCGGAATCGTACTATTTGCAAAATATTATCGCACTTATGTGTTGCCTCTGACTTGAACAGGAGGTGGTAGTAGGTTTACTGTACTGCCAGAGATGTAGTGTAGGTAGCATAGAGTTAGTCAATAACTGACCTACATTGCACTGTTTTAGTATGTCAGTATGAGCCATGGGAAGAGAAAGTGGGTACTACACAAACCAAACTATTTAAAGCCAAATAGTGAACATTGTTAAGAAAGTAGTGTGTTGAGGATTTAAGAACTGCGATTTAAGTTCAATGTCACAGGATTTAGACGAAGATTATTGCTTATAATAGCTAGGTAGGGAGACGAATTCGATTTTGCCAAGATGAGCTAAAATTGTTGGTTTCGAGGTTGATCTCCTTTTCATGGAAAATATATTATATTATATGCTCAGAAACAATGTCAGTTTTGAAACTGAAATTCTGATTCATGTGAATTGTGAATGATGTGCAGTCAGTTGTGTTGCCAGCATACTGACAGTTAAGATGAATGTTCAATGTTTACCTACTGGGCGGCACTTGACTTGTCCTCTTTTCATTCAGCCATGAATTCAATCAGTGTATTTCAATACAAAAGCGTAAAGTTCCCAGGTTGGAGGACTTCAGGCCGCACGAACTATCATTCTTGCTTCGCATCTCAGATCGATGCTCTGCAAAGTAGAGCAACGATTTCGATGGGTTGACATAGTCAATCAAGTTCCCAGGTAAATGTTTACCGCATTTCTCTACTGGACAAGCAGCCAAACATTTGTGTATCGTTCTGAAACCCGAAAGAGGGGCACGTGTATGCCATGAGGAAGCAAAATCAATCTTATGACAATCGATTCAATTTCATAAATGCAAACATGAACTATTTATCAAATAAAACATTTTTTTTTTAAATTATCAAAACATGATTATCTTATTTAAAAAAAACCTAATTAAACTTCCCAGTGGAATAACAATTTATGACACGTTTATTTGCCACATATGGATGAAACCAAAAATAATCGATGCAACAAACAAATGTCTTGCAGAGATAAAAGCATGGATGGTGAAGAAAAGGTGTTAGGAAAGAGCCATATTCTAAAAAAGTGTGAACTCAGTGTCAGACTGCAATTTGGAAGCACTGAAATTCTACCTACGGAGTGCAAAGGAGACAGCTGGAAGAGTCTGGGAGTCAAATTTGATGAAACTTTAAATATGGAAAGACAGATCAATAATGTCAAAAGGAAATGTAGCTGGACAATGATGAACCTAAGAACTATTGGTCGTTACCTGGATGAAGGCATTAAATTGATATTGGTGAAACAACTGGTTATATCTAAATTAGATTACTGTAATTCTCTATACATGAATCTACCCAAGACCAGACTAAACAAACTTAGATCCACCCTTAATGGGGCAGTTCGTTTCATCTATAACATAGAAGACAGAACCACGGACTTGGTTCCCTTCTATAAGAAGTAAAATACAATTTAAGTAAAATACAATTTTTATTTTCCACAGAAGAATCAATACATATTGAATTATAAATATCCGATAATTCCATTAATAATCATTAAAAGTTGCTTTGTCATTTGTAAAATCAAAAACGAAAAGCCGTACGCTGAACTGTGAACGCGCGCGGCGTTTTTTCTGCAGCTGCCTAGCTTCAAGCTTGTAGCCGCTAACATCAAAGCCGCCGCGCGCGCCCAGTGCTGGGGTGCATTCTCATTAACAATTAAACTTGGTCAAAGATAGTTATATACAATTCCTAAATTTAATCAATAATCATGTTAATATGAGTATTCAACACTACTCGACAACAAATATTTGCCGGCCCATCAACGATTCAGTCGCCGAAACAAAAATCAAATGTTTGCTTCTTCGTTTCGGGGACTGTTTGAACTCATATCAGTACTATATCCGACTAATCATACTTTATAATGGTTAAAATACAAAGTAAAAAGATTTTCCTCGATGGGCCGGCATTCGCAACCGCGAAACGTTTTGAGTACGACAAACGATGACACCACCACCAGCCGTTAATTAATAAGTCCATGGGTGACGGGATAAAGTTAAAGTAAGATGTGTAATTTCATATTGCCTATCACCTATCACCAAAGTTACTTTGCATATACTGCTTCTAGTTACACGATAGCGATCTCAGTTCCCAATAACGTGTGACCCAACAGAAGGGATTGTGGAAGGACACGTACATTTTTCATTAACACGTGCCCTGATTACCCCCTCCGTTGAGCTACTATACGGGGGACCTTGACCGCCAGTCTGTAGTCAGATCGTTAATAAATTTTACTTTAAAATTGGTTGCCGGGTGATGGTGTCAGTGAGAGACGTTAAGTTAGGTGAACATTGGTACAAAAATATAATAATATAGCAGTTTATCTCAAAGTTAAAATCACTATTTGTTAAAGTATACAAACAGTTCTATTATATATTCAAAAGAACAAAGTCCGAGAGCAGAGATAAGAGAAGATTTGGAGACTATACACGCATATGTTGGGTTTAAATTTGGTATTAGTAATTTTAGGGTTCGACCGAAAATGTTGGTCGGTTGGTTAATAGGGAGCAGTCACTGTCATTAGAATTATCAGATTAGGAGCAACAATTAGAATCAAATTGGACATATTGTGTATTGTGGCCCAGAAATCAGTGAAACCTAGAATGGCGGTAAAATGCTAGCGCGCCTTGTTATGCGCGCTAACATACTAGCTGCTGAAAATAAAGAAGGCCCACATACTCCCTATAGACCAACGAATATTCTTTAAAGTTTGTCTATTAACCCACAAATCAGTTCACGGTACTGCACCTGATTACCTCAAAGCACTACTGGATTTGGATGTAGCGGATAAAGAACTCTCAAACACCATGACCATGACCAGGTCGAAGAGACCTGGTGACCATCTCATGCTCAAGGTACCAAAGAATAAAAAGTCCAAAGTTGATGACAGACGTTTCTCAAGCCATGCATCGATTGCATGGAACTCTCTTCCACTGATGTTGAGATGTATAACTGATACCAACTGCTTCAAGCGAATGTTAAAGAACCATTTATATAATCAGTTTTGATGTTTTTTCTTTCCATTTGTCTTCATTTTGCAAGACACCTTGGCTTTTATTTTTTACCGCACTCCATTTTATGTTTAAGTTCTCTACCTTTCTATGTCACTGTACTAACCTTTATTATACCTACATAATGTATTGTATGGTCTCTGCTTCTTTTTAGTTTAGTGTGGTTTAAAATAAAAGGTGTTTTAATTTTGTCTTGGTCTTATATTAATATTACGTTTTTATCTTGTTCATTTTTACACATTTGCTCACATCACTCACAGTCAGCCGCTCTGACATGGTTAACCACCTTCCTTGTGTTGTTGGTTAATCATATGAGCGGGATATAAATACCTCATTTCATTTCATCAAGAAAACAACAAATTTTCAAGAAAACATCATTTCATTTCATTTCATGCTATAAGAATGCTACATTTCATTGTCATACGTTGTATGACCAATGACCCGCCGCGCACGAGTGCGCGGCTCCCCCTGTATCGTTGAAACTCTACACTATATGCTACAGTGAAACGACCGTGGGGGTCATGTACGCCCGTGGGGGTCACGATGTGATACAAAAATTTCATCAAACAAAAATACAAGTAAATTGCAATTTTGAATTGCAACAAATGATCTTCACATACCTGCATGTGTATACGCGTACTGCAAGCGAAAGGGCTCTGGTTAGAGCAATAAATGATCTTCAGTTAAAAAACTAAATTAAATTAACTTATTTTGAAATTTTAAACCGTAAAAATTCACAATTTGATAAATCAATAATTTTCATTACATTTTAAGTTCGTTTGTTTAAACTTTTGCGCGGTAACTAAGCTAAACAATTTTCGTACGCTTCTGTAATTTTATAAAATAATTTTACTTTTCTATTGCAGATTCTATTTGATCGTGCGGTGCTTTTTTGTATTGTTTAACATTTAAATTTGCAGGAACAACAAATTTCATAATTATAAGACAAAAGTTGTAATTTATGTTTTCACTTGTATCATATTACGTCGTTGATCATTTTTAATGCTTTGGCCCGGCTCGCGCTACTTCGTAGCAATTGCATGCATCGGGCCATTTCGAGAAAAAAGCAGCGCGCACTACTTGCAAGAAATTTAAACGAGTAATATCCGTCAATTCAGTGTACACCCATTTTGTATCACGTTGCGACCCCACGGTCGTTTCACTATGGTGTATCGTCCTGACGATACAGGGGGAGCCGCGCACTTCGTGCGCGGCGGGTCATACAACGTATGACAACACCCATCGTAAAAGTAAAGTAAAGCAAAGTAAAATTTATGACATCACATCATCACACATGTCTACAAACTATCATCGCACTGTGAGAAAAATGTATAATAAATATTTCCCCACCAACTGTTGGTGATGGGGGAATATTTATTATATATTTTTCGGCACCAACATTAATTTATTATCAAATACAATATTTAAAATTAATTTCATCAAAAACATTGTCCTATTTTAAAAACTTCCCAGTGGAATAAAGATTTATAAAACGCTTCTTTGCCACATAAGGATATAACCAAAGATAATTGATTCACGATGTCAATCCTTCGCAGCTCGGTGAGGCACAGTGGTACTGCATCTCGCCGATCTACCGAAGTTGCGAGAAGAATTATTTGATGCGCGGCGCAACCAAGTAGTGCATCGTGCTACAACAAAGATAATTGTTATGTTTCTTTTTATTACTGACATAACTGGCTCCCTCAATTCTTATAAGCGAGCTGATTATTCGCGAGGTGAAAATGAGCGCTGCATGGGGACGATCTCTCTGAAATTTTACCTGTTGGTTCAGTGGACGATTTTAGCCACAGCGCCTTAAATTTAGCACGATCGTTTATAATCACACAAAGTTACAGCTAATTTAGTGATGTAAACACTCGTCGCAATATACTGGAATTGAATCGAGCGCGTACCTATGGTTACTGCGCGTTGATATGGTTACTAACCGCTTGACGTCATTTAATGCCCAAATATAGTAATGAGCAGACCGCTCATTCATCATTTTAGCGCGCGTAGCATGTAGCATTATTACAATTCTAATATGAATATATAGTCATATTATTATGAGATGCACGAGTTAAACTGCATTTTACATTTAATTTCAGGAATCTGCAATGTGCAATATTTGTAATCGATTAGGTAATGATAATATTAAATTTCGTTCTTCATTCCTTGGCGGTCCTTATTTATGTATTTTACCTGGGAGCGGGGACTCCAGGCTATTATATGATGTTTATAAACCGGGCTGTCATTTTGCATTTTCATAAACCGAATAAATAAATTCGGCAGAATGAAAGACTGAGCGCTGAGTGCATAACAGTAATCATGCATGATTCATTGACCTTAATTGTTGATAGACTGGCCAATACATACAAGCGTGCTAAATTACTTACTGTTACCGTTAACACTATTTGAATGGTCCCCGATTACCGGTACCCGGGGGACCCAATACAAGTCTATAATTAGTATCATGTATTATGATCATGAACATGATAAACCGTCGAATAATCTTACGGAATCACAGGCTGTGCGCCGCCAAGTAAAGCCCCTGACAGTTGAAACCAACTTGAATCAATGCATTTTCAATTTTCGGACACTGATTAAGATGTAATTGTAATTGTAAATCTCATGACGGGGTTAAAATGCTTGCCTGGCAATAAACTATCTCGATCACGTCAATATTATATGGGTTTAATAATAATTTCAATAATATATGGGTTTATTCTTAGGAAGCATAGTTTCTTGTTTAGTTAGCAGTTCGGGTTAGAGTATTATATTCTTTTATCGTTGAATTTGATGGTTGGACAAATTATTTCAACCATAATTACGTATGACCGCTTCTTAACCCAGTTGCAACTACTACATATAAGGATTAAATCACAGACCTTGGGACTTGCGTAATACCCGTTATATGTATCAAGCGTAATAATGTATCAAGCGTGCTGAATCACTCTACAGTCGATATTAGAGATTGTTCACGAAGAATTATTTGTTCTGATGGTACAATAAATGGTAAAACGGCAATGCTCTTAACAGGGTATGCTGTGTTGTAATGTTTCATGTAGAGTTCTCACAACTTATAATTCTTTCGGACACGAAGGGAAACACACATCGTAAGGCTTGAAATCTTCGTAAAACTACATCCTTAAGAGCCTATAAAAACATTTAACTTTAAGATAAGCACTATATCAAGTAAAGTTTATATATAATCATCATAACTTATTAAATCAAACGTAAAAATTAGCCGGCAAAATTTAATATTCTTTAGTAAAACTGATTAGCAGTAACTAGCACTACTTATTTAACAAAAATTCACTAATCAGTCTTAAAACTGTTCTGTCCCATTACTGTAAATTGATAACGCTAAGAAATCTCGTTACAGTAGTGACGGTAACACTAAAAGCAAAATATTATCTCTTCTTCATACCAGCTTAAATTGTAAAAGCGGTCAAATGTGTGCAACATAGCTGGCACTGGGCAACATAGATAACATGTTTGTCCTTGTTTGTTCCGTCTAGCACCAGGTCCATGTTGTTGATCTTTGAGTCCTTGTCAAACAGTACGGGCAAATTTTGCAGCCAGGTCCATTACACCTCTGTTTTCCTACATCAAGGGTTTCCAGTTTTCAATTCTTCACTAGTGTATTACCGATTGAAGGGTGTTTCCTAATAGCGAATACTATCCGTACATCCCCACAGCCTCTTAATGTCCGGATTAAGTTCTTTAACCAACTTTTTCAGACTAATGTTATCAAGATAGTGTTGTGCGGAGAATACGAGGCTCTGTTGAGTCTTATTTCGAATCTGATGTAGTGTGAAGGTAGCTGTGCTGTAGTTGCTCCAGATCCAGGTCACGAGGATTACATTTTAGCTCTCGACCTAAACGATGCCAGTTTCTGCCTCCGAGCACAAGTACTTCGTAGGGGGTCAGCGGTGGCATCGAGTCTCTTCATGTCTATTGTTTAACGTCGTTGGTATGCTTGGGTACAGGGGAAGTTAGCTGCTTCTCTACTGACGTTATTCTCCAATTCTTAGACTTCGTCCTTCGCACGTTCCCTGAGGAAAATAATTTTTAATAGTCCACCAAGAATTATTAAGGGTTATTAAACATAGAGACTTCCCACAATTATAACCTGTAAATCTTCCAGTGAGGTAATGTGTAATTTCCAAAAGTATAAACTACACACCATGTCTGTAGTGTCTCGGTGAGATGACACACGTCACCCGGTTTTTCCATATCAGCTCGATTTTAGCTAATCACTCATCACGCGTGGCTAGAAGGAGTTTCTCCCAGGTTTTTTTCACATCAATGATACAAGTTGTTTCTAATCTTGAGCACGTAACTTAACATAATATCTGAGCTGAAAATGGTCTAGTTAAGCGAGAGCTAACATTAGTACTTACAAGTTATAATTTTTAATATCAGTTTCCGATGCGTAGAGTTTGATAAAGTTGGGTTGTACTTCTCTATTAATTTTCAGAGCAAAAAGTCATGTTTACTTCGCCAAATTTAATTAAATAAACTAAGGTATTTCATCACACATGGCTATGATCAGATCGGGTTCATGTTTCCTAAAAAATAAATGCGCGTCGCGGTGCGCGCGTTTAAAATTAGTCACGAATGTTGAAGTTTGTCTAGTTTCGTTGAAAAAATCAATTTGCGCTCGCCGTATCAGAAGATGAATCCGAGATTGTGGAACCAGATGATACGGTTTTTGAGGCATTTTGATACGGTCATTTTAGCCTGTTTAAGTAGTTTCAGAGTGCTGGAAATGGTTGCACGGTGTAGGGGGATGTGTTTACTAACTATTTTGACGTCAAAATAGTCGCCAGAGGCTCCCTGAGTCATGGAATGAACGGAATGAACACAAATGAAATTTTTTCTAAAACTCGTCGGATTGCCCCAAAACAGGTCGGAATCGTTTGGTATTGACCCTTATAGTGTTCCTACAAAGTTTGGTGGCCGTAGCACTCTGGCGACAATTTTGACGTCAAAATAGTTAGTAAACACATCCCCCTACACCGTACAACCATAATTATCTATTTTTGATCCAAAATATAGTCAAAATAACGTTGGTTCCAAACCGTTCCAAACAGTATCAAAACCGTATCATTGGTTCCAAATTGGTTCCAAAATCTCGGATTCATGAACTCCGCCGTATTAGAAGATCGATCTGAGCTAGTGGTAACAGCGGCAGGAAACTTACCACGCGACCAGAAATTCCATATCGAAAAACTTGATAGACTGCTACGGGATATGCAGAAACTCCACAACAAGTTATATCCAAGCAAAGAAATGGTCAAAACATATCGGGCTTTAATAAGAGGTTTGCACGGTAGATTGCCCAACACTTCTACTAGTGGAGAACAAATTCGACATTGTATCAAGTAAAGTTAAGTATGTGTCACTGACTTCAGCCCGGCCCTTGTACAAACAATTGTAAAAGTATTAGGAAATGGGATTTGTTGTGACACTTGCTGTAGTCTTGAACAATAAATTCTCTCCTAAGAGGATGAATTTGCGAAATAGCAGGACAGGTTTTCCAGCTCTTTTAATTTAACTCACACAATTGGTTCAGAATTGGTATATATTATAAGCTGATACAGGCATTGCAAATACCTTCGTAAAGCAACTACTAACCGCGACCGGTTATCGGAATATAAATTTCTTAATCCTGTTTTAAGTCTACTTGGCCAAAATGTCAACTAGTCCAAGATTTTATTTACGGTTTCAAATCAGAACAAGAAACATAATACTTCAGTGCTATATGTTTTTGCGAGGGAGAGGAGTCCTCAGTCCAAGGTAACTGGGATGGGAGCAACAAGTCAAAAAATTAGACTTGAATTTTAGCAGCTTAGCACTCTCAAAATCATTTTGTGTCTAAGTGTGTTATCTGAGAAAGATGGGCGGAACCCGGAACCGGGCTCTGTCACAGATTTTTACGGAAATCGGGAGTTGGCTCCTGGAGCATGAGCACAAGTCAACCTGAGTCGTCTCTGGTATTCCGAGTGTACAGAACAGAACGAGAGTCCCGCTTGCACAGAACAGGCGTATTTGTGAGCTCTCAGTGAACCACTCTCAGCTTGAGTGGAGAAAAGTCGATGGAGAAAGCTTGGTCATATACTGAGGGGTCCAGATAATGGACCTGCCTTAAACTCCCTGGCTTTTGCAGTTCATAGTTTGCAGATGCCAGGGAGAGACGGCCTCAGTAAAATCTGTTTTCATTGATAAAGCGCGAATTATGTTGCCGGAATTTATTTCTTAATAATAGATATGATTTAAATTATCTTAGGAATATTGCTTTTGACAGAGCACAAGGAGCTAGAAAAATGGCGGCTTGGACTTTTAGAGTGCTTTTAGAGACCGGTCACAAGTAGTCATGCTGACTTTATACAAAAGCATGGTTCGCTCCAAGCTAGAGTACTGCTGTCCAGTCTGGAACCCTGCAAAAGTCACAGAGATTCAAAAGCTGGAGACTGTACAGAGATCCTTTACTAGAAAGATATCTGGCTGCCGTGATCTCCAGTACTGGGACAGGCTGAAGAAGCTTAAGTTTATGTCTCTTCAGAGGCGGAGAGAGCGTAATTCTATTATTCATGTATGGAAAATTCTTAATGAACATGCTCCGAACGATACGGGTTTCGAGTTCAAGTCTCATCAAAGGCATGGAATTAAGGCAGAGATCCCAGCCATGAACAAAAGCGCACAGTTGTCGGTAAGAACAGATTACGACAACAGCTTTAGAGTTAGAGCAGCTCAGCTCTTCAACGTGCTCCCATCGGAGCTCCGGAGTACCACATTGCTAGACAGTTTCAAAGTTGGTCTAGGCAGATTCTTGGAACAGTACCGCAGACACGCCACTGGTTCCAGGCTACACTCCGACAAACGATAACTCAATGCTGAGCTGGAGGAGGACGCACTCGATGCAGTTGTCCTGAGCACGCCCTGCCAAACTCACCAAAACGTACCAAAACGTACCAAAACGTAACGTACGTAAATTGGCGCAGAATGCAAGGTTTATAATTTTGTTTGTTAAAGAAAGTTTAAACGGCAGCGTTGTGTTTAAACTATCTGTTAGTTATGACTTTATTATATATCTAGGGACGACTTAGATAGATTGCTGATTTCTGTCCCACGACGACAAGCGGCATTGTAAGGTCTGGCCAGTTACCATATATACTTCGAAATATCAGCTCAAATTCACACCTAATGGTTATTGGTTATATTAACTTGAACAATTTGAAAAAAGAGGACTCGGACGATGAGAGTTAGATTGCTGACAAACCAGATAATGAGGATGTAGCGTAGGGTAGCACGCGTTGATTAATAATTACAACCTGGGTATCCTATTTTGACCATTGTTAATGATCTGGCCCGGCGCGCGCTACTTCGTAGCACTTGCCGTCGGGCCAGACCATAGAAAAACGTAGAGTTTTACTCCACATTTATGGAGTAAATCAGACATTGGCTACGACCTATGTCACGTGACGTACGCGCGCAACCAATTATAAGGCCAGAATTTGATCACGCTCAAAGTGAGCGCTGTACTCCAAGACACGCGATTACGATTGGCCAAAACTTTGCCACGTGATGCGCTACGTGACATATTTTTCAGCCAATTACGACGTCAGAATTGCATCATCTGAGATGACGCATATGTCACATGGTATATCTATTAACGCGCTGAATAGATTCTAGCAAACTTTGGTGAATTCGCAGCCATTTCTCATTGTAAGTGCTCATTAGTTCAATACTCGATTTTGATAGATGTCGCTTGCTTGTAGTTGTATCTTTGCCAATGCTACATGCCGTAACATAACTGAGCTGAAACATGTGCCATATAACTGAGCAATCTTATTTGCTGTTCACATCTGTTCCATTCCTCCTAGAATTGTATTTCTCTCAGATGTTGTCGAGCTTTTGCAGCATCGATCAACAGTTTATCTACTTCGTATTATCACGCCCACTTGAATGATCAATCGATACTATAATGTTAGGTTTTTATTCCATCATGTTATTGTTTACTGTTTTTTGCATTGCTTGTGGTATTACTATATTATATGATTGACTAAAGAAATTAGTCATGATTTAAATCAGAACTTTAAGCTGACATCTTATTTTACGCTTAATCTATAATCATCAATGAGCTCTTGCTATGTTACTTCGAAATTCATAACATATCTTCTGAATAATCATTGTAGCGATGAACTCGTTAACAACATCCAACATCAGCTCCGTCCAAACTCTTTACAATTAATTAATTATAGTCTTTTCATCTGAATTGTTTAATACGATTTAACATGATCTGTTTCAACATTGGAAATTCTAGTCGGATTATAATAGGACTCGGATTCAAGGCATGAGATTGTTAGGTTGAAGAATAAGTATCAAACTGCAGTTTACTTGGTTATATTATAATTAACGCCTGTACAAACCTTGTGGATAACTTACATTCTCCGCCTCTTGCAGTGTCGAACTTATCTCTGTACTAGATTCTTATCTGGCCTGAATTTGTTATGATACATTCCTTTATCCGACTCTATTGATATAAATTCTACACTTCTGGACAGTTTTAATACAACGGTTCTACTTAACAATTTACATCATGATTATTACTCTTAAAATGTAACTGCCCATGAATATGTGATAACACATTAACACGCCCCGCAGCTAAATGGTAATCAATTTGATACACCTCCGTCCTCCCTGTTGCCATGGCGACCATAATTTTCTCTTGCGACTTGCTGTCGAGTTTTATGATATAACATAATAGTGAAGGGTCATTAATCTGCAATTTACATCATGATTATTACTCTTAAAATGTAACTGCCCATGAATATGTGATAACACATTAACACGCCCCGCAGCTAAATGGTAATACATTTGACAGTACTCCCTGTTCCCATGGCAACCACCATTTTCTACAGAGATAAGTTAAACCTAAGAAGTAGTTCTGCTCACTTTTATGGCTATATGCTTTGATTCAATCCTACATCGGGCTAATAAGCTACAACATTACATATCCCCCACGGCCCACCCCTTCCCCCTTTATCCGAATCTATTGATATCAATTGTACACTTCTGCACAGTTTTAAAACGACGGTTGACACTACTGCAATCATAACTATGATATCATTACACTGAAAATGCGACTGCTCATGACAATGTGATAACACCCTCCCCCCATCTGTAACCCCATCTGTAACCCTAAATAAATGTAAATACTAAATAGACTACAATTAATTAACTATAGTCTTTTCATCTGAATTGTTTTATACGATTTAACATGATCTGTTTCAACATTGGAAATTCTAGTCGGATTATAATGGGACTCGGATTCAAGGCATGAGATTGTTAGGTTGAAGAATAAGTATCAAACTGCAGTTTACTTGGTTATATTATAATTAACGCCTGTACAAACCTTGTGGAAAACTTACATTCTCCGCCCCTTGCAGTGTCGAACTTATCTCTGTACTAGATTCTTATCTGGCCTGAATTTGTTATGATACATTCCTTTATCCGACTCTATTGATATAAATTCTACACTTCTGGACTGTTTTAATAAAACGGTTCTACTTTACAATTTACATCATGATTATTACACTTAAAATGTAACTGCCCATGATAATATGTGATAACACATTAACACGCCCCGCAGCTAAATGGTAATACATTTGACAGTACTCCCTGTTCCCATGGCAACCACCATTTTCTACAGAGATAAGTTAAACCTAAGAAGTAGTTCTGCTCACTTTTATGGCTATATGCTTTGATTCAATCCTACATCGGGCTAATAAGCTACAACATTACATATCCCCCACGGCCCACCCCTTCCCCTTTATCCGAATCTATTGATATCAATTGTACACTTCTGCACAGTTTTATTACAACGGTTGACAGTACTGCAATCATAACTATGATATCATTACACTGAAAATGCGACTGCTCATGACAATGTGATAACACCCTCCCCCCATCTGTAACCCCATCTGTAACCCTAAATAAATGTAAATACTAAATAGACTACAATTAATTAACTATAGTCTTTTCATCTGAATTGTTTTATACGATTTAACATGATCTGTTTCAACATTGGAAATTCTAGTCGGATTATAATGGGACTCGGATTCAAGGCATGAGATTGTTAGGTTGAAGAATAAGTATCAAACTGCAGTTTACTTGGTTATATTATAATTAACGCCTGTACAAACCTTGTGGAAAACTTACATTCTCCGCCCCTTGCAGTGTCGAACTTATCTCTGTACTAGATTCTTATCTGGCCTGAATTTGTTATGATACATTCCTTTATCCGACTCTATTGATATAAATTCTACACTTCTGGACTGTTTTAATAAAACGGTTCTACTTTACAATTTACATCATGATTATTACACTTAAAATGTAACTGCCCATGATAATATGTGATAACACATTAACACGCCCCGCAGCTAAATGGTAATACATTTGACAGTACTCCCTGTTCCCATGGCAACCACCATTTTCTACAGAGATAAGTTAAACCTAAGAAGTAGTTCTGCTCACTTTTATGGCTATATGCTTTGATTCAATCCTACATCGGGCTAATAAGCTACAACATTACATATCCCCCACGGCCCACCCCTTCCCCCTTTATCCGAATCTATATTGATATCAATTGTACACTTCTGCACAGTTTTATTACAACGGTTGACAGTACTGCAATCATAACTATGATATCATTACACTGAAAATGCGACTGCTCATGACAATGTGATAACACCCTCCCCCCATCTGTAACCCCATCTGTAACCCTAAATAAATGTAAATACTAAATAGACTACAATTAATTAACTATAGTCTTTTCATCTGAATTGTTTTATACGATTTAACATGATCTGTTTCAACATTGGAAATTCTAGTCGGATTATAATAGGACTCGGATTCAAGGCATGAGATTGTTAGGTTGAAGAATAAGTATCAAACTGCAGTTTACTTGGTTATATTATAATTAACGCCTGTACAAACCTTGTGGAAAACTTACATTCTCCGCCCCTTGCACATTGCAGTGTCGAACTTATCTCTGTACTAGATTCTTATCTGGCCTGAATTTGTTATGATACATTCCTTTATCCGACTCTATTGATATAAATTCTACAATTCTGGACTGTTTTAATAAAACGGTTCTACTTTACAATTTACATCATGATTATTACACTTAAAATGTAACTGCCCATGATAATATGTGATAACACATTAACACGCCCCGCAGCTAAATGGTAATACATTTGACAGTACTCCCTGTTCCCATGGCAACCACCATTTTCTACAGAGATAAGTTAAACCTAAGAAGTAGTTCTTCTCACTTTTATGGCTATATGCTTTGATTCAATCCTACATCGGGCTAATAAGCTACAACATTACATATCCCCCACGGCCCACCCCTTCCCCCTTTATCCGAATCTATATTGATATCAATTGTACACTTCTGCACAGTTTTATTACAACGGTTGACAGTACTGCAATCATAACTATGATATCATTACACTGAAAATGCGACTGCTCATGACAATATGATAACACCCTCCCCCCATCTGTAACCCCATCTGTAACCCTAAATAATTAATGTAAATACTAAATAGACTACAATTAATTAATTATAGTCTTTTCATCTGAATTGTTTTATACGATTTAACATGATCCGTTTCATCATTGGAAATTCTAGTCGGATAACGGATTATAATGGGACTCGGATTCAAGGCATGAGATTGTTAGGTTGAAGAATAAGTATCAAACTGCAGTTTACTTAGTTATATTATAATTAACGCCTGTACAAACCTTGTGGAAAACTTACATTCTCCGCCCCTTGCAGTGTCGAACTTATCTCTGTACTAGATTCTTATCTGGCCTGAATTTGTTATGATACATTCCTTTATCCGACTCTATTGATATAAATTCTACACTTCTAATTCTGGACAGTTTTAATACAACGGTTCTACTTTACAATTTACATCATGATTATTACACTTAAAATGTAACTGCCCATGAATATGTGATAACACATTAACACGCCCCGCAGCTAAATGGTAATACATTTGATACACTGACACATCCGTCCTCCCTGTTGCCATGGCGACCATAATATTCTCTTACGACCTGCTGTTGAGTTTTATGATATAACATACATATTACATAATATATATAGTGATTAGTGAAGGGTCATTAATCTGCATTCTGCACCGTGTGTTTAAAATGACGACATATTAGTACCATATTGGGTACTGCAGTTAACTTGGTTATATTATGGCTGTTAAAGCTAAAGTATGGTAGTTCTGCTCACTTTAATTGTTCTATTTTTAAAAATCCTACATCTAGGGCGCTTTCAGTATCATTATTAATATTGTAAAACCTTGCATTAATACTTTTACGATAATCCTCTGTTTCCATGGCGACAAACAGGCTAGACCTATAAATTCCACGTGATGTAAGAGACTTATTTGCCTTGTAGAATATTTATTTCCCATGGGCCCACGTGCACACCGCGCGCCAAACGGTCACGTGGACAAATTATCAACCTTATCGTGATCCTGTAACTCACACCATATGTGCGTATTTTGGTAAGGAGGAATTATATTCTTGATCTGGGTCCTGGGAACATTCCAACGGCGAGCCATTAACATGTTACACACATTAGTTACATATCATAGCATACAATTTCTTATTACACGCAGTATAGGCGGGACCTGTTATGTGTACAGTTAGCGATATTTAACTGTTATCAATATCAATATCATAAACACATGATATAGAATGTAAGCTCAATAAAATTTAATTCATATATGCAGTGGCGTAACGTTGCCTGTTTGCGCCCCCCCCCCCCCCCCCCCCCCCCGAGCATGCGCCCCCCTGTTGGCACCCCCTCCCCTTTTGGTGCCCACTGCCCCTCCCTAAAATTTAACAAATTAGGTGATTTTAGAGAATAAGCCGGTAAAATCTCTAAAAAAGTGTGTTTCTAGAGCAAAACGTGCAGTTTTGCTAGTACTTTAGTTAAGTACCCCGCTGACCCGGCCCCGCACAGCGGGGTCAGCGGGGCCCTTCGTTACGCCACTGCATATATGGTCTACTAAACTTTTGGTCTACTTCAAAATTAGTCGCCGAAAAATTAAGTCACATGAAATTTGGTTTAAACAATCTTGGTCAACAGTTTGACTAAATTTATGGTTATAGTCAAAATTTGTCGTTATTAAGGTAAGTAAGTTATTCTATAATCTTGCATTAATTATATTTATTTAATAGCAAGGGTTAATCAAGTGTAAGATGATAAACATCATGGACTCGACGATACCAATAACCAGACGACATCAGTATTCGCTATGTGGACAGGCAAGTTATTAAATTACTGCTACTTATTATAGGTGGCTGTCAACTAAATTTTTATCAATTTAGAGAGTAACACCCAATCAGACGATTTTGCGTTCGTAGGTTATACTTTCGTGCTTTCACTGTAGATTGTTACAGTGATAGCAAATGTTACAGTTACATTCAAATAACAGTAGTATACTGACATGTGTTTGGTATGAAACTGAAAGTAAACCAATATTATAATTATATCGAAAAGTAAACCATCTTTTAAGATGTCTAGCGTTTTAATCTTACTAGCATGAGGAACCCGTATAACCCTAAAATAGTGTCAAGACTCAAGAGACTAAATAATTATTACCTATTTAATTTGTGTTTTTGACACCACTTGGGGGTTCAAATTTTGGGCTCTAAAACTCCTATTCCTTGGCCAATTTTTATTTTTTCATGCTGATTTGGAGGCCATTAAAGCATTTGACCCAGTCAAAAAAGTATCAGTTGTATATCTTTTACGGTTTTTGCGGAAAGTCGCGTTAAAGTTGATGCCGTGGTGTCAGTAAAATGGTACGGATAAACACATCCATATATATCGTCTCGCTTTATATATAGTAAGATTATGGCGAATCTTTTCATCGTGTGGCAAACTTGGCTCTAGCCGTTTTAGAATGGTACAGTTATCCCTAGTTTTCAGTTATCCCTAGAACGAATAATCGATCGAAAGTTATAATTCCACAGAAAGGTAACCACAATTTAAAAACCCTAAAACATATTCGTTCTTACACCGGTTGACTTGACGATCTTATATTTTTTGTATACTTTCATGATAGCAACTACTGTAACCATTATTAACTAGCGTAATTACTGAAGTTAACTGTTTCGATTCAGTTTCTTAATTTATTTTACTATTAGACTCTAGCTATACGATACTTAACGCGAAACATAATTGAACACGTTACATACCGTCTAACTAAGACCAAAGAATCCATTGACCATTACAGCTGTTACGTACTGCAGTATATGAATATCACCTCAGACCGTGTTACGTTATCAAGTCTTTGTTTTAGCTGGACGGTATGAACTGAAGTTCGACTCTGTTGTTTCATTGGATTCGTTCAAAACATTTTGTCAGATTACGTAGTCACATTCATATAAAATTTGTTAATTCTTATAATTACTGTACTGGTAAATAGTATTGTATTATTATGTACACTAAATTTAACAAGCAACCACAATGGATCCCAAGCAAGCTGTCAATTAAGCCTTTAGTTTTCGAACTGCAGTGCGTGTCTTAGACAAGTCCAGGTACTCACGTACTTTAATTAGACACAGTCTAACTCTAATTATAATGCGTGAGTACCTCGACTATTTCAGTTCTTGCACATTTGATTGAAATAAATTTTCGTGCACATACAGAATGAATGGTTAATAATTTAATATATATGTAGACCAAGGTCTGTGCACGGGATGCTTCCTGGAAGAATCCAGTTCTTTTAGCGGGGCACCCTACCTAAAGCCAAATTGAGATATAATAATCATATTCCTAGAGAAATAATCAGAAATCGAATACCAATCAAATAATATGATATATAGGAGTAGTAACCATATTTACTATGCAAAATGCCCCAACCACATAGTGTAAATTTGTATAGAATTCAAATTCCATATCATCATTAAACCTCAATAGTCAATATAATAGCCCAAGCAAAATTCAATAACTTCTTATATACCTTACTGTCATACTACAAATTAATTTAACATTTGAAATCTGTTAACCAGAGAATAAATTTCTAAACCTAATGCAAGTGAAATAATTTAGATGCAATAATGAATGCCTAATGTGAGTATCATCTGTCAATGTCCTTGTAAAAAAGTCTGTAAAAGAGATATGAGTAACTTATATAGAAGAAAAAACAGGAAGTTGTCGTCTGTTGAAAAATAAATAAAATATCTAGAATATAAATTAGAATATAAAATAACATTCAGTCAATGTGTCGTCAATAAAATGTACAATTATCAAATGTTAAAACTGGGTGATACAGTCACCAAAAATAAATATTAAGTATAATAAGTAAATAAATTAAATGTGGTCTATAAAACTACCACTAGGTATAATAGGTCAATAAATTAAAAGTGGTTTATAAAACTACCACTGTGCGAACCCTTTCTCCAGTTAAAACATGTCAGTCATGTGCAAAATCAATCAAAATGGTAAGGTGGTAAAAAAAGGAAAATTCTTTCGATACATCAATTATATATGCCTCAGATTTAAAAGAATTAGAAGATACTTAGTTATCGTCGACTATGATTGCAGTGTAAAATTTGTCATATGAATTGTCGACGGTATAATTAGGGTCTGTTGTTATAGATGAGAGTAGCTGTTTCTTATACGAATCACTAAAGCTTTTAACATCGGGCAGATTTCGTAGATCTGTTGGAACATTATTCCAACATTTTGCCCCCAAGTATTGAAAGTTTTTATGTGATGCTGATCTATTAACATATAGGTTGCAGCTTTCGCCGCTCCTACTACCTCCTGATATGTAACTAAATTTGTTCATAAAGTTTGTAGGACAATTGTCATGGATGATTCTAAACATATAATTTGACAGATGGAGTTGCCGTCTAAGATGGAGTGGTAACCATTTCATGTCTCTATAAACATTAAGGCTGCTCTCTGTTTGTGGAACGTTGAGAGCTATTTTGGCTACCTTTTTGTACAGAGTGTCAAGTTCAGCAAGTTTTGTCTTGCCAGCTCTACAATAGATCGTGTCTAAATAATCGAATTGTGGCAACATGAGTGCATTGGCAAACATTTTCCTATATTTAATGGGTAGCAGTGCTTTACTTCTATACATGGCACCAATTCTCTTCATGACCTTCTTAATAATATAATCTACATGGCTTTTGAAGTTTAATTTACTATCTAGAATGAGGCCAAGATATTTTGTCTCTTTGCACTCCTTGATTGTGAAAGTTACCTCATTACATTCAATGGTTAATTCATCATGTTGATCAACAGAATCAAACAATAGGAATTCAGTCTTCTTTTCATTGAGTGATAATTTATTTACACTGAGCCATTTAAAGATTGTCATAAGTTCTATTTTCATGTTTATAAATGTGCTTCTGCAGGTTTGATCAAAGAATAGTGCACCATCATCTGCAAATAGAAAGGGCTTAGATAGGTTACAGGCATAAATGATGTCATTTATGAAGATACTAAATAATATAGGCCCAATGATGCTTCCTTGTGGTACACCACTCAGAACTTCTAAAAATGAGCTTAGTTTGCCATTGATCCTAGTGCATTGATATCTACAAGATAAGAAGTTCTTAAACCAGGTTAAAGCAATGCCACCAATTCCATAATATGCCAATTTTTGAAGCAATATTTCATGATTCACTGTGTCAAAGGCCTTCTTAAGATCAAGAAAGATGATTCCTGGTTTATAAGACTTAGATTTACTCATATATATTTCGTCCATCAGATCGTACATCAAATAAGTTGTGGAGTGATTTTTCCGAAAGCCATATTGATGCCGGATGAAAAGTTTGTTCTCTTCCATGTAATCAGTGAGTTGCTTGCCGACAAAGTATTCTATAAGTTTTCCTACAAGTGGAAGGATGGATATTGGCCTGTAATTATTAGGATCATCTTTTATTCCTGCCTTATGGATGGGAGTTACTCTAGCTTTTTTACAAAGTGTTGGTACAACACCTGTATTAAGGCTCAAATTGACAATATGGGTCAGTGGCTCAACTATGTGTGGTACAGCTTGCTTAAGTAAAAATAGAGGCACATCGTCATATGAGGCCTTGTCATTCTTGAGCGTTTCGACATACATTAGGATATCAGTTTCATTTATTTCTTGGAATCTATCAAATGAGATGTTAGAAGTTCTAGGAGGTAAAAAATCAGTAAAACTAACTCTTTCAATACTGGGGGCCTGATTTTGTAATCTTGATCCAACATTTGCAAAATGAAAGTTAAATAGCTCAGGATCATTCTCATTGATAGTTTGACAATTAGTTGTACCAGGGGTCATATTTGATGCCAGTTTGATAGTTTTCCATACCCCTTTAAGATCATTCTTGGCACTTTTAACTTGTAGATCATCGATTACATTAGCCTTTTTGCAGGTTTTAGCTAATTTATTTCTAATATTTCTCTGAATCTTGTAGCAATCCCAGGCCTCATTACACTTTATACATTTGCTACATATACCACATTTATTGCAATTTCCATTGTCTCTCTTATCCTTCTTTTTACGGAATTTCTTTAGAAGAAAATGTGTATGATTAATGGCATTTAAAAGTTCAGTAGAAGGTTTATGTATGAACTTTTCATGCCTTTCTATGGTCTTGCAAGGGAAGAAGGTTGCATATGCCTGTTCAATATGATGACAAAGGCCAGCAGTGATAGCTTCAACATCTGTACTTTCCAATAGTGGACTGTAATCAGAACAGGTATCTAGATAGTCTAAGAATTGTTTAACATTACGTTTACAATGATTTCTAATTTCAACCTTTTCAAATTTAGGAGCTATAGGTACTTTACAATCTATCTCACACATAATAGCTTGATGATCCCCAATACGTTCATCAAGAACAGAAGATTGAACAAAATCTGCATAACAGTTAGTGAATATTACATCAATAGTAGTCTGGGTAAAATTGTCTCCACGTTTAGCAACTCTAGTTATCCCTTGAATGGTTTGAACTAGATTGTAACATCTCAAGGTCATATCTAATTTTTTGTACTGGGTTGATGAGATATTATTCTGGTCAATGTTTATATCCCCAATCCAGATAACCTTTTTCCCGTTCAATTTTTTCATGCAAAAATGAATGTACTCAATAAAGTTATCAACACTGCAATAATTTCCAGAGCGATAGAAGCAGCAAACATTGATCTTGCTATTCTTAAGCTTCACCCATAATGCTTCAATGTTATCAAGCTTACTATCCATAACTAATTCTGTGTAAGCTAGTTTTTTGTTTATCATTAAGCCACAACCACCCCTAGAACTGTTTGGCCTGTCGCATCGCATAATGTTGAAGGAGGAAGGAATATTTATGGTGTCTGTGTCAATAGTATCATTAAGATTCATCTCATTTAGGGAAAGTATGTCTAGCTTATGATCTCGAATGAGTTGAGTAAGTTCATTACTTTTAGCTAAATTTAGGAGACCACCTTGAATGTTACAGTGACCATTTACATGACGTAAAGTCGGCAGTACTTTAATTGACAAACGAGAAATTATCTATTTCCGTATTATATCTTGTCCGATGTTCGTACTTTCAATTTAATTATGAATTGTTCAGTGAACTTAGTACTCACGAGGTTTGGATGATTTATTTGAAACGAACGGACTTCCATTATAATCTGGATTCAAATTAAACACATAAATAACACAATTCAAAATAGATTAGTGTTGGACATTTTGCAAGACTTCAACATTTATTGATTTATGCTTTTTGGACAAGCTCAGTATAATTCTTAAGTTACCTGGGGGCCCAGGCTATTATGTTCATAAACATAAAGATTCGGCGGAATGACAGGCTGAGCGCCGCCCAGTAATTCTTAAGATGATCAGGTGACGCGTTACGTGCCGTCTATACCAGGAGGTGACCGGGACATGATTTTAGGCCTGACCGGGACCGGGACCGGGATACAAAATGTGACTTGACCGGGACCGGGACCGGGACTGAGATTATCAATTTACCGTGACCGGGACCGGGACCAATAATTTCTGGGATTTCTATCTTACCGGGACCGGGACCAACAATCCAATTTTACCGGGATTTGACCGGGATTTGACCGGGATGACCGGGACCAAAACTGGTATTCTCATATTGAAAGCTGAAACTTTCATTTACATTATAATTGAACAATTTGAATAAGTAATAACTAGAATATTAAATTAGGAAAAACTAAAAAACCCGTCAATATGGGGCATGGGCCTAATGTACTACACCAATAATGTTCATGTACTGATTACTCAAGTTCACCCTCATTCTTCATTCCTCAATCAATGATCCCTCAAATTATTAAACAGTTTCATTCTCCAATTCCAATTGACAATTGGGCGTAGCCCGGGCCGAGTTGAAAACTTGATGTTACTTTGCACTTATGAGTTATGTAACGATATTAGTTACCTTAACTTGTTTAGCAATTTTAAACATTGTTTTATTTGGCTCAGAGGTTGTTTAAAGATGAAATTCACAATGAATGAAAGTAAAAACTTAAAATCACAGTGAATGAAATTATGTAAAAGATCCCGGTCAAAATCCCGGCAAATTTGAGTGATTGACCGGGACCGGGACCGGGACCGGGACCAAGAATCCTGAATTAACCGGGACCGGGATCATAAATCACCATTTGACCGGGACCGGGACCGCGACCGGGATGAAAAATGTGACTTGACCCGGTTGACCGGGACCGGGACCGGGATAGCTCAAAATTGCCAATCCCGGTACCGGGATTCCCGGTCACCTCCTGGTCTATACTCTATAATAGTTAGGATCGAATACTGCTGACTAGCTAGTATCAACTACTGGATCACGTACTGCAATACGTGCTGTCAAGGCAGAACAAAGACTCCATCACGTAATCGACTACGTAACGCGTAACGTAATGTCTAGCTAGGATCTAAGTTTCCGGGTTGTTTTGGATCACCCTGTGAATCTGCATTACTGCCACATTGATGGTGTGCAAAGAACCAATAACTATCTACAAAATGTACTGTGACCTGTGTCACATATTGCATAGCAATAAAGGTACCAGAGAAATTGTGAGAAAGGAGGCAACAATTCTGTGGCCGTATTTCATGTCTAATTTCTAAACTTTCTGCAAGATTTTAATATAACGTTGAGTAACATTTATTATTTTCAGGTACCTAGAGTTTCAGTGTCTGAACTCTGAAATCCCTATAACCTACTCTTGCCCTCAGTCAGACTGCTGTTCAAAGTAAGACAAGTTCTAGTTAAGTTTGAGATCAAGATTTAACTATTGAAGTATGTATAAATTGTATATTGTATAAATTGCATGTACAAATGTATAAATTAAAGAAGATTCCGTTCCTTGAATGACTTTAAAACATTTGAACATAAAATTTTTTACTGAGATACAGAGGGATTCGAATTTTTCTCTTCAATCTTATTGGTTCTATCAATAATATTCTGATTTTGTTGCAGGTCGACTGCAGGGCGCAGGCAACGACTGGCAACGGGAGATCAGAAATTCAGCTTGATCAGACTTAAGTATGCTTCATGATGAAAAACGAAAGACATCAAACTTGGTTAAATGGTATACAGATCAACGATTGGACATTCCTTCTACTTTAATGCTACATCAACATGTAATACTTGATAGACAATAACCTTCAAATATTTTGTGACTGAACTGTGAAATGTGAACACAATCCCAACCCTTCAATTATGATAGGATTTACCTCGACCAATATATATATTACAACTATGACAGTGGGTTGCATGTACATACGATGTTTCAGGAAGCCCGTGAACCCGGCTTGTAATATGCAATTTTTCAGCATTTATATCTGTGATAGCTGCACTGAAAGTATTTTGGGGTCTCGTATTTGTAGTTTGTACGTGTGAAATTTACTCTTTACTGTTTATATTTCATATGTTATTTATCATATTTGGCTTTTGTAATTGATCGTGGATGATTAAACTTAACTTATAACTGTTGTGCATGTTGATGATTGGCGATTGGCAAATGGCATACTTATATTGACTGTATTGAGTTATTGATGGGATGAAATGTATTAGAATTCTTGTTCTGCTTAAACAGACCGCTTCAAATTAACCAAGCCTATTTATTGAATGCCAACATAATGAAGAACTCAATCGATATAGCGAATTTACCAGATTACGTTCATATCAACTCTGTCCAGTATCTGTGCTGTCACAGTGTCACAATATGCAGAAATGATATAATGTGCTCGCGGTAACGCGCGATATTAGTCAAGTTTGCGCTAAGTTGAGCGCTCGATCTTTCGTTTCTCTCCCGTCTAACATTTCGAGAAGAAAGCGGCGCGCGCTACTTCGAAGAAATTTAGACGAGTAACATCCGTCAATATCCTATTCTGATTACGATCACAGCTCACCACAACAAACCAGCACTTAATTCGAACACTAAAACCTGGTATCCGCTGCTGATTCGGCACGATAACCTGGACCGGAACTGGGATCCCAGTCGAACCTTGTACGTACCTTAGGGCCAATAAATTTGGTTCACAATTAAGTTGGTTACCGTAATTTTGATTACTATGATTTTTGTCACAAATTTCGCAAATTTTTAGTCTACAGCAATTTTAATCACATTTTTCGACTTTTCGAGACCAGTTTCCATTCCATACGACGTTGTTTATGTCGATGTGATCACCCAGCCGTTTCAACAGAGCATGCATTGGGATTGATCGATTAAAAATGTGATATCCAAGAGGAGCTCTAACCCTTTAAGTGCAATGGGACTTTGGTACGGTTTTTTTTAAACGGTGATGTCATTATATTAATTACAAAGCCCTATGAACCATGTAAGCTTAATAATATTCACTATTTATGTCAAACATGCTCAACTGATATTTTGGTCTCCTTTAAAATTAGACGCCGAAAATTTAGTCTCACGAAAAGTTTGACTAAATTTATTGTAGACTAAATTCGTCGTTCTTAAGGTATTGTACGTATCATAACAAAAAACGTAATCTTTAAAAAAGTGCTTACCTATTTTTTACCACGATCATCGGATGTTAGTTCAGAATTCAATAACATCTGTCAGGAAATCTACTTGTTCCAAGAGTCATTCTGTTCCAGCTAGAAATTGGGATGTTTGTAATATATGTTTAAAACTGGTAATTCATATTAGAAACATTTTGGCAGACTACTTAATCAATATAAAAGCGGGGGCAGCCTTAGCGATTGGTTATTGTAAAACAACATTATTCAGATATGGAATGTGAGAAATTTAGTCTCACGAAAAGTTTGACTAAATTTATTGTAGACTAAATTCGTCGTTCTTAAGGTATTGTACGTATTATAACAAAAAACATAATCTTTAAAAAAGTGCTTACCTATTTTTTACCACGATCATCGGATGTTAGTTCAGAATTCAATAACATCTGTCAGGAAATCTACTTGTTCCAAGAGTCATTCTGTTCCAGCTAGAAATTGGGATGTTTGTAATATATGTTTAAAACTGGTAATTCATATTTGAAACATTTTGGCAGACTACTTAATCAATATAAAAGCGGGGGCAGCCTTAGCGATTGGTTATTGTAAAACAACATTGTTCAGATATGGAATGTGAGAAAAATAAGAATGTTCGTGATACTCAACACCTATTCACTCCGCCAATTGCATCACATTTAGAAGTGAATTTCGAAGAATACTGCTAACAACAAAACAAGCCTAAACAGAGCTTGATTTTACACAAAAATCAGGCACAAATGAAATAATCTGGAGAGTGCAGACTTTCATTCCATCCCAAACCTAAGAACTGTAGTAAAATGTCATTCAAAATCTAGGAACGTGTGCTACGTTATTAGTATTACCAATTTAAACCAGGCTTAGAAATGGGTATCAGGCATTTAGTTAGAAGCCCCCATAAAGGCAGAGTCGACTTATTACCCTAATAAAAATATTTCGTCATGTCAATACAATGCACAAATATCCAACAATAAAAACCAAGTTCGGTGGAGTTATCCAAACTCCAAGCTGTAGAATACAATGCTGGTGAGTCGACAAACGAAACAAATCTCAATCATTAGCAGTATGCAGTACGCAACACGTGCGAGTATAGACGCGCAACCAATATTTTGACTAAATTAAATATCTTTCTCGTAAAGTTATAAACGCGCGGCGTAGTGCGTGCTCTAATGATCCAAAATAAATTATTTTTTACTTGAATAATGGAAAACAAAATTACAAAAGGATGTTTTTCTTGGACAAAAAAACGTTATGAACAACATGCTGAAACAATTTTTATCAAAAAATGTATGGAAATGTCCATACATTTTTAAACAAGTATAAAGAAGTATAAATTTATCCTTACATATTATGATTTTGGGCTACTGACTTAATGAAACTTTGTGATTGCAAATAGATTTTTGGAAGTTACTTGTGATATTATCATTTCAATCAATATTTTGAGCTTTAATAAAAATTATCAATAACTAATACTTACAACATTAAACATATCATGATCACATATAATGTATAAAGACGCGCGCGATAAAATTACAAAATAATAATGATGAATGAATAATTCATATAAACAGTCTTTTTGTTTAGTAAATTACACTGCAAAAGGTTTTTATATCTTCAAAGAAAAATAAAAGCAACCAAATGAATCAACTTCAATACGGAACAAATAGTGATGTACATACAAACATTGATTTACAACGTAACATGTTTTAAATTGTAAATAAGATGTTAGGGTCGTATTACTTATAATATGCACTATAATGTAAACGGCATTGGGCATAGTCATATAAAAGCCAACAATTGTACATCGTAAATTCCATCAAGAATTAAAGATTAAATGCAGTATCAAGTATGAATGTTAACAATAGTTATATATGTTTAATGTTGAACTTCACACGGCAAAAGCTGCGCGCGCAGTAAACTACGAGCGTTCAGTTGCAAATCAAGTTCTACCGAAGTTTGTAGGGCGCCAAATTTTTTTATGTGGACGCGTTCGCGCATTCTGAGTAAACAGCTCGCGGTGGGTACTAAAACTTTATTAGAATTATTCCAAAAAAAGCAATCATTTGTAATACTTTTAGAAATCATATCCTGTATCGTTACAGGAGTTTTTACGATACAGGGGGAGCCGGACACTCGTGCGCGGCGGGTCATACAACGTATGACAACGAAAAGACAGGTTATGGCTCTCTGACTAAAGCGCGAGCAGTGTTGGTAATTTTTATACAGAGAGCAGTTCCAGAGGACATGTACTTCATTTTCGATGATGGGGTCGAAGAATGGCATTTCAGCGAAATTTTCGAGCACGTCCCTGTCCTCTGTTGAGCAACCTTTACATATCCGAAGTACGATCTGATTTCTTTCGTGGGTTCCATGACGTGTGCAGCCTCAATATTGAAACTGTGTGGCATCTGAATTGTGGCAGCTTTTTTATTCAGCCTGCGACAGGTGACCTGTCGCAGGCTGAATAAAAAAGCCTGTCACAGGTCCATAATCCATATTGAGTTATAATACTACTCATATAGACAAACTTCATCTTAATGGTATTGTAAAACATTATTTCCTGTTGTTCTCAGTGTTCCATATCTGACTGAAGTTGGAACGCGTCGCTTCTTTGATTTGTATACATACATTGGGTATTATATTTATTGTTTTGCATCATTTATTATAAAAAAACGAAATTTTTATTTTTATATAAAACATTTTTCAAACAGTATACAAATGATGTCACAATGACCTTATATAAAAATAACCCTTCAGAAACTCAATATTTTGAAAATCACCCTTGGCCTTGCGGCTCCAAGTTCAAATCTAAACTGTCTATATTGACAAAATTCTGTCTCGTCCCTCTGTCTCCCCGGAGAGAAATTACCGTCGTTCTTAAGATTTCGAAACAAAGGCGCTTCCTTATGTATCCCACTGCATCTTTCCTACTGCCACTCGAATAACGTCACTATGATTCCTCATTACAGGTCCTCATTACAGGTTACCATTAGGTTTCAGAAGGATCGGTTAGTGCCACAGAACAATCATGTGATCTGATCTGATCTTAACATATGTAAGTAAAATACAATTTTAAGTAAAATACAATTTTTATTTTCCACAGAAGAATCAATACATATTGAATTATAAATATCCGATAATTCCATTAATAATCATTAAAAGTTGCTTTGTCATTTGTAAAATCAAAAACGAAAAGCCCTACGCTGAACGCGCACGGCATTTTTTCTGCAGCTGCCTAGCTTCAAGCTTGTAGCCGCTAACATCAAAGCCGCCGCGCGCGCCCAGTGCTGGGGTGCATTCTCATTAACAATTAAACTTGGTCAAAGATATTTATATACAATTCCTAAATTAAATCAATAATCATGTTAATATGAGTATTCAACACTACTCGACAACAAATATTTGCCGGCCCATCAACGATTCAGTCGCCGAAACAAAAATCAAATGTTTGCTTTTTCGTTTCGGGGACTGTTTGAACTCAGTACCATATCCGACTAATCACACTTTATAATGGTTAAAATACAAAGTAAAAAGATTTTCCTCGATGGGCCGGCATTCGCAACCGCGAAACGTTTTGAGTACGACAAACGATGACACCACCACCAGCCGTTAATTGATAAGTCCATGGGTGACGGGATATTGTAGGTTTACAACCTACCAGGACGCGCGCCGAGTTGGACTCGTCGACGGTCCAATATATGGAACAGATATTTTACGAGTATCACCCGTTAAACGGGATAAAGTTAAAGTAAGATGTGTAATTTCATATTGCCTATCACCTGTCACCTAAGTTACTTTGCATATACTGCTTCTAGTTACACGATAGCGATCTCAGTTCCCAATAACGTGTGACCCAACAGAGGGGATTGTGGAAGGACACGTACATTTTTCATTAACACGTGCCCTGATTACCCTCTCCGTTGAGCTACTATACGGGGAACGTTGACCGCCAGTCTGTAGTCAGATCGTTAATAAATTATACTTTAAAATTGGTTGCCGGGTGATGGTGTCAGTGAGAGACGTTAAGTTAGGTGAACATTGGTACAAAAATATAATAATCTATCAGTTTATCTCAAAGTTAAAATCACTATTTGTTAAAGTATACAAACAGTTCTAATTGAAATAAATTTTCGTGCACATACAGAATGAATGGTTAATAATTTAATATATATGTAGACCAAGGTCTGTGCACGGGATGCTTCCTGGAAGAATCCAGTTCTTTTAGCGGGGCACCCTACCTAAAGCCAAATTGAGATATAATAATCATATTCCTAGAGAAATAATCAGAAATCGAATACCAATCAAATAATATGATATATAGGAGTAGTAACCATATTTACTATGCAAAATGCCCCAACCACATAGTGTAAATTTATATAGAATTCAAATTCCATATCATCATTAAACCTCAATAGTCAATATAATAGCCCAGGCAAAATTAAATAACTTCTTATATACCTTACTGTCATACTACAAATTAATTAAACATTTGAAATCTGTTAACCAGAGAATAAATTTCTAAACCTAATGCAAGTGAAATAATTTAGATGCAATAATGAATGCCTAATGTGAGTATCATCTGTCAATGTCCTTGTAAAAAAGTCTGTAAAAGAGATATGAGTAACTTATATAGAAGAAAAAACAGGAAGTTGTCGTCTGTTGAAAAATAAATAAAATATCTAGAATATAAATTAGAATATAAAATAACATTCAGTCAATGTGTCGTCAATAAAATGTACAATTATCAAATGTTAAAACTGGGTGATACAGTCACCAAAAATAAATACTAAGTATAATAAGTAAATAAATTAAATGTGGTCTATAAAACTACCACTAGGTATAATAGGTCAATAAATTAAAAGTGGTTTATAAAACTACCACTGTGCGAACCCTTTTTCCAGTTAAAACATGTCAGTCATGTGCAAAATCAATCAAAATGGTAAGGTGGTAAAAAAAGGAAAATTCTTTCGATACATCAATTATATATGCCTCAGATTTAAAAGAATTAGAAGATACTTAGTTATCGTCGACTATGATTGCAGTGTAAAATTTGTCATATGAATTGTCGACGGTATAATTAGGGTCTGTTGTTATAGATGAGAGTAGCTGTTTCTTATACGAATCACTAAAGCTTTTAACATCGGGCAGATTTCGTAGATCTGTTGGAACATTATTCCAACATTTTGCCCCCAAGTATTGAAAGTTTTTATGTGATGTTGATCTATTAACATATAGGTTGCAGCTTTCGCCGCTCCTACTACCTCCTGATATGTAACTAAATTTGTTCATAAAGTTTGTAGGACAATTGTCATGGATGATTCTAAACATATAATTTGACAGATGGAGTTGCCGTCTAAGATGGAGTGGTAACCATTTCATGTCTCTATAAACATTAAGGCTGCTCTCTGTTTGTGGAACGTTGAGAGCTATTTTGGCTACCTTTTTGTACAGAGTGTCAAGTTCAGCAAGTTTTGTCTTGCCAGCTCTACAATAGATCGTGTCTAAATAATCGAATTGTGGCAACATGAGTGCATTGGCAAACATTTTCCTATATTTAATGGGTAGCAGTGCTTTACTTCTATACATGGCACCAATTCTCTTCATGACCTTCTTAATAATATAATCTACATGGCTTTTGAAGTTTAATTTACTATCTAGAATGAGGCCAAGATATTTTGTCTCTTTGCACTCCTTGATTGTGAAAGTTACCTCATTACATTCAATGGTTAATTCATCATGTTGATCAACAGAATCAAACAACAAAAGAACTAAGTCCGAGAGCAGAGAGAAGATTTGGAGACTATACACGCATATGTGGGGTTTAAATTTGGTATTAGTAATTTTAGGGTTCGACCGAAAATGTTGGTCGGTTGGTTAATAGGGAGCAGTCACTGTCATTAGAATTATCAGATTAGGAGCAGCAATTAGAATCAAATTGGACATATTGTGTATTGTGAAATCAGTGAAACCTAGAATGGCGGCAAAATGCTAACGCGCCTTGTTATGCGCGCTAACATACTAGCTGCTGAAAATAAAGAAGTATATGCATGATAATGTCGTTTGGCGTCAGCGCCTGCCGATACCTGGATTATATTGTGTTTAACTTAGAATTCAGTGAAATTTTTGTCATTCCATTCAGCACCATACCTGTTTTGGGCATTCATCAATGACTTTTGTAATTTATTCTTAACAGAAGAACAAGAGGAATTAAAATTAAATGAGCCAATTTTACAAAACTCATTCCACAGCCACGCTGATTTATAGATGAATTGTTTAGTTGGAGAAGGTGTGATTAACATATTGTCTTTCCTATGAGATATGGTGAACCTGTAACCTATCTAAGCCCTTTCTATTTGCAGATGATGGTGCACTATTCTTTGATCAAACCTGCAGAAGCACATTTATAAACATGAAAATAGAACTTATGACAATCTTTAAATGGCTCAGTGTAAATAAATTATCACTCAATGAAACGAAGACTGAATTCCTATTGTTTGATTCTGTTGATCAATATGATGAATTAACCATTGAATGTAATGAGGTAACTTTCACAATCAAGGAGTGCAAAGAGACAAAATATCTTGGCCTCATTCTAGATAGTAAATTAAACTTCAAAAGCCATGTAGATTATATTATTAAGAAGGTCATGAAGAGAATTGGTGCCATGTATAGAAGTAAAGCACTGCTACCTATTAAATATAGGAAAATGTTTGCCAATGCACTCATGTTGCCACAATTCGATTATTTAGACACGATCTATTGTAGAGCTGGCAAGACAAAACTTGCTGAACTTGACACTCTGTACAAAAAGGTAGCCAAAATAGCTCTCAACGTTCCACAAACAGAGAGCAGCCTTAATGTTTATAGAGACATGAAATGGTTACCACTCCATCTTAGACGACAACTCCATCTGTCAAATTATATGTTTAGAATCATCCATGACAATTGTCCTACAAACTTTATGAACAAATTTAGTTACATATCAGGAGGTAGTAGCAGCGGCGAAAGCTGCAACCTATATGTTAATAGATCAACATCACATAAAAACTTTCAATACTTGGGGGCAAAATGTTGGAATAATGTTCCAACAGATCTACGAAATCTGCCCGATGTTAAAAGCTTAAGTGATTCGTATAAGAAACAGCTACTCTCATCTATAACAACAGACCCTAATTATACCGTCGACAATTCATATGACAAATTTTACACTGCAATCTTAGTCGACGATAACTAAGTATCTTCTAATTCTTTTAAATCTGAGGCATATATAATTGATGTATCGAAAGGATTTTCCCTTTTTTTACCACCTTACCATTTTGATTGATTTTGCACATGACTGACATGTTTTAACTGGAGGAAGGGTTCGCACAGTGGTAGTTTCATAAACCACTTTTAATTTATTGACCTATTATACCTAGTGGTAGTTTTATAGACCACATTTAATTTATTTACTTATTATACTTAGTATTTATTTTTGGTGACTGTATCACCCAGTTTTAACATTTGATAATTGTACAGTTTATTGACGACACATTGACTGAATGTTATTTTATATTCTAATTTATATTCTAGATATTTTATTTATTTTTCAACAGACGACAACTTCCTGTTTTTTCTTCTATATTAGTTACTCATATCTCTTTTACAGACTTTTTTACAAGGACATTGACAGATGATACTCACATTAGGCATTCATTATTGCATCTAAATTATTTCACTTGCATTAGGTTTAGAAATTTATTCTCTGGTTAACAGATTTCAAATGTTTAATTAATTTGTAGTATGACAGTAAGGTATATAAGAAGTTATTTAATTTTGCTTGGGCTATTATATTGACTATTGAGGTTTAATGATGATATGGAATTTGAATTCTATATAAATTTACACTATGTGGTTGGGGCATTTTGCATAGTAAATATGGTTACTACTCCTATATATCATATTATTTGATTGGTATTCGATTTCTGAATATTTCTCTAGGAATATGATTATTATATCTCAATTTGGCTTTAGGTGCCCCGCTAAAAGAACTGGATTCTTCCAGGAAGCATCCCGTGCACAGACCTTGGTCTACATATATATTAAATTATTAACCATTCATTCTGTATGTGCACGAAAATTTATTTCAATCAAAAACAAAGAGAACATTGAAATGTATGTATGTATGTCGACAGAGGGCAGCGCTAGGCCCGCGCTAGGCCCGCTGTGGTGCCCTCAACCTACTTTTAGATTTGAGGGTCATGTATGCGACATCCATGTCCAGTGGACAACGCAACACGGTGAGCTGTACACTGGGCACGCGCGCGTAATAATAGAGCTCAAACAGGTATCAAACTGATCTTAACATATACGTACTACTGCTCTTTAATTTTTCGCTCGAAATTAAGCACTAAGCAAATGCCAAAATGTCTTACCAGTCCCTACCGAACTCAGTACTTTAGATTTGTTTGGAGAGGCGAATCACACAGTTTAGGCTCTTGAAATCTTCGATATAAAAATCATCTTGAGAGAACCTCCTCAAATTATTTGTTATATAGTAATGTTGAAAGTATTGAAACAGTACTTGTATTAACAGTATTAAAACTCAGTACTTGCCACATTGAATGGTTACCAGTTACCAGGCGACCATGGGAACTAGGGGGCTGCAGCCCCCTGGCCCCCCTGGCTATGTGCCTGATTATTAGTAACAAGTGATATTTACAGGGTTCAAAATGATGTACAATTTAATGTAAAACAGCATAGTATACTATAATATAATACTATGTTTGCAGTACTATTTCATAATATTGATGTACTGAAGGGTTATCCTAAAAATATTCTTGATCTGTTGGCAGGACCCATCATTTAAACTCAATCACAGGTTCCGAACTTCAAAAAATGTAACTATTAAATTATTCAATGTAATCATGATATTATCAAAAATATCCCCTTATATGATTTCAGCCTATCCACCTTTTTTAATACCAATTTCCGTTCCCAAAAACGAAACCCCGATTCACATGTTACTTTATGATTTTCAAAAATGGCTTTATTTTAAACCTTTTATTTCAATTTATTATTTACTGTAAAATTACATGTTTCAGGTGTTGGTGTGTTTCAGATTATGCAAAATGTATATTTTCCTTAAGTGAAGCAAAATTATCATAATCCTCACCAAATCTCATAAATAGGAAGTAAAGAGACTACCTATGTCTGACGATGCTATAAAGCAATTTGTGGGCGTGACAGGCAGCTCTGTTGAAGATGCTATAAAATACCTCTCAATATGTGACAACAATGTAAGTTTGGCTGTGGAATGTTTTGTTGATCAGCAACCACATTCCAATGGTTCCAGTGCAAATGGAGGTAGCAGTTCTCTGCTCGAAGAGGAGGAAGTTCGTGCTCCTATACCATCCAGGACAGACAGATTAGTTGAGGAACATGTGCGTGTTGGTAGAGTTAGTAAGCAACCTGCCAATGCATTTGATGCAGCTCCTGGTCAGAGAGATTTCTCAACGGCACTCTATGCAAACCCACTTGCTAAAAGAAAACTAAACGGTGGGTTCTTAATTCGTTTGGGGAATTTCCACTTTAATATTGGAATATAAATGAATTAGTATCATATTCAATACCAGTTACTTTTATAGATGATATGAGCTACGTGACTCACTCTTATTGTCAGATGTGAAACACAATTTTAGACTATTTTTAGCATTTTTGCCAATTTAATATTATCTAAATTTATTCGTCTCACGAATTTCACTCTTCTCAGGATTGGCTGCTCTATTTAAACCCCCTTCTGACATAACATTTGTTGGGACTCTTGAAAGTGCTAAATTGAGGGGCAAACGTCTCAAGAAGTGGCTTCTTGTAAATATACAGGTGGGTTCATTTTATTATTATATTTGTTTTCAATAAAATAAAACCAGGGTTCTTATATAATATTATGAACATGACTTTGTTTAATATTTAAAAGTGGACATTGTCTCATGTTTATGATCGATTCAAATTAAAATATTTTTTTCTCAGGACATAACTGATTTTCAATGTCAAGTTTTAAATCGTGATCTGTGGAGTAAGCCAGAAGTTAGAAGCATGATTGACCAACATTTTGTCTTCTGGCAAATTTACAGGTTAAGAATTGTCACAACACTGATTTGTTTTATCTCCTTAATGCACATCATCATTATCGATTTTGCTGCAGAGCACATTGATTATAGCTTATATGGTTAACATGTTGAAACTTGAATGTATGTGAATTTCACAGTATAGTAACCTGACAACACCTTCCACCCCAGAGATTCAATGGAAGGTGAACACTTTCTCCGGTTTTACAACTGTCTCTCGTCTCCCTTTATCGGTGTTATAGATCCAGGGACAGGTGAGCTGATGAGACATTGGACCTTTCTCACAAAGGAGGAGTTTCTCAATGAGATGACCTTGTTTTTGTCAGATAACTATTCTGCTCTCCTCTCCCCAGTGATGAGCTCGCCTCCTCCTTCAAAACGACCCTGTAACAGCAGAACTAGGTTTGTTGTATTTATTAAATCTGTTTTAAAGTTAAGTGTAATAGCTTAGTTACAGTATCAAATACTAAGTTATATTCATACACGTGCAGCTGTGAAGTCAGTAGTGAAATCAGAATATTTTAAAATATACCCCTCCCAGAGGCATACTGCACGACATCACAGACTCCGCAATGAACGGTTACTCCAGCAGCGCTCACCCCAGCAGCTCCCTCTCAACCAACGAGGAAGTGATGAGGAGCAGATCACCGTCCCCTACTCCTGGTCCCTCATCAGCAGCCAGTTCGTCACGTGACACAGCAGAACCACCCTCAACCTCACAACCCAGAATAGTCAACGGGGAAATCATCAGTCCCGTTCGGAAACCCAGTTCTAATAAACACAAAGCTACTGTGATAGACCCCAGTATGATTAGCATAACATTCCGGCTCCCTGATGGATCACGTGACTATTTAAGTGTTGGGAGATCGTCCCGGTGCAGGGATCTGTACCAGTGGTTGTCAGGGAAACGGTTTAGTGATCACGTGATATGGACGCAGTTTCCTAAAGATGTTATCCCGAATGATGGGAGTAGTTTGATAGGTTGTTTGGGATGTAGTAGAGTAATGTTGTATGTCGAGGAGAAGGATTGAGTTATTTTGAGTGTGCAAGTTTTTAATGATCTGCATGGATATATTGTCGTTTTAAAATTATATTTTCATATCTCTGATCGTGAAGTTTAATTGAAGTTAAATTGCAGCGGAAAATTTGGAATATAATGTACAAATTTCAATACTTGAATAAATTTGATGTATAAAATTTCAAGAAGCTCTTTGTGATTGGATGTATTACTTTTAAAATGATATTCAACCGCATCAGGAATAAAATTTAAAAAGCTTGCTAATACAATATTGTACTTTGAATTGTTCTTAAATAATTACGACAATTGTGACGGAAACAGATTACTCTGTAAGGTTTCATTGATAGACTAGCAGACTAGAAGTAATACTGTTATTAGTTTCCCAATCATCTGAATGTGATATCAATCCAGTAATTTCTTGAAAAATCTATTCTTTAAATATTCGATGATATTAGTGCCTGTATTAACAATCTTAATTATTTAGGTTTAATGTGTTTACGTTAACTGCAGCTGTGGCGTTTCTTAATTTATCCGAATTTTCTGTCAAAAGACGTAACGACTACAGCTCCAGGCACTGCAGAGAAAAGGAATTATCGGTCGAAGAAGTTGGAAGACATAATTATGAATCTCTAGTCGATCTGGAGACTTGGTCAAAGGAATCTGGTAATCCCGTACCGAAGTCTTGTCAAAGTCCTTTTGCTTATCCTCCAAAATCCCTGCCAGTAAGTTTGAAGTTAGATAGATGGGCAGATCAAAGCCATATTCGTTTCCGTGATACAAATTTTTATCACTCACCCGATTTTGAAGTCGAACTTCCTCCAAAAGAAATACCAGAATTCATTCCTGAACTTTTCTCTATTGGAAAGATTTTATCTTGGGCGATGAGAGAGCAAGTCGATTTGGGACACGTAGACATGTTCATATTAAGTTGTGCCTTGCGTGATATGGCTTCAATTGCAACTTTAAGTCGATGGGAAGGTAATTGGGAATATGCAGTATTTTGCTACAAAGGAAAGATATTTATCGACAGAACTGTTGATGGCAGCGAAAGATACTGGGAAGATGGATTGAATGATCCTCTAAGTTATGACCATAGGAAATTGCTACGCGAACCGCCTAGTAAACCCTTGTTTCGAGAAACAACAGACTCAGAATATGAACATACACGAAGTACATACACAGAATATGAACATATCGGCTACATTGTCCCATATTTCGATTATTCTGATACTCTGAAAAAGGAGTGGGCACCGTTACAGTACGGAAAAAAGTTTGAGGATGTATTAAGAAGTGGGGGACCTGGAAACCCTCTTTACAACGGTATAGATGAGAGGTTGAGAATGGCAAAATGCAACAAGCTTATAACCCTCAATGGTCACAAAGTAATGACTGCTACTAGACTAAGCTGCCAAGAGCCAAAAGGACCAATAGACAAGCCGGAGAACATGGTAGAGATGAAGATAATGGTTCATAAATCGGAAGAAAAATTTGCTAGATTTAAGGCGTTAAGTTTATGGATACATTGTGCTGTGGTCGGCATTGATTCTGTGTATTGTGGATTTCGTTCCAAAGATGGACAATTGATTGATATCAAGAAGTATACCATGACCGAATTAGCAGAACTAGGTAAGGACTATTGGTCTCCCAATGAAATCCTTGTATTTTTGGACACAGTCTTGTCTTGGCTAAAGGAGAAGCTCAACAAAGATACGGTCCGAAATAAGAAAGGAGACGATTGGCTTAAAGATGAGTTGAGTCGTGATGATGGAGCATCGTTCACCTTGAGCTACTCAGGGAATGAGCGCATTAGATTGGTAAAGGGTGATCATCCAGAGTTGAAGAAGATAGTTACGGAAAGATACAACCACGTCGTGCACCAAAATGTTGTGACTGATTGTTCTGAAGATGTTCCTGATAATTGGGATGATTCAGACTAGTAGTCAGGCTTTTTTAGTATCCTATTGTGTTGATTTTTGTGAATTGCAAATCCATTTCAATTTTTAAACTCAATCATTTTATAAATACTTGTACAACATTTTAAATTCTATAATGATTCATCAGTAATTTTTATCACTTGCTTTTTTATTGTTGATCGTTGACAAACATACAATATACTTATTATACATAGATCTGGTCATAAACTTCAAATCGGTGAGATTTAATCATTAAACATTATGAAATATCTATTGTCACCTTGGAATATGTATGCAGTGCAGTATTAAAAACATGTTTTCACTTAAAATATTGCCATGAACGATATTTAAAGGATAATGCTTGTATGCTTCATCATAATTTGCTTCAAGGTCCCCTCCCATTTCTCATTCTCACTGTAGTAAATCTCAGCAAAATGAGTGAATGAATAAAAGCTGTGCAGATGGGACTTTGATTGATGTAATAAAATACTCAATGGAGGAATTGGCTGACATTGCCAAAGAATATTGGAATCCTAATGAGATACTAACATTTTTGGATACTGTTTTAAGCTGGCTGAAGCAAAAACTGAACAAAAAAGCTACACGAACAAGACATGGTGAGGAGTGGTTGAGAGCAAAGATTTTAGCAGAAGAGGCCCCTGCATTCACTTTGAGCTGTGATGGTCATGGCTACATCAAATTATCAAGGGTGATTACTGTAAAGTATGATCATCTTGTTAAGTGTAGAAAAACAGCTGGCACTTCTAATGATGACGACGAGTCTGATGATGAAGCTGTTCCGGATGCATGGGATGATTCTGATTAGGAAGTAAGAAACGTTGACTCAGGTCATTGCATGCGATTATCATGTACTGTAGCATGAATTCAGGTTTTTTGTATTTAAGTTGTTACTATATTTCTTAAAGCCGAATTGTTCTGTTAATAAATCTTGGTTGTACCAATAATTTTAAAGTTTTTCTTTTTTCTGGTATTCATACACATTTTAAGCTTAACTCTTTCTAATCTTTTTATATTTTTTTCATTAAGAAATAATTTAGTAACCTTTTTTTCTACATTTTTTGTTTGTTGACAACTCATTTGTTTGTGGATTTAACGTTTTAATAACATTTCATTAGATGGAAGTACCATTTTACTATAGTATAATGTTATGATATTGATAATGATAATTGAATACATTAGTGAATAAAACTTAACAAGAAACTATTCAACAGCTTTTAAACAAAATGCCTGTCAACAACTGGTTGTTCCACTGGCAAGTACTGGCATATTTTACTGAGTACGGATGAAGATGACTGGCTGGAATGATCTTTGTAAAATGTAAGTACGTATGCGATTAAAAATTTATTGCTTTTAAACCGGTACAAAATTATAACATAAATGCCAAAATCTAGATATCTAATCAAATTTGGTAGTTCCATTTATCACTAAGACACAGATTAGTTATTTGTTATTTGATAGCGTAGCTAAATTTGTATTTTAATTGTGTCCATCAAATCAATTATTCAGGTATTATAACCCGACCAACCCACCAATGACGGCCAAGACAGCATCTTAACGATTCTCAAATTACCTGTAAGTTGATTGAGTGTCTTCTTCATCCATTTTATAATTGTTTGGTTGTACTTTAGTTTTTATTCATCCAGCTGTGATTAGAATTCTGCTTTGGCTTGTTAACCATCCCAAGGTTTTCTTATAATATTATGCTCGACCTAGAATTATCAGACGTTGATCCTAGAATTATCAGACGTTGATCCGCGCTAGAACGAACTAATAAATCCTCAGTTTAGTAACGATCAGTATCACATTATTGTCCACATTTACATTCTAAATTACCAATCAGTGTATCTTTTTATCACTGAGAATTTCTACTTCCCAAGATCACGTGGTATGGACGCGGATTTGTTAGAAGATTTCGTGGAGCTGACGGGTAGTACCATGGCAGAGGCTATGAAGTACATGAAACTCTGTGATGATGATCTCAACGCAGCTGTGGGATGCTACTTCGATCCAGCTGTTGTAAGTTGATTGCAATTTTTTCTAAATCTCATTGATGATTTAGTGATGAATCCCCTTACCCTAGTCTAGCAAATTGAAAATAATTAATAGTTATATAATTGGTATAAAATACCCTATTATCCCTCACAAACTCCACAATCACTATTGAGTCCTGGGAGTCCTTTACAAAAGAACATGAAATATTTAACATAAAATTTAAAATAGTAATCAGTTGAGTGATAAGCACTCCCCTGCAGGGTAGAGGATCAGGTATGATGGGAGAGAACGAGGAAGCAGTCCGAGCTCCCATAGCTGCCTTCACCGACCAAATTAACGAGCAAGTAGGAGTAGGACGCATGGGTAAACGACCTTCTATTGTGTTTGAAGACGGAGATTTGGGAGCGCTCTTCAAGGCTCCTACTGATCTATCGTTTGTGGGTACGCTGGAGACAGCTAAGATTAAGGGACGAAACAGGAAGAAGTGGCTGCTTGTTAACGTCCAGGTAAAAACTAAAACTTCATTGGGAAGATAGTTTAAATCTAACTTAAAATTATGCGATCGTTTCAGAAAAAGTAAAAGAATAAACAGTTTTTAGATCAGGTAGTCATGAAGTCATGAAACAGGTCCTGAACCGTCTCCGTTTCAATTAATATTATAAGTTCAATGTTGCCAGGACAAAGATGTGTTCCAGTCTCAGCTGCTAAACAGGGACCTGTGGTGTCTGGAGGATGTTAGAGATGTTATTGAGCGACATTTCGTCTTCTGGCAGATATTCAGGTACTGTACTTAGTGCTGAATCTACTTTTAAAGCGACTTTAGTATTGTAATGTAAACAGGAAATCTCTTAAAAATTGTATTATAAAACGCATGTCATTTTAGTATTATGTTAATCCCTCTTTCTTCACAGAGACAACCTGGAAGGAGAACATTTTGTAAAGTTCTACAAGTTCACAGAGTTTCCCTGTATATGCATTATCGATCCCAACACTGGTGAAATGCTGAAACAGTGGGGCTTTATGAGTCACGTGGATTTCATGAAGGTGAGTTTCTGGGTAATTTGTTTTTTTGTTTGACGTGATAATTGTGCTGCATTTTTGGTAGTTTATTGAAATCGTAAAAGCATTTTACAAGTGTACCTATTATATATCAAAGTATTAACATTATGTTTAACATAATTTTTCATATTACCAAACATTTTGTCAGGAAATGCACGAATTCACCCTGCACTACAGATTCGAGTCTGGTGGGAGACGAAAGAGTTTTGATTTCTACGGCTTGAGCAGAGTAGACTTCATGAGCCGTGACAAACCCAGCGCTGTCCCGGTACTGGAGCCTACGCCTGAACCACTCCCAACCCCCTCTCCTCCACCATCTCCAGAACCCGAATCTGAGCCCGAACCTGCTCCTGAACCTGCTCTGGCTATACCGATGTTCCTGCAGACGTACAACCTGGAACTGTGCACGTGACTTTCCGTCTACCGGACGGTGCGCGGCACATTGGCGTCTTCCAACAAGATGGAGGATGCAGTGAGCTGTACCGGTGGTTAGCGATCTACGCGAGGATGGAGAATCATAACGTAATGACTGCTTTCCCTCGTGTGTTAGTGACAGATGATGAGGATATCAGCGTGAAGAGTGTGGTGGGTGGTGGGGCTAGAGCCATGCTCATTGTGGCTGAGAAAGAAGATTAACAAGGTTGCGTCAAAGAACAGATTTTGAACGCATTATAGTTAATTTTTTCGGGATCATCAGCCCAAGGGACAGGTTTTCTTAATGATTGTTTTGGAGGTGGAAGAATTGAGGTTTATTCGACTTTAATTTTAATTGAGTTTGAAATCAGCTGTGACAATGGATTTCTAAATTTTTAATCGGTGGAACTGAATATTCTAATATTATTATTTTTAAGCTGATTTATGTGCCCGCAACCTGTACGGTCAGTGAAAAAATAATAATTTTTTTGTTAAGTTTTTGGCAATCTTTGTATATAATAAGCTGTCTTTCTAAGTGCTAGTTTACAACAATTAATGTACCTTACTTAAAAATGAATAACCAATCATACGCTGCGTTTAATTGATTAAATGCCTAATTACAACTATATTATATAAACCTAATTGTATTATAATCACCACGAGTGATCGCTTAGCAACTACGTACCGTGCTTCAAACCTCATTGCCCAACATTGAGCCAGTTCTACAGTTTTACCCATCATCATAATATACCTGTTGGTGAGATTGGAGTCGGTATAATATCCGGACAAGTATTTGGTTCCGTGCCCTTCCTGGATCCTTGATTCTAGCTGTTGCAACAGTTACACTCTTCTCTTATCAGTAGTTTTATCTCCTTGTATTTACTGAAGTTCAAATGTTGTCTAGTACAGCTCAGTTTGTTCTAGACGAAACGAGAAACTACGTCTACATCTGTAATAATGTGTACTATTATTGTGATGTACAGTGTACACCATCTTGAAAATAGTAGCATGTTAATTTTCAGTTCTGGAACAACTGGAGAGTGTCTAATCCTCTAATCAAGCCACACGACTATTATATTATGTATTATGGAATGTTTGGAATGTTTGAAGTGAGCCCCATCTCCACCGTTCTGAAGTCAGATATTGATACGGATAATTTCATTGTTTACACAATCAAGCCCCTAGTTTAATAAGTGGCCCAATAAACGTGCATGTAATTAGACAAGTGATCAGTGTTTATCCACTCAGCTTACTTTTGATTGTCACGTGCAATAATTGTCAGACTTTAGAGTTTGGTTGAACATACATCAGTTGTTTATTCAATGGCCACGTTTCTTATTATATTATCTGTTACTTATATATTTCCTGTCGAGCAAACCTTTCTGTCTTTTTCCTGAGCATTTCTTTCGTTTCACATTGAAATGTAATGTAAATCATTTCTTTTTTTGTAGCTTCTGAAAGTTTACCGTACTTCCCTGATTTATCAATTGAACCGTTTAACTCTTGAATATTATTTAGTTGGATAACAAATTCAATTAGTTTCTCAACTCACGCATAAATATTCGAACACTTCAACGCGAACGCTTTGGTGCTTGATCGATGCATTACAGAAAAAAGAAGTTTCTCTGCTTGATCTAGATTACTTAGATACTATTCGTGTATAGACTATTGGAGTAGAACATGGTACCATATAAGCCACTACTACGAAAGACTAACCGTTAGGGCAACGGAAAAAAGGAACCGGAAAAGATTTATCACTTGGGCTACAGTTAGACAATGTTACCAGAGGAACAATCATTGTTTGAGAGTGAGTAAAAACGGGTAAAGAAGAAAATTTTGAATAGTTAAATAAGTACCAAATCTTAGCTGCACTAAGACTATTCATCGCTTCACTTATAGGTGCATATATAGGGCACGATGTAATTGCTATGACCAGTTTACTGGTCAACTGGTGTTTTGGTGTCCCTAATTTTGTTTACACTCGGTCACTTGTCAAGGCATGTAAGGTCATTCGGCGAATTTTCTTTAAAATAAAATGATGTATTTGTGTAGCAATTTGAAAGTTTATCGATGAATTTAAAAAAAGGAAATTTCACTAATCTATAATTACCCCTCTACATTACAGAGGTAATTCCCCTTCATTGTAGATAATGGTTAACTCTTACAACGACAATAACATATTTTGGAAAAACGACGTTGTTACCTTAACCGGATATATTATAAAGTTTGTGGAGAACCACATTGATGGGCCAATCTTAAAGGAGTTTCATCAAGGTAGGTTACTGGTTACTGGTTACGGGTTACTGGTTACTAGCTACTGCTTACTGGTTACTGGTTACTGGTTACTGGTTACTTGTTACTGGTTACTCGTTACTTGTTACTTGTTACTGGTTACTTGTTACTTGTTACTTGTTACTGGTTACTGGTTACTAGCTACTGCTTACTGGTTACTGGTTACTTGTTATTGGTTACTGGTTACTGGTTACTGGTTACTGGTTACTAGCTACTGCTTACTGGTTACTGGTTACTGGTTACTTGTTACTGGTTACTGGTTACTGGTTACTTGTTACTGGTTACTGGTTACAATAGCGACTAGGGCGATTTGTTACTGTTAAGAAGATATCATGTTGTCTGCAGTTATGTGTAAAATGATATATAATGATGTTTCTCTCGAAAATCCAGACAAATTGAAGGAAATTTGAATACCTCTTTTATTTCAGGAAACGATCAGATAAATTATGGCTATACAGATAAAGGATTGGGACTGAGTAATTCTAAAGATAAGATTAATTTTAGTGAGCTTGGTACTCAGCTGGCATACATCTACAGGTTATTATGTCAATACTTGAAACAGCTATTCGATCTGTCAACCGAGCTCATTTTTGCAGCTGATAAGAATATTCTTAACATTTGATTCTCACATTATCAGCCTAATACTTGCAAGCCCCTAATTAAAGTATTAACATCATCCCTTCTCCTCATTAACATTCCTCCAGGTTTTTCGCTAGTCACGTGTTGATAATGGGAGAGTTACTGTTGTCCTCGTCTGGTTGGGCGGGTATCCGCTACTCTCCTTCTAAACCGCCCCTTACACAGAACTTGGGAGAGGTTTGTCTTTCGCCTTTCGGTGTCGGAGCTGAAGCATTTAAGTTCCCTTCTGTCTACAAATTATAAGCATTTCAGTGTGCGTTCTGCCCGTGTTAATTTGTTTATCGCAGTTCTCAGCCACTAAATTTAATCACATTTTATTGAATTTGATTAAATTTGAATTAAACTCCCAGATGAACAGGTTTATCGACAGTATAAGTTCCCAACACGTGGCAGTCACGTGTTTTGGGGGAGGGCCAGTATCTGAAGTAGCTGCACTGACCGCCTGGTTGAGAACTGAGGGTATCTACGAGCCCCTACTGTTCAACATAGTTGATAAGTACTCGGCGTGGAGTTGCGTGGCGGCGGAGGTGGCGCGGTTCTGTAATGTTGAGCTTCACTACAAGGAACTGGATTTCTTGACGACGCAGATTGATGACCTCTTGGTAAGTTGAAGTTTTAAATCAACTTCATTTCATGGCTGAGTTTCGAATTATGACACTTATCTGACACTTTTGTTAATTTTATAAAATATCGATATCAGATAATATTGATTTTTCCCTAAACTAAATCTGTTAATCTAATTCCCAGCCGTACGTTTCTACAATGGACATAGTATGCATGTCCAAGTTCCTTAGCGCACTGACAGCGCACCGCGAGGCTGCCACAAGAAGTCTGCGCTACGTGCTACAGAACATGCGAGCTGGTGCGATACTGGTGTATGTTGACAACAGTGGCGGGGGAACTACTCAGTGGTTGTCTGCCGAGGCTGCCAAGGCTGATTTTAACGAGGTGAGCTATATCTTGCTTAGCAATAACAGGAAATAGACATTGAGGCCGTGTAATGTACCATGACTCAACTTCCTGTGAAATATCTCGCTTAGTGTACTTTATATCTCGCTGGCGCTGGCTATAATGATAGGTAGTAGGTACCTAGGATTTAGGTTCTAAAATCATTGTCATCTTGGCATCTAAAACTCCCTTAAACTAAAAATCTCAGGTATTTACATTATTTACAATATTTCCCTCAGGTATTCACATTATTTACAATATTTCCCTCAGGTATTCACATTATTTACAATATTTCCCTCAGGTATTCACAGTGCCCCATTACCCTGCTAGACTAAGTCCAGCTATCCTGGCACCCAACGAGAGAAGATCACTATTCAACGTAAAGGCAACAAGTACGCTCAATGTAGCGTTTAAAGTGTTTCTGAAGAAAGGCAGAGGTTATTCGCCTGGTTTTACAGGGACGTCTTACTGCAGGAGCAAGTTTTATCATCGAATTGGGGACTCCTGTACCTCTTGCTAAAAAGATTAGAGAACTATAACTGTGTCCACTGCGCCGCATCATGTCTTTAATCGTCAGAAGTCTAATATGTAATTTGAATGGGGCTTTAACCCTGCAAGCTGTTTCAGCGTTTTTAACATTTCTAACATTTTTAATTATTTATAATTACGGGTAAACCGCCCCTAAAACGTCACCTGTTTTTTGGGCCCAGATTGCCGAGTTAGGGCTTAATTTACAGGGTTCTGAAGTGTCTAGGAATAATATTTAAACCTTTTTCTAGCCTGCCAGGAAGATTTGGAAATTTGAAAATAAAATCAGGTACAATTTTTTTGACGTTGAAATGGAGTCACTTTTAAAACACCACCCCTAAAATGTCAACTCTATATGTGTGATAATCACAAAATGTACAGGAGGCCTGATTTATCTTTTGTCACTAGTACTATTTGTTTTGTCTTATTAAAATATTAAGCTACTTGAAAACATTCACTCACTAAAGGAAGTACCTCAAAACCGTAATCACCCCCTAAAATGTCACGTGCACCACCCCTAAAACGTCAGCTAAAACAGGTTGTGTAGCACTCAGAATGTTGCTCAATTATTAATTTTAACCACTTCTGGGACAAATATAACCTATTTCTGAGAGGAGTCGACCAGAATTTCTCTCTCTGTTGAAAAAAAATTGTGGAATTTAGTCAATTTACTTTTTGTGACATTTTGGGGACTTTTTTTTGAATACCCAGAACTTACGGCAAAACAGTAACTCAGTCAACAAAATTTACACCTGTAGTTAGATTATCTAGTTATAAACTAACAATTGGCACAAAAGAAATGGATTCAATGTGATTTTAACCTTGTGCAAATTGCATGTTTTAATTGCATTTTTTGGGATTTTTAACATCATCCTGCATTTTGGCAATTTTAGTGACCTGTAGTTAACTAATCCAACCCAGTAATCGATCTGACCTTCTCTATAGACTAGATTTGACTGCTTTTAGCAAAATTGAATGTCAAAAACTACGGTTTTTGGTACTTACTAGTTTATGGTAAACCTATGATATGCCCCCTAAAATGTCATTTTTTTCTCCCCTAAAATGTCAAATTTGTATTTTGTTCGCATGGTGTGCGATAATAGCTCTTGTTTTGGAACTTGTTAATTATTAACATCAACTATTAACGAAAGGTGAGTATGCATTGCATCTTAGGAAAAGCCTGAGTAATTTGATCAGGTTAAAATGACATTTTAGGGGGGATAATTAGACATTTTAGGGGATGTTTATTGCAATTAATAAAATAAAACTAATTCCTTGAGCTGCCAAAGCTTTCTAATATTACCATTAGATGCTAAATATGATGTTTAATAGGCTGGTACCTCCATTTTATGGTGCTTGTAGTCTCAATGCCAGAATCAGATAAAATGACATTTTAGGGGGCGGCCAGGTGACATTTTAGGGGAGGGTAGTAATATTGAGTAATGTATAACTTTCCATATCTCCAGTCATATGTACAAAGTTGCTAAAATATGTAAATATCACTATCCTAGACCAAAACCGAGTTAATATTAATGAATTCCAGAGTTATAAAATTGTGCACTTTTTTTCAAAAGTAAAAAATTCGTACAAAGTGAAAAAAATGCCCTTATGGCATCATTTAGATTCAATTTCAGGATGTGGCAGGGTCTGAATGATATTTTTTTATGTTTAGGAGTTACAAATGATTAGGTAAGATACTTTCTAAGAAGATGGGATCCAATCAATCAAGAGTGGCGTTTTAGGGGTGGGAGACATTTTAGGGGCGGTTTACCCGTAATATAATATCACAAATTTTGCTATCATTCAGATATTAATTAATTTTATCGTTCGTGTTATTTTTACAAAGTTATGGTTTTAATAGAAAGGGAACTAAATTTTATAAATTACTTTAAATACTAGAAATTTATTTTCCGGGTTTCTAATTAATTATTAAGCTAATTTAATTATTGAAATAATATTATGTTGTCTGCTGTACTCTTCTTCTCTTCGCAGTATGCATTTTAACAGGAATTGAAGATACGTGCTTAAAAACCAATCGTTTCAAAGTTTTTAATATAGATTTTCTTCATTTTTTTATCCTCATACCCGGCCTAGGGTGCTTATAATTTATATGAATAAATTGAAATAAAGGATAGTTAAATATAATTTTATGTTACTATGAATTATCCATTTTTATTTTTCAATGAACTATAATAATTATATTAATATAATAACATAATGAATATTCGGGGATTTCATGGTTATTTTGAATCATTTAATAAATATGGGAACATTTTAAATTTCACACTTTTTATACATTTTAAACGTTTCATTATATATCACCACGTACGAAGTGGCTCAAATTTCATTGAATTTAATTATAATGAGCAGCATTTCACCTAATGACGTAATGTTAATTATCATTATATATATCAATAAATTTGTTTTGTGACTGCAATAGGTATTATGATACTGCCTATTGCATTTGTAGTGATCTTATTCTTTTATTTAGTATGATCAAAACATTATTCTAGAAATTCATTTGTGTAATTAATCATCAGCTAAAATAAAATCAGCTAAATAAAACTTGTATACTTTAATTCTAGCTCAAATCTCTTGTTCAGTCTACATACTTGGATTTTAACTGCTTTCATTTGACCAAAAACTAAAAAACCGTTCGCTCTGAACTTTCTCCTTTAACGTTTAATATTATGCTCCTCAAACTTCTGGACACTAAATCATTGTTTCAGTACCTATTAGATGTCAGTCGTTTTCAAAGCTGAAGGATTCATTCTATTAGACCACGGACAGACCCTAACAGCACCAAGAGTTTGGAAAAATGGGGACAGTTCTTTATTACACCCTGTACCGGGACTATTCTACCAGCCAAAACAGTACTTCAAAACTAAGGCAGATTCAGAAAAATGTAATCTTCGGGATCTTTTCACACATTTAGGGTATCCGTACAGTAGTGGTGCTGATATCCTGACTGATGAGAATACTTCTAACAGTCTGCCGGATCATACTTGTAAAAAGAGAAAAACATTTCCGCAAGTTTACAAAACATGGAATTGGTTGGAACCTGGGGCTGTTCCTTCTTTTAAAAACTCTACCCTTGCTAAACAGTGTACAGAAATAATAGGTACTGATATTCTTCCTTTTCCGGTGCAGCTTAATAAATCTTTGTCGCAGAAAGTTATCTCTTCTAACAATGGCACCATGGCTGCTGACATCCATCTTAAATCTTCCGGAATATTCAACAAATACGTCAGTAATTCTTCAGCCAGGACCATCATCGTCAAATGTGTAGACAACTCTTACATAATACCTCCTAACTCCTCCTTCCTCATGTCCGATATCTCTCACGTGAATTCTCTCCTCACATTTGCTCCTTCATCAAAGTTTCACTTCATAGTCATGGATCCACCATGGTCGAACAAATCAGTAAAGAGAAGTAAACACTACACCATGCTCTCCACTCAAACTAACCCTCATTCTACCCCTCATTCTACCCCTCAAACTACCCCTCATTCTACCCCTCACTCTTCCTGTCAGTTTACCAAACACAGAGCATATGAAGATGTAGGGTACATGTTTGATAAGATAGATGTGAAGAGTCTACTACATGATAAAGGTATGATCGGAATGTGGGTAACAAACAACACCGCCCACGTGCAACATGTTTTGAAGGTGCTGTTTCCGAGGTGGAACTTGGAGCTGATAACAGTTTGTTTCTGGCTAAAGGTCACCAGCAGCGGGGTACCTGTTGTGCCCTTTATCAGTCCTCATAAGAAACCATATGAGCTGCTCCTTGTGGGAAAGGCAAGTTTTGAATTAGACTCTGTTGGTCCGACATCAGAAGATGTTGAGAATCTGGTATCTTTTCCTTATAGTCAGTTGGATGGTTCAAGTGATCCGAGTAAGTCCCAAGATCAAGATTCTGTAAAAAGTACTTCACAAAAATGTAAAGTAAAGAAAGTAATCCTAGCCAGCATTCCTTGTGTACAACATTCAAGGAAACCTCCCCTTGGATTTCTGTACTCTGAGCTGAACAAGACTAATAGTATACACGAGCTTAAAGAGGATAAAAGTGGAGAGGGTCCTCATTTCTTGGAACTGTTTGCGAGAAGTTTGAATAGTGGGTGGGTGTCCTGGGGTAACGAAGCCTTGCTCTTCCAAAATTCTTCTTTCTTCGAGCTACAAAGCACAGACGGCTAGATCACGTTGCTTCATTTAAACTTCAATCATGTATGTTTCAGTATTTCAATACTGCTCTTGCTTTAACATTAGGAACGTGTATATAATTTTGTAACTAGCAAAGTTCAGATATCGAGTTTTTCTATTGTATACTTGTATAATGTATAGATGATAGATCAAATTAATATAATAATATATTATTATTATCATGTGTGCTCACCACGAAACTAATTTTAGGTCATGCCAAAACAGATCAGAGAAGTAAAGGATTTCCTCCTGAAAACCAGGAAGAAGGATGCCAAATCAGTTACGATAATGAGGTTGAAAAACAAAACAAAGTTCAAGGTTCAAACTAGCAACTATCTTTGGACGCTCTGTGTTGAGGATAAAGAAAAAGCTGATAAGGTGAAACAGTCACTACCACCAGGACTTCCTATTAAAGAAATAAAATAGAAGGCTTTGTTGTGGGATCCTTTATTTATTGAAATTTGATCTGCAACGGAGGAGGATTTTAGTTACAGTCGTATTTAATCACTTTTGTAGCTCTTGACTTTGGTCAGGGTTGACATTATAGTTTGCTTCCCATTTTCCCATAATTCTCAGATTTTAAAAAACTAAACAGGATATCCACGTAACTTTGATCTGAATTCGTTGATGGCTTTGACGACTCTGAATTTTTGATATTTTTTATTTATTCAGCATCTTGTTTCATTCTTGGTATTGATTCGTAATTATAAATGTTAAAGGCACTTACTTGCCTATCAAAATGTATCCATTAAATGTCAACCGTTATCGTGTGACCACCAATTATTATTATATTATGCTCCTATGAAAATTTAATTTGCTTATGATTTACTTCAAATGTCACTGTTTCAAAGACCTAATTAAAAACCTAACCAAACCACCGTAAAATAGGGTCTGTAATGGCACAGCAACTAGTTAAGAGGGTCACCACGCACCCCACCCTTAGCCGGGGGACATTCCGACTGCTCACCATAGCAACCGCTCCAGCACCCTCTGAAGAGAAGGTTGAGAGGTACAAGTCACCTTATCTCATTTTTAACAAGGATGATCCTCTTAACTTGGACAGCTTGCTTACTGAGGAGGAGAAGATGATCAGGTATGTTCTGACTTTGTAACATTGGAGACAGACTCGACTATCTTAGAATTTTAAATCTCTGAGCACCTTGCCGTTTTGGCCTGTTTAAAAATCACATTTTCCATTTAAAAGTTTAAAGATGAATTTAGTAACGCTTGAACTGTAACACTTGACTCAGGGACCAGATGTATGAGTACAGTCAGGACCGTCTCATGTCACGTGTTACCCAAGAGTTCCGTAACGAAACATTCGACAAGAACTTCTTCAAGGAGTTGGGAGAGTTGGGGGTTCTGGGGCCCACTATTCAGGGGTACGGGTGTGCGGGGACTAGCTCTGTTGCTTACGGGCTTATCACTAGAGAGATCGAGAGAGTGAGTCATTCCTTACATATGTTATTTGACATTCCTTCAACTCGTTCTTTTATCATACTTTACTTTTTTTGTCTTTTCAAATTCGTTGATTTGATCGTTTTATTCTCTAAATATATTCGCACAGTGCTCTCACTCTCTATTTTCTAACCAGGTGGACAGTGGATACAGAAGTGCCATGAGTGTTCAGAGTTCCCTGGTTATGTGGCCTATTTACGCGTACGGTACTGAGCAACAGAAGGACAAGTACATACCAAAACTAGGTACTCATTATGGGTTTATTTTAAATATCAGTACATATTAAATAAAGAATGGTAGTTTTGAACGTTTGATTTAAATTACATTTTTCAATTTATGGCCCTTCTACTCGGCTAACCTTCTCACTTAATCAAAATGATCCGATGTATGAAACTGCGTGGCCAAAAATCCTCTGCTGCTGTAAAAGTAATCGCTAACCATCCCATCCCCTGCAGCTTCCGGAGAGTTTATTGGAGCATTTGGTCTAACAGAGCCCAACCACGGATCAGATCCTGCCAGCATGGAAACTACTGCAGTGTACGATAGTGGCACTGGGGAGTACGTTATGAACGGCACCAAAACTTGGTTAGTTTTAGTAGTTATCTGGGCCATTCCCTTAAAGATCACCTTTTTGAATGACAAAACTTATTCTTTTTAGCACTTATCTTTTATTTCGTTTTCTGCCTTTCCCAAGGTACAATTTAGGAAAATTGCTCGTTATCGACAAATAGAAAGACAATATCAGTTTAAATCATGTTTATCAAGTTTGAATGAAAATCTAAGAAGTCATCTTGCTGATAATCTCCTGAATAAATGACTCTCTAAGCTTCATCATGGAGCACCCCACAACACCTCTCTTAGTAGTCGCCAAGTTGAACCCGTTCAGCTTGACAAACGTGTTGCCAGGTATGAGCTTGTTAACTGCATACTGCGCCACATGTTTCCTCCCCGGGTAGTCGCACCGTGCTGATATCGTACCTCCCATTGCAACCTTCCCTAGCGACTCCTCCTCGCTGGAATCCTTGTGTTTAACCCTGATGTCAGTTTCGACTGAGGCGGATGCTAGAATAGTGTTGCCAGCAGCGAACCCTACTCTTAGCGACTTGCTGTTTGTCATGCGGAGGTTAACATCGTCCTTACCAGCCGTGTTCTCTCCGTACAGTAGAGATATGACGTTGAGAGAGGTAGACAGTTTACCTGGGGGGAGGAATATTTTGGAGAGTTTCCCCGCCACTTCCTCTCTAGTTTGTAAACACACGTCCTGGTGCATTGAAGTGAACCCGGAGATGGTCACATTCTCTTCTTTCCCTACCTGTACAGACAGATCTATGGTAGCTGGTGTTATCTCTATACCTACCACCTCCACACTTGCAGCTCCCCCTTCTCCTGATATCTTGGTGGGCATGTCACGTATCAGGTTGTTGGTGATGTTTATCATGTACGTGTCCACTAACCCACACAGTATATCACGTACTGTGCTTTCAATGGTGGGTTTCAGGATGGGAGCCAGCCAGTTTACTGAGGACTTCTGGAGGTCCAGGTCCATTGTGGTGTAGTTAGCGGTACAGCTGGTCATGTTCAGGGTGTTGTTTTCTGCCACGCTGATGTCAAGGTGCAGAGAACCGGCTATGTCAAGGGTAAGGTTACCATATGTTGTCCAGAAGGTGTAAGCTTCGTAGCTGCCGGAGACACTTGCGGTGGCGTTGTTAAGGGAGAGGGATATGGAGCCGTTTTGGAGGGAGCCGGAGCTTTTACCTAGGTCTATCTCGTTCATTACTAGGTTGTGTATCTTGTACATTGTTCCTGAAGATAAGTGTTGTTTGTAGTGTAGTAAAAGTGGGATTATCTAAATCAGCTGATGGTTTTTTTTTCCTTCATTCATTAGATATGAAATGGTGATAAAAGGGAAAATTTCACTAGTACTGCTAAATATTTTAAGAGTTCCATCAAACAATGTCTTACCTTCAGCACCAGGGAGTTCCCTGCCAACAAGTGTCGCTCCGTACCCCTCCACAAAAACCTTATCTACCACTTCAGCCACATAGTTTAAATACTTCCCATTTATTGAGAGCTTCACGTTCTCTGAGCTTCCCAAATCAAGGCTTAGAATTAAAACGAGAAACAAAATCATGACTGAATCAGCGGAACTTTTACGAAATTTAGACCCTGATTTTTGAAAGACGCTGCGAAACAGCTGCTGTTGGAGTGATATAATTAAATTTGATTTAATTGTTCAATTGTTTGAATCGAGTTATAGCGTTGAAATAAAATCTAATTTAGATTTTTAATTTTATTATCTTTATATCCTCCCTTAAAAAGCTAGGTTCTATGTGATGTCGACTGTCGGGTTTCACAGAGTATTTTTCAATAAGATAAAAAATATAATGGTTGATGAGGAAAGAATACTGTGTAATAAATAGTTTTATCTTTATAATACTCTCTAATTTATCGTGTATTAATCAATTTTCAGGATCAGCAACTCCCCAATAGCTGACGTGTTTGTAGTCTGGGCTCAGTGCGAAGGAAGGATTAAGGGCTTCATTGTTGAGAGAGGTTAGTTACTAGTTACTATAGTTACTAATATAGTTACTATAGTTACCATCAGTAATTATCAGTTATTATTGTTAGAAAATAATGTGATTCTGCGTGTATATATGTCTTGTTATAATTTAAATTTAATTATAATACACTTGAACAGCTTACCCTTGCATTGGTTATCAGATAGAACCATCTCTTGTCGTACATTCATTCTTCAGTGAGTTGATAGCAAAGAAATTTGAGGTATTGTAAAAGATTAAAATTACATCAGTTAACATCTTTCTCGTAGATATGGCTGGGTTGACGACACCTAAGATTGAGGGCAAGTTTTCACTGCGAGCCAGTGTTACGGGCCAGATAGCTATGGACGATGTCAGAGTGCCTGCTGCTAATCTTCTGCCTAAAATTGACGGATTAGGGGTAAGGAAATGTGCCCGATTTCAATTTTCGTCATCATCTCCACTATTTTATTATGTTCCTTCCTGAAATCTTATAAAACTCATGATAATTCTAATTTCTAAACTAACGTAAATAACTAACTAAAGTTTGAAGTTTCTTAACCCAGGGTCCATTCGGTTGTTTGAACAATGCGAGATACGGAATAGCCTGGGGAACTATGGGAGCAGCTGAAGCCTGTTTTGACGTGGCCCTGCAGTACTCTCTGGACAGGTGCCAGTTCGGAAAACCACTGGCTAAGAACCAGTTGATTCAGAAGAAGTTTACAGATATGTCTACTGATATTGCACTGGGTCTACAGGGATGTTTGCAGCTTGGCCGACTCAAAGATCAGAACATGTGAGTAATCAGATATAATCGTGCAGTTTTTTATCGTTATAAAGGATATTCAATGTATTATCTGCATTCTATATCACTTTCGACAGTGTTCAAATTGATAAATTATGATAACCGAAAGAATGAAGTCTGGAGGGTGATATTTAAAACATATAAGTGATGCGAAAGGATTTTATTAGCAGGAGCTTTCAAAATACTTGTGTAAATCGTCTTCAGCTAGGATGAAGTCCTTTTCTTCCTTTCATTCTTATTTAACGTAATCTAAAATATTTTCCGCCGTGCATGTTTTCCTACCAACCACCAACTGAATCCTGTTCATGTTTCATTTCTATTGCTTCGTTCTTAAATAACAGTGTATCTGTATCACAGGGCTGCCCCAGAAATGATATCGATGATGAAGCGTAACAATTGTGGAAACGCTCTGGACATCGCCAGAAAATGTCGAGATATCTTAGGAGGTAAATTCGGAGACTGATCGTATAGTTTCGCTTATGAGATACCTTCATAGTTAAATTCTGTTCTAAACTGGTTTATTTATCGTAGAGCATTTTAACACAATGCATTAGATTTATCCGTGAAGTCACGTGGTTAAGTCATAGAAATTTAAATATACGTAAACGTAGCGCGCGGGTAAGAAATTGTATCGAAGGTGTCTTCAATTTCGCGCACAATGCCCTGCGCGCGTGCGCACGTACGTACGGTACTATTAAGTCCGTGCGCGCGTACGTAACTCTACAATAATTGGTAGTTGAATCGGCCGATATAGTTACTCCAGTAGCAGGGAGGAGTTGAGTATGCACTTCGATGTATAGAGTTTTTTGCTGCTGAATCGGGTGAAATAGGTCATTGGTAACTCAAAAAATCGAGGGCCGCATGTTGTGTCGCTAGTCCCAACCCTGTGGAGCCACGCCCATATTTCATATCAGGTGCGTATATGGGAAATGTGTATCTCAGCTTCTGAAGGTCTTAGAGACTCAAAATTGAGTTTAAAATGACCGCAATGCACATGTTTATATTGGTACTGTAAAGGTTATGAAGGCCCAAAATGCTTATTTTTGGGAGAAATCAAAAAACCAATTTTCACTTGGGCGCGAGTAAAAATTCGACTCTTAGAAATTGAGTGAAAATCGAGTAAGCAGTTCAGTGTCTACAACATTTCTAAACACAGGGTCCTCTGTTAGGTCATTCTAAATCAGAATTGATAAAGTAATCAAATTCTATTAGTAGTTTCAACCCTGTGGAGCCACGCCCATATTTCATATTATGTGCAAATATGGGACATTTGTATCTCAGCTTCTGAAGGTCTTACTCTTAGAGACTCAAAGGTGGGCTTAAAATGACCGCAATGTACATGTTTATATTGGTACTATGAGGGTCATGAAGGCCCAGAATGCTTATATTTTGGAAAAATTCAGTAAAACCGATTTTCACTTGGGCGTGAGTAAAAATCGACTCTTAGAAGTTAAGTGAAATCGAGTATGAAGTTCAGTGTCTGCAACGTTTCTAAACACAGGATCCTTTGTAAGGTCATTCTGAATCAGAATTGATAAGGTACGCAAATTCTATTATTAGTTTTAACCCTAGGGTGCAAAACTCCTAAATTACCACCAGGCGCAAATATATATAATGACTTTTCTATCTCGGCTTCTGAATGTTGTAGGGGCCTCTCTTTGAGCTCAAACTAACTACGGTGGCCACATTTATATACCAACTGTAAAGAACCGTAGGGTCTATTATACTCTATAGTGCTTAGTTTTTAAAAACTCATTAAAAACTGTTTTAACCTTCATGCATCATAAAGTAGTAACATCAAACATGTACTTAATTACGGTATCTCTGGCTAAAAAAGTTTTATAGACATTTGCAGCACAGTAAAACGTTCAACATGAACACATTCGGATAACATTTATGGAGCAGCACATACCACCTGACTTTAATTTTGGTATAACTGCGAAAATACTCAGTTTCAGAAGCTCCTTCCAGCTATCTTAGGCTGCCTTCAGCTCCCTTTCTGGGGCTCTCTCCAGTACTGTTTGGCTATTATGGCTAATCAACTTGAATCCAACCTCATGTAGCAGAATCTACTTCTATAGCTACCTTCTGCTAACTCCATGTCAACTCTACCCAGCTACCACCACCAGTACGTTATAATTTTAGATCTTTCTAGCAACCTCTGATATGAGTGCTATCTTTGCTGCATCCAACAATTTCCAGCTCATTAAGGAAGAGGAAATTTGCTGTTTCTAGCAACCTCTAAACACCAGAATAAAATGTTGCTGATGGTTGCTAGACAGGGCAAGAAGTAGCCCAATAGCTTAAGCTAAGGTTGCTAGGAATAGCAGAAGTTGGAGGAACCTTGGTGGTAGCTAAATAGAGGTAGCCGAAGTAGGTGAAAACAGCTGGAATTGGTGGTTTCTGCCATCTGGTGGTATAGTAGCTGGATAGATGTAAAGGTAGCACTCATATCAGAGGTTGCTAGAAAGATCTAAAATTATAACGTACTGGTGGTGGTAGCTGGGTAGAGTTGACATGGAGTTAGCAGAAGGAAGCTATAGAAGTAGATTCTGCTACATGAGGTTGGATTCAAGTTGATTAGCCATAATAGCCAAGCAGTACTGGAGAGAGCCCCAGAAAGGGAGCTCAAGGCAGCCTAAGATAGCTGGAAGGAGCTTCTGAAACTGAGTATTTTCGCAGTTATACCAAAATTAAAGTCAGGTGGTATGTGCTGCTCCATAAATGTTATCCGAATGTGTTCATGTTGAACGTTTTACTGTGCTGCAAATGTCTATAAAACTTTTTTAGCCAGAGATACCGTAATTAAGTACATGTTTGATGTTACTACTTTATGATGCATGAAGGTTAAAACAGTTTTTAATGAGTTTTTAAAAACTTATCACTATAGAGTATATAAATGTGGCCATCGTAGTTAGTTTGAGCTCAAAGAGAGGCCCTTACAACGTTCAGAACTTCAGAAGCCGAGATAGAAAAGTCATTATATATTTGCGCCTGGTGGTAATTTAGGAGTTTTGCACCCTAGGGTTAAAACTAATAATAGAATTTGCGTACCTTATCAATTCTGATTCAGAATGACCTTACAAAGGATCCTGTGTTTAGAAACGTTGCAGACACTGAACTTCATACTCGATTTCACTTAACTTCTAAGAGTCGATTTTTACTCACGCCCAAGTGAAAATCGGTTTTACTGAATTTTTCCAAAATATAAGCATTCTGGGCCTTCATGACCCTCATAGTACCAATATAAACATGTACATTGCGGTCATTTTAAGCCCACCTTTGAGTCTCTAAGAGTAAGACCTTCAGAAGCTGAGATACAAATGTCCCATATTTGCACATAATATGAAATATGGGCGTGGCTCCACAGGGTTGAAACTACTAATAGAATTTGATTACTTTATCAATTCTGATTTAGAATGACCTAACAGAGGACCCTGTGTTTAGAAATGTTGTAGACACTGAACTGCTTACTCGATTTTCACTCAATTTCTAAGAGTCGATTTTTTACTCGCGCCCAAGTGAAAATTGGTTTTTTTGATTTTTTCCCAAAAATAAGCATTTTGGGCCTTCATGACCTTCATAGTACCAATATAAACATGTGCATTGCGGTCATTTTAAACTCAATTTTGAGTCTCTAAGACCTTCAGAAGCTGAGATACATATTTCCCATATACGCACCTGATATGAAATATGGGCGTGGCTCCACAGGGTTAGGACTAGCGACACAACATGCGGCCCTCGATTTTTTGAGTTACCAATGACCTATTTAACCCGATTCAGCAGCAAAAAACTCTATACATCGAAGTGCACACTCAACTCCTCCCTGCTACTGGAGTAAGTTGGATAGAGATGCTTTCCAAAATACATTGCCATTTTGGGTCTTGGGACAGTCGTGTTTTGGGAGAAAAATGGTGGAAATGTGCTCTCAGAGTCTTCTTATAGTTATTATTTACATCGGCACTGAGGCTTGAGAGGACGGTCCTAACAATGAACAGTAATTACATAGGTAACAGTACATGTCAGTGATGCTTTTTTAGCATTGTCTGCTCTTATCCACATTGCATAGTATTCTATTTTTATCACGTCATTATCCAGGTAACGGAATATCAGACGAATACCACATTATCAGACATGTTCTGAACCTCGAATCAGTCAACACTTATGAAGGTTTGTTTTTATCCTCTGTTGAAAATCTTCTGCCTGATTGAGGACAGAGCTTTTGGTCGATGATGACTTCTGTCCATTTATTGGGGAGATGAAAATAGTTTATTCCCTTTGTAGACTAGGTTAATTATTCGCTAAATGTTCAACATTTACCATGGTAATAACAAATTCCATCCTCAGGTACACACGACATCCACGCGCTGATAGTTGGCCGTGCCATAACCGGACTTCAGTCATTCTTCTAAACGCAAAGATATGAGACATGACCCTCAATTATTGTGTTAAAACTCACCACGATACTGAATATCTTGTGTCGTTATTAGAGAGATATAAATATTTCAAAATAAATGGAGAGTATAGTTATCAGATTATCATACTATACTGATGTAAAACAGAAGACAATTTAGCTCTTGGGCTTGAATTATGAGAAGCAAAATTAAACAGAATGTAGCTTACTTTGAAAAGTGACCCTTTTTGGTTTTTAGGTTCATACTGAACAACATTTGAATCGGAAATTGTCGTATAAAGGATTGTTATATTTTTATTTAACGTTTGTTTCAATAGAAAGTGAGCTTTTGCAAAAAAAATCTGTAATCTAGGGAAGAGTTCCAAATAAATTACTTATTTTATTGATAATAGATATCCAAGATTTATTGGTTGCTCTTGCAAAAGCGTATGATCCATTAATTCCCATTTACTTCTTTTCTAGTGGTACTTATAACATCGATTTTAATCAGTGAAAGATGTTCGTTCAAGATTATTTATTGTTCCTATGCTATGGTTATTTGTAATGTACATTTTTTCGGCGATTTTAGAAATATAATGTAAATATTAAATTCCCTACTGATGTAGTCACAAACGAAAGGACGAATCAACAAGGCGGTCGACTGTTCTGGTTTTACTGATCGTCTTACCTGATCGTTGTCCAACTTACGACCTAATATAGAGGCGAATTGCAGATCTGACTAAGGAATAGATTCGTCTTTTCACTAATGGCAGCATCATATTATCTTATCTATCAAATGCAAAATTGCTTCAACTCATTTCGCGAGTTTTCGCTTTTCACAATTCGCCAAATAAATTTCGGTTGTCAGAGAAATCCCTGATGCACGTAGTATAATTGAACGTAGCACGACAATCTGATGCGATTGTTTTTCTTCCATCAAACGCATGAAATTAATCAAACTGCAGTGTCTACAATAAGGGCCAAGAGTTGGCACAACTTTTTTTCTCTGATTTTGATTAGTTCGGTACCAATTGCTCAAAAGCTGTTTAGAAATGTGAATAACAATTATATAAACTGCATATTATGGAAGCATGGGTCACCTGGCTTCAGACCTTCTGAACAGTGAACATGCTAGGTTAATTATAGATACCAAAAATGTCATTCCTTCAAGTTTAATTATTCCAGGACCCGAGTTAACTTGAACCAAGTTATTATAATTCATTAAAATTTAAGTTGAATTGGCTACAACTACAAGCAAATAAAATATCAGTTTGTAAAATTCAAGTCTGGCATTTCTTTGAAGTCTTTAAATAAAGAAGTCAATATAATTTATATGATGAAGCCTAATTAAACTATGTCAATAATTTCAATTAAATGGAGAATATTGTGAGACCTGTAGGTCAATCTATTAAAACATCAAGTTACTCAATTTAAATTGTAAATCAACGTCTGGGTTTCTGGTTAAAATTAATGCGCATAAAAACATGCTGCAGTTGATTTAAAAAAGGTAACGCGTTCATTTTAGTGTCCGTTCAAATAAAGTTCGATGAGGTAGTACTAGTAATTTACCTTGTCGGACCTTATTTGGAGTTGGACGGACATTACTTGAACGCTGGAGGCCCTAGCGTTCATCTTAATGTCCGTTCAAATAAAGTCCGTTCAATTAATGTCCGTCCAAGTTAAAGTCCGTTAAATTTTTTTCAAAAATGTTTTCATTTCGAACTTTTTGTCCAGAATATGACAACTTTTTAATTTCAGTCAATTTCAATAGCTATCATTAGACTAAACTATATCGTTGAATTAATAAAAACAAGGTATTATAAAATTGTAACAATCTGAATAATTGTAAATATCACATTATTGCAAGATCACTATCTTGAAGTTGATCTTCGGCTTCTTCTACCTTGTAGGTTTACAACCTACCAGGACGCGCGCCGAGTTGGACTCGTCAATATATGGAACAGATATTTTACGAGTATCAGTATCACCCGTTAACTTCTACCTCCACATTTTCTCTTACAACTGGTTGTCTGTCCAACTCGTAGTCGTACCGGGCAATACACGATCCCAACTGCTCTACTAGAGAGATACTTGAATGCCTAAAGTACAGCTTAAGCTTTATCTCTAGCCCCCCACTTGGTATAGGCGACCTTCGGTGGCTTATGTCAGCTACGATACCTTCTACCATACCACCCATCTCGATAAAGTAGAAGACAAACCGGGATATCTCCCTAGGTATGTGACCGACGGTATCTAATCTAGTCTTGTAGGTACCTTCCTACCTTATCTGCACAGCGCAGATAAGCTTACTGTATAGCTAGCTGTATGAAAAATGGATTTACAAATCATTTGCTAAAATTTAAAAACGTCAAAAAAAGATGAACAAAATTCGGATTTTTGATGGTTTTGATTGCCTTTTAGCGTTCATATTAATGTCCGTTCATAATTATGTCCGTTCAAGTAATGTCCGTCCAAATAAGGTCCGATAAGGTAATTAAACACTAAGCATTAATGCCTTCGAGCGTCCGTTTTAATGTCCGTTTACGCAATATGTCCGATAAGGTATATTTAATATAATTTAAATTATAACTATAAGCATAATAATAATAATTATAACTATAAGCATAATCTCCCCAGCCAGATTTAGATAGACGCAAGATGGAATAAGGAAAATTCAAAATTTGGTATACCTATTATACTCGCATCTTCATCTTGGTAATATTGGTGATGGCGCAGTTTATATCTCCGCCAAAAGCACACTCCCCAAATTGCGCGCATTGCTGTAACTTCTTTCAAACTTCATGAATCGAGGAAAATTATTTTGCAATGTTTTCAGACTCAAATCACTTGGAATACTTTTAAAAGAGAATAACAAGCTCAAAAACGCTACTGACGTATTTCTCCATAAAAAGCACAATGTCAATAGCGTGAGAAGCTTTTGTCGAGGTGCCCCGAAAGTGATCTTAAACGATTCCCCGTTCAATTTTGGTCGAGGAACGCCAACTTAGTGCACAACCAAGGAAGTTATAAACATATTTCATACGTATCAAATTGGATGTGCTTTTGGCGGAGATATTCATATAACGTGCGCTATTGCCATTGGTGATACTGATATTAGTGAACTATGAGTATGTATAGTTCACTATTTACATAATTTATATAACGGTTTTACTTTTAGGTTTAACATACATACTGATGAAGACAGGACTCTGTTTCTCACCGGGAAATCGGGTTTTAGAAATAATTTAATAATATAAATAAATATCTAGCAGCTATCCGAATCCCTTAAACATTAAAGTTAAACTTTAATTGTTTAAACAACTTCTCAAATATTTTTCAGCTCTTTGATCAATGATAATGCCAATGGATTTCGTTGAGTTAAATTTTACAAATATTTTACAACTCTAATTGTTGAAATTATCATGCAATTGTAAAGACATGGCATCAGAATTTATTTCGGCTTCACTGGAGGAACGACTCTTATCTTTATAGTCGGCTTAAAGTCTTTAGACCTCAACTCCGGCGAAAAATGGTGACAGATCTGAAAATATAATGCTAAGCTTAAAATCAAACGTGTAGTTATCAAATTGGAACTTACTGTCAGAATTTTAAGATCGCAAAATATTCGCAAAATCGCAAAATAATTCAACTCAAGTATAGTAACCGTAATAAGTATTTTCAGTTTTTAATTTAAGTTTCGCGTGACATCTGATTAAATTGATTAAAGTTAAACGTTGCCACTGGCACTGCAGCTAGTTTTCCACAGGTCACGTCGGATGACAGGCGCCCATACAGTAGTTAACTCAACTAGGTAGTATAGTAGTTAGTATAAGTATGTGAAGCCCCGATTCACCACAAATCCCGAGTGAAATTAAATACTTCCCGGTATAAACCACATAGTCTGTATAACTAATACTATAAGTATAATAAACATATATGTAATGGTCACGAATCGAGAGAGTAATACTATTTACTTTATACTTGACACATACTTGAACTAAATATGTGCTCTGACATGACGTGACATGCGCTCAGCTCGACATTTCGTTCCTTTTAAACTATTGTCCATTGTTAATGGACTAACTCGGCACTTCGAAGAAATTTAGACGAGTAACATCCGTCAACTTTAATTTTAACTAGTGACTCCCTTCATTCATTATTCATTAATTACTTCACGTTTTTGGATGGGATCAGGGGAAGGGTCATCGACTTTACAGTTACTGTAACCAAGATGTAATCAGATCGAACGCAAAAATTAGATCGAACCGGTTTGATCTAGGAATTAGATCGAACGCTGGCGCGAGATACATATACAGTAGTTATACAAATACATTGAAAGCCGCGCCGCGCGTTCGATCCAATTCCTAGATCGAACCGGTTCGATCTAATTTCTGCGTTCGATCTAATTACATCTTGGTGATAGTTACAAATATTACAATTTTCAACACAGAAATTGTGTATTTTTTTCTTGAGACATCAAATATTCCGGACCACGAACATTTTTGACTAAATTTAGTTCTAATTCTGCTAGATTTGAAATTTTATGTTGATAAATTTATGATTCTGCTTGACTGTATTTGGTGACAATGATTTTACTGAAACTAGTAGAACTACTCACCATAGTTTTGTTAGCAGCCACAGTCAGTATGTGTTTTCTGTAAGGAGGATTTTCAAGGGAGTTTTCTGAACCAACCGTGTTCACTTCAATTCGGAGCGGTTTATCAGTCTGGGGTTAAATCGTGGTTAAAACTGGGCTTAAGCGGAGTTTCTTGACCGTGACGGTCTAAAGTTATAGTTATAATTTGAGTAATACTAATAGTTATACACAATTCGCAACACGATTATAGATACAATTAAAATAAATCGGCACACCGTTACAGAGTTGAGACTTGAGAGTGGGGATATGAATATGATGGTAAACTTAAAGTGGGCCTTAGCTAATAGTATTAGTAATCATATTAGTGATTAGACTAGACACTAAAATATTACGATTTTTGATTTTAGCAATATGCAGTCAGGAGAAATATTGTAGGTTTGGGGTCCAGGGTCGTTCACATATTACCAGACCAACAAACTAGGACCGGTGACCGAACTTTTGAGGGGGTCCCGGACCCCAACCGCCAAACCGTGCCCGCGGGGCAGCCTTAACGGGTGATACTCGTAAAATATCTGTTCCATATACAGGACCGTCGACGAGTCCAACTCGGCGCGCGTCCTGGTAGGTTGTAAACCTACAAGGGGCAGCCACGCCCATATTTGGTCCAAATTAGGCCCATTTTAGCCAAATACCCTGAACATGCCCAAGACCCAGATTTTAGGTGCTCTACTCGTAGCTTCGCTACTGGTCCCCTGAAAAATGCACCGCAAATTTTTATAGAATTTGGCCGCCAACTTTTTTTGAAGGCCTAACTCAAAATTCCATGATACAAACTTAAGGTCGAAATGCGATTAATTCTACGTTGATTCTAAAAATTTCATATAAAAATATTGAAACCTTATACTATTGAGTTCTATTGTTTTGAGCGAAATCAGTTTCGCAAATATTATATCGCGAAGTGAGATATGGGCGATTTTGTTCATTTTTTGCGATTATTTGAACTGTGAACACAGAATCCACAGTTAGGTAGATAATGAGCTGATAATTATAGAGATTGTGGAGTATATGCTTACCTTCCATATAATTATAAAGTTGGTGTAATTCAAAAATATTGATATTTGCCCAATTTATGGGCCAAAATCGATCAAATTTGGTGTGTATGTCCAAATATGGTCATATGGTTTTTGGCTCATAACTCCGACATTTTTGATGAAAATTCATATACGAGTTCAGGGGACCACTACTACAAGTAGAGCGCGTAAAATATCGGTGTTGGGCATGTTCAGGGTATTTGGTTGATCATTGTTAATTGTAGGTTTACATTTACAACCTATACCAGGACGCGCGCCGAGTTGGACTCGTCGTTGGACTCGTCGACGGTCAGATATTTTACGGAACAGATATTTTACGAGTATCACCCGTTAAATTGTTAATCATTGATATTAATGGTCTGGCCCGGCGCGCGCTACTTCGAAGAAATTTAGACGAGTAACATCCGTCAAGGTATTTGGCTAAATTGGACCTAATTTGGGGGTTAAAAATTGGCCAAAAAGTGATTACGTAATATGTGAACGACCCCTTACCGGGGGGGGGGGGGGGGGGGGGGGGATCAGGTACTAAGTGCCGTACGTGACGTCGACTAAGTGCAGTTTTGGAATCTACAAAAAGGACCCACCCACCCCCTTCACGGTACTAACTGCTTTTTCAAATAATATTTAGGACACCCACCCCCTTTTGCCGGCTTTTGCGGTACTAACTGTGTTTTGGTATATAAATTAAGATACCCACCCAGCAATTGCTTTAAACAGCTCATTAAACATTGGAAAATGGGCAAATTATACCCACTATTTAGTAGGGGTTTTGTTTTCAATGTAGTCGAATTACCTTATCGGACCTTATTTGGACGGCCATTACTTGAACGCTGGAGGCCCTAGCGTTCATCTTAATGTCCGTTCAAATAAAGTCCGTTCAATTAATGTCCGTCCAAGTCAAAGTCCGTTGAAATTTTTCCATTTCGAACTTTTTGTCCAGAATATGACAACTTTGAGAACTTTATTGTGCCGTAAGTTAACGACGGAAAGGTTTTCCTTGGTCTGCCGGAGGCACAGAAAACTCTACTAGTATATGATGTATTCAAGGGTCACTTGTCGGAAAAAAGTCAACGAAATTATGGCACTCAACAACATAGTTCATGAACTAGTCCCCGCCAACATGACAAACTTGTTCCAGCCTCTAGATATTACGGTAAATCGTGTTGCCAAGGACATTGTCCGACGTTTTTATAGCTGGTAGAAACGATCCAGTGATAAAATATGCTTGCATGCGAATCAGGGTACTATTTGTGCCTTGAAATCTGAATCGGGAACTATACTGTCCCGCTTAATTGGAACGAGCCAGTGATTAAAGGATTAAGTGCGCCAGCATGCTATAAAGGTACAATCGTGCCCTGGATCGGGTACTATTGATTGATAATCAGACCTAGACCTGCATGACAAAAAGGGAACAACTGTGTCTCACACGTGCAATCGCGCTCGAGGGGTCTATGGTAATACTAATTGGTAGGATATGCCAATTGCATATCATTTCTGATAATAACTTCTCTACTCTAAATTCTTCTTTACTCTTGTTAGAACGTACTGCTTGTTGAATCCGGCTAACCGGATAATTGATTGATATCCATCAAAATCCGGTCCGGCAGCCAAAAGCCCACTCTTGTCACTGTTGGACTGGGCTTGAGGGTGAAGTACCCTTACATCTGTAAATGCCCTGTCCAGCGGCGACAATAACGATCTTGCGCTTAATGCTGATAATATATCCAGTCTAGCACCGTCTTTTCTATTTGTGCCGTTTGGTAATATGAGTGAAGGTGGAACGGAGAGAACCAACAATAAATTGAATCTGACATACATACCCTTACATTCCGTTCTAGCCAAGAATAAAAAGAATAGAAAATCACGTACCACAGAATCTTGATCTTTTCAAAGAATCAAGTACTGATTTTGTACTGGGTTGAAGAAAAAAGGTCTTAATAATCATTTCTGAGAGTTTCTTATGGAGAGGACTTTTGGAGCGATTTTGCACACTGACATCTTAAAGTTACTATATCGCTCAAATCCGTCCGCGACGAAAGTGTGTTCCTTATCAAAAATAAATACATCCAAGCTTGAACCATCAATAGAAATTATGAAAAAAAAACACTTTTTGAGCCCTACGAATTCGGAAAAGCATTCCTCAACTACGCCCAAATACCGGTGCAGACAATACGTTGAACCAGCAATAAGTTCCAAATACCGGTGCAGACAATACGTTGAACCAGCAATATTAAGTTGTTCAACTAACCATGTTGTTTATCGCAGCAGATGATTTCCACGGGAGTGTTTGACACACAAGTTTACACTTATTTTCAATAACTTGGACTTCGGTGCCATGTTTCTCTAGGCATCGTACCACACTACGTTCTGTAAGTTAAGTTATTGTTAGGTTATTGTTAACATTATAGTTAAATTATTGTTAACATTATAGTTAAGTTATTGTTAACATTATAGTTAAGTAAAGTCATAGCTAAGTTCATTATAATTTCGCTTTATTGAAAAGTGGTATGCCCATCTTTCTCCAGCTGGGTCATTATTTGATAACTTAATGAGTTAAAAACTTGATAAACTGGTAACTTGATAAAGAGCAAAGAGAACAACTAAATGATCAGCTACTAATTCTACCTCAGCATTGCATTTATTCTGGTCAACCTTGTACATCTCTAAATTTACTGATAGTTGGATAATATCCTGTTGAAAGAGACAAGGACAAATGAAACAGGAATTTAGGATTGTAGGAAAATTTTCGAAGTGTTGAAAGTATTAAAACTTTTTAATACTACAACTTTTTTAAATATTATCCAACTAATACACTATAAACTAAATAATGAAGTAAAATCCCGATTTACCGCGCCCTGATTTACCGCAAACCCCAATTTACTGCGGGTATTTCCTTTTCCCCCGAATTTTTCTTCAACAATTATTTTCCAAAATCTTAATTTTTTCTGAAAAGTTTAATTTTTTGCCTGGTCGACGTTTTCTGTAGAAGGACGTTTCAACAACTTCCGTTCAGACGAGCAAGTGAACCAAAGGTGATGTCATATCTGTCCATTTCTGCTAATTTCTTCTTGGTATTTCGAACAGTTATCTCGCCGATAACCGATTCCAAAGTGTTGGGCAACTGAAGAGGAGGATTTGACGCTCTTCAACATTTGGAATTTGGATCCCTTGTCTCTTCTGCCCGATGGTTAGACGTTTTCGATTAGAGCAAGGAGATTCTCCGGTAGATATAGCGGAATTAGATCGCTTCATGATGTACAGCTGATGTATAGACTAAAGGATAGATTGACTTGTCCTTGATACGTGATCCCTTGATCTAGTGCTTTTATACATGAGTCATGAGCAAGACGCATTACAGAGGCACATATTAGGTGCGGTGAAAAAATCGAAATTATGCGGTACCGCACCCGACTATAAAGGTAAAATGTGCGGTAAGGTGCGGTAAATTTGTACGAATTATGCGGCAAATGTGCGGCGATTTTTTCGAAATTTGTGCGGGAACTGTGCGGTTTTTTTTTGCATTTTCTCAAGGACTTTGGAAATTCTAAACGTATAACCGCCGCTCTTATCAAAAATAGGTCTGTTTATGTGTTACTGAGGGTGTAGTTCTTTGTACTAAGACCATGATTGAACCTATATTGAGATTCAGTTATCTGAGAATCGAACAGTGACTTGATCTGGTAGAGATCAGGAATCAGGATACAGTTATTTGAAGACGCCTCTTGATAGAGTCGATCAGATCCCATTCGTGATCACAAATATGTGACACGCTTGTTGGCATTGATCGTCAGTACTTGTGAACCATTCGATCCAAGATCCATTAAGCCCACTATAAAACCAACGCTGCAACGAATAAAGCTCATTACCCTTTACACCTACTTCTTCTATTATCACCTACAAATGATAACTGATACACTATAATCGAAGTACGGTAACGACGAGGGTTCCATAATGGCTAGGGTCACGGTCCCGAAAGGGCTTGGATCACGGTCCCGAAAGGGCCTGGGTAACGGTCCCGAAAGGGCCTGGGTCACGGTCCCGAAAAGGCCTGAGTCACGTGTCCTAAGCATGAGTTCCAAAAGGGCCTGGGTCACGGTCCCGAAAGGGCCTGGGTCAGGGTCCCGAAAGGGCCTGGGTCAGGGTCCCGAAAGGGCCTGGGTCAGGGTCCCGAAAGGGCCTGGGTCAGGGTCCCGAAAGGGCCTGGGTCACGGTCCCGAAAGGGCCTGGGTCAGGGTCCCGAAAGGGCCTGGGTCACGGTCCCGAAAGGTCCTCGGTCACGTGGTAACCGGGTCACGTGACCTAAGCATGAGTTCCAAAAGGGCCTGGGTCACGGTCCCGAAAGGGCCTGGGTCAGGGTCCCGAAAGGGCCTGGGTCAGGGTCCTAAAAGGGCCCGACTTTTAACATATTTTGGTTTTTACACTCGAAAATCTTAACGCGAAAATTTCAAAATTATGCGAAATTACGCGGAAGATGCTAGATTATGCGGAAATATGCAGATAATTACAAAATGTGCGGAAATGTGCGGAAAACAATAAATTATGCGGAAGTGTGCGGAAAACGGTAAATTGTGCGATCCCGCACCCATCGCACCTAATATGTGCCCATGAGACGCAAGCTCGTGCTCCACACTGCTAATTGAATCACGTGACCATGTTCTCGTATAACACCTTTGCTGCTGTGATGCTTGACAGTACTCGGTACTTGACAGGGCACCACTGTTTTTGAGAAGGGTCAGTTCGTACATATTACAGGGGAAATATGTGATCGGATTCGATCTGAACATACAGCTCAGATGTTGATAGCTAGTGATAATTACAGATTTCGATACGATTTGCAATGCAATGCAAAGAAAGCAAGAGTTTGATTGAATTTCTAGCATGTTGATACTAATAAGAATTACTGAGTACAATCGTAAGACTATCAAAAATATCCCCTCTATGGATTAAAGGCCTTTCCCACCCTTTTTGGCCAATGTTGGCAGTTGGACCTCAAAAACCAAAACACCGATTTACTGCGAACCCCGCGATTCCCGCAGGTTTTAGCCTTCTCCAAAACCCGCGGTAAATCAGGGTTTTACTGTATCAGTATTTCATCATGAGACTAATAAACAGCGAACTACTCCAACATTTGATATCTCTAAATTTCACGTCTTTAATTAACATCTCACACTCACCTAGAGTTTGGTTGGCTGTTAGGGCGACTAGACTTTGAACAGAAAGTTCTACCTCTGAATCCGAGTACACATCGATGTGCCAGGGTAACGCCTGAAAAATATAATCATTAGTTTTAATCAAAAAGTGAGACCACATGGACTTCTTTATCTTTCTTTATATTAATCGTTATAATCGTAAAGCGGTGCCAATTTAGTTAATTAAATTGGTAATAGCTACAATTTGACAATTATTTCCAATTTCTATCAGAAATTAACATTAGGTAGTATGACTACGAGTAGTGATCCGTACCGAACGTAAGTTTTCGGAGGAAGGAATTTGATAAATTTATAGTTGTACTTCGTGAAATCGTTCGCAGAGAGGCTGAATACCTAATTTAAATTAAGATTGCTTTATTTGGAGTTCATTCGAAATACTGGACAATTCATACTGAATACTGATAATCTGATAGTTGACAGAGCAATAAAGTTATCGCGAGGATTGAGGAAGTGATATTAGTAAGAAATGAACCTTTCAAGTCTGATTATTTAGTTTGTTCCTTGGAAATGTGTGGAACATATGGTCACCATTTTTAATTTTGCTGTCATATTACTATCAGGAGAGCATGTCCTCTTTACTTTGTCTCTCAATAGATCTGTCAGTCCAAAACAACATGATTCGATTGATAAATTTATTTGAAGAGAGCAAGTCGTGAACATGTCGTTGATAGATACACCTCAAATCAATAAATCTGTATTGGATACTTTGATTAACTCAGAGCACGTGTGTGTGTGTCTTCTGAGAACATTTCTTGGAACATGACAAGGTGAGTCTTGAAATTCTTGGAATGCTTGGCATTTAAAGCAGTTAAATTTATATATATTATATATAGGTATAACCATTTATAAAACCATTTATAAATGGTCAGTATGTTCACAGTGTCAGCTCTAGTTCTACTACCACTAGAAGCTCAGTGATCTATGCAGGACCTATAGAGCTATAGGATTGGTGGGTCCTCGCGAGTCGCGCGGGTAGGGCTTGTTCAAAAAAGGTTTTGTTGCTAACAAACTGTGAACTTTCTCAGCACTCTAGGTCAAACAGGCTTGTGGGAATCTGATAAATTTAATATTCTAGAGGGGCTTGGTATTTTCGGGGTCTACCGCGCAACAATGTCATAAATATCTATTTATTCTACCACCTCAAACTATCAAAGTTGAGTACCTTTTAACTTTTTGCTCAACATGTCGAGAGCAATTACACCCCGGTAAATATCCATCGACATTGATTTCAGCAAATGGTTCAGATTTGATAGTCAGAGCCCAAATACATATTATATTGAAATGCACCATCATTAACAATGATTAATTTTACCAAAACCCATAATCATGGGTAGAGTGGACCGCTGTCAGTGTCTCTCTTTCCCAAACAAAAGGAAATGATATTACTTTGATTGACCGTTCTCAAATGCAAAATGATACCGAGAATGAAATCGGTCGCTCGCTTTTCCCATTCATTCACGGCTTACGAATTGTATAATTTCGATTGATTACATCAATCAGATGCTGTAAAAATCTCTTTGGGTTGCGTTCGGGTCGATACCTAGTATTTCGGGGTAAGGGACAAGGGTGGTAGTTATTACTTATTGAACAAGCTGAAGTTTATTTAATCTTCATTGCCGAGTACAGCTGCCTTTGGGTAGTTCTTCTTAATCTATTACAATTGTAAATGAATGGGAAAAGCGAGCGACCGATTTCATTCTCGGTATCATTTTGCATTTGAGAACGGTCAATCAAATTAATATCATTTCCTTTTGTTTGGGAAAGAGAGACACTGACAGCGGTCCACTCTACCCATGATTATGGGTTTTGGTAAAATATCATCTCTTTTTGATTATAATGTCAGGGTACTTTATAAAGTCGAAATATAAACTAATATCTTCATTAATAAGGAGGAAGTTTCAACGATTTCGAAATTTTTCCTTTAAAAACATTTCCTTGTGTTTAGGGAAGCATATCGGTCGATCACTGACTGAATATGCCACTTAATACTCATTCAAGTAGGCATTAAATTCATATATAATGACATTAAACTGTCGTGGCAAAGCAGAATTTGTTGGAAATCACGAATGAGCAAAATTCACACCTTTCGCACGTGCAAACTTTGAGCGGACGTTGCGTGCGCATTCAATATTGAATCGCCGTAAATTTTTGCATGTAATTGTTTTATATATAGCTTAATAAGCATGCAAAGTTTCAAAGTATTTCAAGAAGAACTGTAATCACAACGGCACTCTAAAGTTGACAGAAAATGACGAAAACAGCAATTTTCAGTGATTTTAGCGATTTTCTATCAATTTGGGCGTGTCCCCGCGTGTGCAACTTTTCGATTTTCAACTTTAAAACTAGCCTAATGCACAATTTATACCTATAGGAAGCAGAACTGAGCTCCACAACCCAAGGCATGGCCCAACACCAGAGAATACTAAATCGCAAAATTGACGTTTTTATAAAATAATTTTTCAAAAAAGCACAAACTTCAATGACGAATATCTTTATGAAGGAGCAAGCTAGAAAAACTTTCCGGTAGATTTTCTGAATGCTTGAACAATTATCTAAGGTAAAAATTTCCTCAGATTTTGAATAAAATTACTCCTTAATGGTTTAAAATTAATTTTAAAAGTTATTACTTTGTCAAAAATCAAGTTTTAAAAACGGTTAACTTGATGACGTCATCAAGGGGTGTTTATGACGTCAAATAATTTGTTTATACAATGTAAACTAAAGTATAAACAATTATTTGCAAGACCTGTGGTCGGAAATGGCTGTATCTTTTATACTTTTGAATCTATGGACACTTAAATACAGGCTACAATTGAATGGCAAAGCGTCTATCCCTGAATATATGTATATATCACGACAATCTATCGTAAAACAGGGGTTCTAGAAAACCCATTTCCCGATGCTCCTGAAACCTGAAACTTTTTTTGCAGTCGATTTGGTCAACGTCTAGACGCCCTGAAAAATTTCAGATCTCTAACTCAATTTTAACATGGTTTTTAAGGCACCTGAATATGGCGATTTTGGGTTTTTTACCGAATTTCGTATAACAGTGCTGGCGAGTATATAGTATTTTATGCAAATTTCTTAAAAATCTCAACATAACTATTTTTTATTCCTGTCATCTTTGACATCAAATTATAATGTTTTGAACTAAAAATAAATCTGCTGAACGACTTCCGATGAGTCTTAATGCCTGAAAAACTCCTGCCGGAGGCGGCGGCCTTCGGCCGCCGCCTCCGGCCGGAGTGCACGCTTCGCGTGCACGAGAGAGGCTTCCGACGAGTACCAAAGGGGTTATAATAGTAAAGGGGGTATAATAGTAAAGGGGTACAATAGTAAAGGGGGTACATAGTATACCCCCAATAAAGACACCGCTCGTGCTTGCCAGCACTGTGATACAGGTTTCGATAAATATAAACGTAGCTCGTAAAATTTTCCATGTTTTAATGCGATATTGACATCCATTTCAGAGCTTTAGGACCTTCCAGTCCAATCACCTATTTATAAGTATTTTCACCGTTCACGTCGAGTCAAGATAGTTTTTTGGCCATATTTCCGAAAATACAAATTTTAAGATATTAATATTGTATAGAATAGTCTATACTTTCCTGGTATTGGCTGCAATCGCAAAAATCCGAGTGACCGCAAAACTCAGGCATAGGATGTGGCCTTTAAAAAAATGTTATGGAAGCCAAATGATTTATTCATCATTTAGAGAGCAAGAGGTTGACCCGAAAAATCGCTTTTAATACGACCTCGATCAACATTCAACATAGCCAACGAGTTCAAATTTCATCTTGAACTATTAAACGGGTAATTCGCGACTAAATTTCCCGGCTTTATATTTGCTGGTAATGATCGATTTAAAATCGACGATTTTCGCACGGTTTAGCGGTTAGATTTATCATTACGCCACAGTAATTCAAAAGGAATTTGAATTATGAGTCGTAAAATTAAAAAAGAATGAATTTAAATTTTGATACGTTCAACATTACAAATAATTTGACATAAATATGACAAATTGTTCGACACATTAAAACCGTGCAGCTATCACCTCTACCAAACATCCGGGGAACACTTTCGAATGAATATGATCCAAATGATAATGAAAAATAGAGAATCGAGATATGGCGGAAAGACAGGTGATGGGCCTTAAAAGTCTCACAGTCACACACAAAAACACTTAACTCACTTGGTCACTTATTTGTCAACTATGAGATATCAGATCACTAAAGATGTTCAAACGATAGTGAACCCTTCATGCCAAAACCAGAAAGATCAAAAAAACATAAATAACTTTATATATTGGATAAAATTATATTTTACTCATCTAAATAGATTACTTTAAAGTACTATAAGATACACACTCATAATTCAGTAGTAAATAAATTGTATTACACGTAATAGTAATCAGTAAAAAAAACTGCCAGCCCTATTTATACACTATAAGAAAGACAACAAAACAGTTAAAAGTCAACTATTCTTAGGAAGCTGTCTAAAATTCGTTAGGGAGACGGGCAATTGTCCTATAATAAAGACGCCATACTATTCAGAATAAAACAATTAGCATATACGGGATTAACACCCACGTGAACATCCCACTAAAGGTGTATACGTTGCTAATCCCAACAAAAACCAAGCGTAAAGTTCCTAATATTAACACAAACAAAAAATAAAAATAATATCAAAACCTCAATTATAAATAGATTATACCAAACTATTTCTCAAAACGTATATTATTTTAATCATACAAGTCAAACAGAAAATAGAATGCACGTGTAAATTATGTCCTTGAAATTAGACATCCTTTACTGAAAAATGACATCCAACACTTACTGGCTATACTTTGCACCGAGTCAGAGTATGAAGTACGTATGTGTGTACAGGCCCAAAAACCCAAGCTACTAATCATATAGAATGCTTATTGATTGCCAGGCTTGTGGGCGCTGGTAAAGTGCTGGTAATGTGCGTAGCAAGAGGGGGTATTTTCATAATACTGGGGGGGGGGGGGGGGGGGGGGGGGGGGGGGGGGGGGAGGGACCAAACGTCAGTACCCATACCGTACACGTTGGGTCTTATACCACCTCCGGTACCCTAGAACAATTATATAGATCTGCTTATTGATTGCCAAGCTTGTGGGCGTTGGCAAAATTGCTGGTAAAGTCAGCAACTTGGACCAGTATTGACAATTTGCCTTTCCTGATACAGTTTAAGTTTTCCGGTATATTTTGTTGAACCGTGTACCGAGTGCCCAGTTTGATATGAGCCGTCGTCTACTTTGTTGGACTTTACTTCAGGAGAGAGGGCTCGTTATGAAAATAACCCTAATGTGCGTAGCAAGAGGGGGTATTTTCATAATACAGGGGGTGGGGACCAAACGTCAGTACCCATACCGCATACGTTGGGTCTTATACCACCTCCGTGTTTCATATTTGAGACTTGTAACTTACTATAAGTATAGCATATAGGTCATTGAATCCGGAATAATATCTGAAAAGATGGTGCGACACGGATTTAAAATGACGCAGTTATCAAGCAATTTGTTTAACTTTATCTCGTTAGCAAAATCGATAGGGTAATAAATGATTACCTAATCATTAATCATGTGATACCACACCGTAATTGGGCTCTCTGCACGATTCCCATAATGCAGATCTAGTTTCAACCCAATCACCTGATCACACGTAATGAAAGAATGAACAAACTCGTTATGCTTCATATCTTGGTCATCTGAGATGCTACAACTCTCAATTTTTCAGGCCAAATGCAAATTCAATACAATTTGGCTAGATGCGATCATTTAATCTATCAAATGAATGCAAAAATGAACCTTCATTCGAAAATAATTAACACGAATATTCTTTGATTTGATGTATACCATCGCGATATAACAGGTATTACTTTTCCCTCCATCGCCATGTTTGAAGCTCTCTCATCAACCATGTTAGTATTCTACTTCAGATGGTAGTACTATATTTTTAATTTTAAACTTTATAATTGTTTAAATTATTCCTGTATAACAAATACATTTTCAAATCGTGTATTCCTCGAATGAGTGGTGATAGTAAGTCATACCAAAAAATTATTTCAATCGGGCACTCTGCAGTGACTGAGCTATAAAGGCCAACGTATGGTTACAGTAAAACCCCGAGCCCCGATTTACCGCGGATGTATCCTTTCCCCCAAACTCCGCGGGTTTTACTGTACTGGCTTTTGCCCCCCCCCCCCCCCCCCCGGCCCCTCCCACCTGTATATAAATATTAAAATACTCCCTGCTATGTACATCAGGGTTATTTCCATAACAATTCCTCGTGCTAAGCAAGCTCTAAGCGGCGCGAGGAATAAGCTGAAATGTAATCCCTGTACGTGCCGGCGCGCTATAACTCGCTGCTGGTAGTCCAGAAACTAGCCTGGTTTATAATTGTTCCGTAGCATTCATGATGGAAGCTTCCCTATATATTCCCGCAGTTACCCCCCCCCCCCCCCCATCCCCGCACTTACCCTGACAAGTTGAAGTGCCTCGTTGTACCCCATACTGGTGAGAGTCTCCCTGATTTCCTCCTCCCCTCCCTCCTCGTCCTCTAGCGCCATTTCATGGAGTTTCATGAAGCTCTCCAACGTCACACACTCCTCTTTCAGCTCAAAGTTTTCTAAGAGAGATTTTTGTTACAAATTGTGGGTGAGTTTTTATTGGGTTGAGAGCCCAGTAAGCTTTTTGAAAAAGCAGTGGCTGTTGGTGCTTTATGCACCAGAAATGGTGCTATAATTTATTTCTAGCACTTATACCATACGTGATCACTTGACGCATTTGATTAAAATAAAGCAACTTCATCAAGACTTCTAAATTCTCTAAATCATCTAAATCATAAATATGTGAAAATCAAACCTCTAATTACATCCCACATGGAGTCACTGAGCGGCTCTCCAGAGGAGGTAAGATGGAACAGCTCAAACTCGCTCCTGCTCAGTAGCATATCACCGTTCAGATCGAGACAGTGGAATATGTTCATTAGCACGTTCCTGCAAGGGTAGCATTAGATCTGCGAAAATAAAACGAGTGTACCTACATGCCTGGGGTTGCGTCCCGACTATACTGCAGGGAAATCTGTACCGAAAGGACCGTGGCCGCACCGCAAAAGAAAAAGAGATCGGCCCCTCGTTCCTAGCTTGCTAGGTTCGTCATGTTGTTGTTGCAAGGGGAACGAGTGTTAATGAGTGTTAATGAGCGTTAATGAGCGTTAATGAGCGTTAATGAGTGTTGAAGGTTTCGTCACTGATAAAACTTACTATCCTGTGTGCTCTCGCTCCGCAGTCCCTTATATAGTTGTAAGGCGCTATTATACCGCTCTACCGTAGTGATGAAGTTCATGATTTCAGTATAACTATCATCCGAATTCCGAATTATAATCCCGATTTCAAGGAATTAATATTAGTTTCTCTGCATTCTATTTCCAAAAACATTTGTAATATTAGTCAGGTCAAAATAAAACTGTATCAATTTATCTTTAAAGTATATTTGTATCATATAAAAGCACGACCTTGTTAGTTGGCACATTTGAATTGTCGTGGAGACAAGGATCAAAAGCGGGACGTACAGATTTGTGAATTAATTTCGCTCTAACTTTTGACAGGCAGGTTCCCTCACGTGCTCAGAACGGCTTCTCATCAAAGAGATGATGGGGCAGGCAGCGTGTGCGAGAAGCTGGGTTCTAAATAGTCTAAATAGTAACGATATCATTATATAACTATATTAAAGTCACTATTGTGACAGTACATTAGAACTAGACAGAAACAAAGTGTAAAGGGTCTGAACAGAACCCCTCTGTTTCAGTTCCTTGTTTAACACTGCCGTATAACAGCAAGGATGGGCACATAGCTGATCACTCCACACTATGCTCTGTCAAATGTTGCTTATATACCAAGGATCTACAGGAAACATTTCCTTGTAAGTTTAGAGGGCGATCTGTGAACAGACAACTATCTCATTCCCAACTATAGGAACCAGAATTCCTATACTATCCCAACGAGCTACACCAAGCATAGTTTCATATACCTTACTCGGGAATATTATAACCGGGATAAAGTGGTGGGTTTTGGAAGATTCCGCCATATTTTTCCCGGTCAAAAATTTTACCAGTCATAGAAAAACCCGCCGACTCAGATTATGTGGTTCCAAGGGGGTGGTGATCATCATATTTTACCTGAAGTCTCATATGTGCTAGAGAAGACTTTTGAAGCAGTGGATGGAGGGCTGTAACTTTATTGGCGGTTGCTACCATAATTTCGTTATAAAAATCACAATTTGGTTACAGAAATCAGATTTCAGGGTGGACCGTGATTCTCACTTCTCTTGCCCATGAATCAGTGAATCGTAGAGAAGAAAACAATTTATATGTTATAGAAGAAAACGAAAATAATAATAATATATAATATATATAATAATAATAATGTCTCTAAAGATTGATCGCTTCTCGTGTGTAGTGTGTAGACTAAAGAAAGAGGGAGTTTTTCCCGTTAAAGTAATTTGTGGCCACATCCCGCTAGAAGTGAGTAAACTGTGCCACTATTTCATGGTCCACGGTGGATTGATTACTGGAGCAGTTGAAGATGGCAGATGCAAAGCCAAAACGTTCCCCAATACCAAGCGGTGGGCAGGAAATTAAGCTCCGGCTGACCTTCAGAGCAGTAGCCCCATTAGCAGACAAAATGAAAGTCTTGTTAAGACAACAATACAACTTCGAATGTGACGGTCAGCAGCTCATGGGAATATCAATAATGATAATGGCGGGGACATTAGCGATAATGAAGATTTGACTTATTATTGCTTAGATTTATTTTCCTTTAAATAGACGTCTTTTTTTTTCTATTTCTGAGTAATATCAATAACCGTAATTGAAATAACTTCTTTAACAAGTAACAAAAACAGAAATTTCGGTTGAAAATTTGTTGCCTCTGAAAAAAAAACTTGAAAGGTCGGCCACCGAGTAAGGTAGTATTTAAATGTCATACTCCAGTTGTTTGCCACGTACAAAATCCATAGCTCAATCTAGTAGCTCCAGATTTTTTTGATAAACAAAAGCCCGGGTTTGATCTTCAGTTCTCACATTACGTAAGCCATTTCCCCTCTGGTAACCGCTTTTGAAACATAGCTATCGTGTAGAAATAACTCAAGCGTATTAATACAACCTTAGCGTATTAATGTATCTTACTATATATAAAGCGAGACGATATATATATTTAAGGGTTTGCGTGCTTTTCGTTCTTTTTGTTAGCTACTAACTTGATCGATTTGCTCTCGCCTTTAGAGCTTGACAACATGACATACGGGTAAACCGCCCCTAAAATGTCAGCCACCCCTAAAATGCCACTCTTGATTGATTGGATCCCAGCTTCTTAAAAAGTATCTTACCTAATCATTTGTAACTCCTAAACATAAAAAAATATCATTCGGACCCTGCCACATCCTGAAATTGAATCTAAATGATGCCATAAGGGCATTTTTTTCACTTTGTACGAATTTTTTACTTTTGAAAAAAAGCGCACAATTTTATAACTCTGGGATTCATTAATATTAACTCGGTTTTGGTCTAGGATAGTGATATTTACATATTTTAGCAACTTTGTACATATGACTGGAGATATGGAAAGTTATACATTACTCAATATTACTACCCTCCCCTAAAATGTCACCTGGCCGCCCCCTAAAATGTCATTTTATCAGATTCTGGCTTTGAGACTACAAGCACCATAAAATGGAGGTACCAGCCTATTAAACATCATATTTAGCATCTAATGGTAATATTGGAAAGCTTTGGCAGCTCAAGGAATTAGTTTTATATTATTAATCGCAATAAACATCCCCTAAAATGTCTAATTATCCCCCCTAAAATGTCATTTTAACCTGATCAAATTACTCAGGCTTTTCCTAAGATGCAATGCATTGCTACATACAAGAACAGCTCCTTCCAGCCAAATTTATCTCAATCTGGCCTAGAAAATGCCAATAAGTCAATAAAAGTTCAATTTAAAATAAAGTTCTTCATAAATGCCAAAAAAATGTGGGAGAATAATTACCTCCGACGGGTATCGAACATGCAATCTGCTGCCAATGAGCGAACGTGCCTACCACTCACGCCACCAGGTCCTAGTAAGGTCTGTAATATTTATATGTATATACGCGCGGTTTCTGCTAATTCTAGATGCCTGCTAATTCTGCTATGCCTTTGATCTTTTAATGAATTTCTTCTTCTCCTTATCCCTACTACACATATCGTTAATAGTTGATGTTAATAATTAACAAGTGCCAAAACAAGAGCTATTATCGCACACCATGCGAACAAACAACAAATTTGACATTTTAGGGGAGAAAAAAATGACATTTTAGGGGGCATATCATAGGTTTACCATAAACTAGTAGTTTTTGACATCCAATTTTGCTAAAAGCAGTCAAATCTAGTCTATAGAGAAGGTCAGATCGATTACTGGGTTGGCTTAGTTAACTACAGGTCACTAAAATTGCCAAAATGCAGGATGATGTTAAAAATCCCAAAAAATGCAATTAAAACATGCAATTTGCACTAGGTTAAAATCACATTGAATCCATTTCCTTTGTGTCAATTGTTAGTTTATAACTAGATAATCTAACTACAGGTGTAAATTTTGTTGACTGAGTTACTGTTTTGCCGTAAGTTCTGGGTATTCAAAAAAAAGTCCCCAAAAAGTCACAAAAAGTAAATTGACTAAATTCCACCATTTTTTTTCAACAGAGAGAGAAATTCTGGTCAACACCTCTCAGAAATAGGTTATATTTGTCCCAGAAGTGGTTAAAATTAATAATTGAGCAACATTCTGAGTGCTACACAACCTGTTTTAGCTGACATTTTAGGGGTGGTGCATGTGACATTTTAGGGGGTAATTACGGTTTTGAGGCACTTCCTTTAGTGAGTGAATGTTTTCAAGTAGCTTAATGTTTTAATAAGACAAAACAAATAGTACTAGTGACAAAATATAAATCAGGCCTCCTGTACATTTTGTAATTATCACACATATAGAGTTGACATTTTAGGGGAGGTGTTTTAAAAGTGACCCCATTTCAACGTCAAAAAAATTGTACCTGATTTTATTTTCAAATTTCCAAATCTTCCTGGCAGGCTAGAAAAAGGTTTAAATATTATTCCTAGACACTTCAGAACCCTGTAAATTTAGCCCTAACTCGGCAATCTGGGCCCAAAAAACAGGTGACATTTTAGGGGCGGTTTACCCGTATTGGTAACGGCTTTTTCTACTTGGATTTCGGACTCTGCATTTTTAGCAACGCTGATCTGACATTATTTCACTTTAATATATAGATCTATCTTTTGTAAACCTTGTAAACTTGTAAACCTTGTATCATCCCTTTATATGAGTCCCTTTATTAACTAAACTGCTGATTCTTCAGAAACGTGTCCTATCAATAAAAGTTCGGAGAAAGCCAAGTTGCCCGATCCCTCCATCTCATCTCTCCCTTACAAGGAAGAACTGCACTACACCTGTCAGGACGATCAAACACCACTTACTTTGTACTTCTGTAGTTCTATGGTAAATCATATTTTAAACGTGATCGATAATCTCGTATTAATGCGGATATTTGCAGGCAATAGTGGTGTATGTAGTGGCTGGCGTGGTGGTCCTTTTAGGGATAATCACTACGGTAAAATTATTAATATTTTCATGCTGATTTGAAGGCCATTAAATTTAAAGCAGTTGAACCAGTCAAAAAAGTTTAAGTTATTTATCTTTTACTGTTTTTGCGGAAAGTCGTGTTGTCAAGTTGATACCGTGGTGTCAGTAAAATGGTACGGATATGTAAACATATATATATCGTCTCGCTTTATATATAGTAAGATTATAACCTAATTAATATAATATTTTTTGAACCCTTATTGAATTGCGCAGACGATTAGTGTTTGTATTAGGCCTGCGATTGTCTTCAGCAATGTTCTCAAACCATAATTGAAGGAGTAACCTATTTAATTAATAGA